TTCTTCAACATCCAATCCTCAACGCCATCTCAATTTGCCAAAAATCGCGTGTTGACTGTTGCTCCGCACTAAGCCGCATTGGGCCGCAACCCACTCCCCTAAATTTTTTTTTCTTCCGCTCAGTTTCTGTTTTCTTCTCTCCCCCACTACTTTCTTTTTTTTTCTTCCTCCCATCTTTCTTTTCTTTTCCTGTCCATATTGCTTTGTGATACCCCCTTTGAGTTGTTTGTCTGAGACAAACTGCTCAATTTTACGACTGGCCTGAGCTTGTAAAGGCCTGGGACAACTGACCGTTGGACCGAAAGAATTTTCCTCTTCACATCTATCCATCATGGATCAGCAACGATTCCTGCAGCAATTGCAGGTTATCCTGAACCGTAAGTCATATTTCCCCTGCTGCGGCTAAGGATAGCTCGCTAATCCTTGCATACAGCCACCCAGGGCAACGTCAAGGAGGCCACCGGAATCTTGCAAAAGGAGTACTACAACAAGCCCGAGGCCCTTGTCTTCCTTATTCAGATCGCCACCACCCATGAGGACCAGAACCTGCGTCAGCTCGCTGCTGTTGAGTCGCGCTCGCTCGTTGCCAAGCACTGGGTGAAGGTTTCTGCCGACCAGAAGCCCCAGATCCGTGAGCAGCTGCTTCGCTCTACCATGGGCGAGGGCTCTTCTCTCGTTCAGCACTCCATTGCTCAGATCATCTCGGCTGTTGCCAAGATTGACTTGAACGATGGCGAGTGGGCCGACCTGCCCAACATCCTACTGCAGGCTGGCAACAGTGGCAACCAGGCCGAGCGTGCTGTGGCCATCTACATTCTCTTCACTATCCTGGACACCATTGGCGAGGGCTTCGAAGAGAAGTTCTCGGACCTTTTCGCCCTTTTCAACAAGACCATCCGCGATCCCGAGAGTGCCGAGGTCCGCATCAACACCATGCTTTCTCTGAGCAAGCTTGCCATGCACCTTGACTCCGAGGAGGATGAGGCTCCCGTCAAGGCCTTCCAAGATATGGTTCCCGCCATGGTTGCCATCCTCAAGGACTCCATTGACCAGCAGGAGGACGATCACGTTATGCAGACTTTCGAGGTTTTCCAGACTCTGCTTGGATGTGACCCTGCCCTCCTTACCGTCCACCTCAAGGACCTCGTCGTGTTCATGAACCAGATCTCTGCCAACCCCGAGGTTGATGAGGATGTCCGCACCCAGGCAATTAGCTTCCTGATGAGCACCATCCAATACCGCAAGCTCAAGGTTCAGGGTATGCGTATCGGTGAGGAGCTCACCCGCACTGCTCTTCAGATCGTTACTGAGCTCGGTGACACTGCTCTGGGCGATGACGATATCACCCCGGCTCGCTCCGCCCTCGGCCTGCTCGACATGCTCTCCCAGAGCTTGCCCCCTAGCCAGGTCGTTGTTCCCCTCCTCCAGGCCCTTGGCCAATACTTCAATAACACCAACCCTGACTACCGTCGCGCCGGTATCATGGCCCTTGGCATGTGCGTTGAGGGTGCCCCTGACTTCATCAGCACCCAGATGAAGGAGATCTTCCCCATGGTTCTCCAGCTACTTGCCGATCACGAACCCAAGGTTCGCCAGGCTTCCCTGCACGCCGTTGCTCGTCTTGCCGAGGATCTCGTTGAGGACCTCAGCGCCGAGCACGCTCGCCTCATGCCCTTACTCTTCCAGAACCTGGCCAGCGCCATGCAAGAGTACAACGGTGAGGAGGAAGGCCCCACCGTTGATATCATCAAGGCTGGTATCAGTGCTATTGATGCCGTTGTTGACGGTCTAGACGAGAAGGACGTCGCTCCATACCAGTCTGAGCTTGTTCCCATCCTCCACAAGCTCTTCAAGGCTCCCGACTTCAAGATCAAGGCTCTCGCTGCCGGTGCTCTTGGCTCGCTTGCCTCCTCCGCTGGTGATTCCTTCCTTTCTTTCTTTGATGAGTCCATGCACCTGCTCCAGGAGTTTGCTGCCGTCAAGGACAGCGAAGACGAGCTCGACCTCCGTGCCAGCGTCACCGACTCCATGGGTGAGATGGCCGCCGCCGCTGGCCCCGAGCGCTACCAGCCGTACGTTGAGCCTCTTATGCGCGCTACTGAGGAGGCTCTTCACCTGGGTCACTCCCGTCTCAAGGAGAGCACCTACATCTTCTGGGGTGCCATGGCAAAGGTCTACGGCGAGCACTTCTCTCCTTTCCTTGAGGGTGTCGTGAAGGGTCTCTTCGACTGCATTGAGCAGGACGAGGACGACCTTGACGTCGACCTCGGTACCTCCGCTAAAGATCTCGTTGGCCAGGAGGTCACCTTCAACGGCCGCAAGGTCAAGGTTGCAAGCGCTGACGACGAGGATGATGGTGAAATTGAGGACGTTGATCTCGAAGACGAGGATGACTGGGATGATATCACCGCCACTACCCCCATGTCCCTCGAGAAGGAGATCGCTGTTGAGGTCATCGGTGACCTGGTTACCCACACTCGCAGCTCCTTCCTGCCTTACTTCGAGAAGACCATCGAGACCGTCATGCCCCTTGCTGAGCACCCTTACGAGGGTGTCCGCAAGAGCACCATCAGCACTCTGCACCGCTCTTACGCCATGCTCTTCACCATCGCCGAGGAGACTGGCCAGATGCCCAAGTGGCAGCCTGGTCTGCCCCTTCAGGTCCAGCCCGCCAAGGAGGTCCAGAAATTCGGTGAGATCCTCATGACTGCCACCGTTAAGATGTGGAGCGAGGAGGACGACCGGTACGTTTCACACATTCCCCATTTCTTTCATTATTCCCGTTCCCAATCAAGTTTCTATGATGAACTTTTACCGCTTAACCCAGCTCACTTTGATGCACAAAGTTGCAATTGATGTAAACGGCGAAGTCTACACTCTGAGAAACCTTCTTACTGCCATTTTATTCACTCATTGATTTGTCGAGAATTGATTGCTGATGGAAAAATAACAGTGCTACTGTCGCGGACATCAACCGCAACATGGCCGAGAACCTCCGCTTCTGCGGTCCCGCTCTCATTGCTAACGAGACCATGCTTCACAACGTAATCCAGATGGTGACCGACATCATCACCAAGCAGCACCCTTGCCAGCTTGAGTTCGGTCCCGAGGAGGAGACCCTTGAGGCTGGTGAAGAGACTTCCGAGTTCGACTGGGTTGTCGTCGACACTGCTCTCGATGTTGTTTCCGGTATGGCCGCCGCCATGGGTCAGAGCTTCGCTGAGCTCTGGAAGGTCTTCGAGAAGACCATCCTCCGCTACGCTGGTAGCACCGAGTCCCTCGAACGCGCCACCGCTGTCGGTGTGCTCGCCGAGTGTATCAACGGCATGGGTGCGTCCGTGACTCCTTTCACTGGTACCTTCATGAAGCTGCTGCTTCACCGTCTCGCCGATGAGGACCCTCAGACCAAGTCCAACGCCGCTTACGCCGTTGGCCGTCTTGTTCAGCACTCCAACGCTGATGCGGAAATCACTAAGGAGTTCCCCACCATCCTCAGCCGCCTCGGTGGCTGCCTTGAGATGGATGTCTCCCGTTTGCAAGACAATGCTACTGGTTGCGTCAGCCGCATGATTCTGCGTCACCGCGACAGCGTGCCCACCAAGGAGGTTCTCCCTGCTCTTGTCAACATTCTTCCCCTGAAGAACGACTTTGAGGAGAACGAGCCTCTTTACCGCATGATCTGTCAGATGTACAAGTGGGAGGATGCCACCATCCGCGAGCTGACTCCCAACCTGCTCCCCGTCTTCCAGGCTGTCCTGACTGGTGACGAGGACCAGCTCGAGGATGAGCGCCGTGCCGAGCTCATTGAGCTCGTCAAGTGGCTCAACCAGATGCAGGCTGGTGCCGCCCCTTGGGTTGAGCAGCTGTAAAGGCTGCCTGCTCCTATTATGGATTGATGAACGAAAAGGATATATAATGGATAGACGGATATGGCTTGGAAGCCCAAGATGACTAGACGATACCCCGGTCACTGTGGCGATGATTGATGAACACCTCAAAAGTTGCTGCTGTACATACTGTCAATGACTGCATACTTTATTTTCTATACTCTGGATTTTGGAAACGTCCAATTTTGTAGACTCGTACAACTCGTACAACTCGTATCGCCAGGCTTCATGAAGTAGACCCTGTGACGTGTGTGGCGCGTCCGTTTTGATCGACAATAAAAAAAGGTGACAGACAATTGCAGGGCCGATTAGTTAGGCTTTCAGTCTCATTCTTGGGTTTTAATCTCGGCAGTTTCAGTCTAAAGTGGGATACAGTCGATATATGGTTGCCTGCTTGGCCTGTTTCTTCTCACTTCTTCATTTCCCCAACCCCGCTGTTTTCAGCCCTACACACTTACTCGAGGCTTTGAATGAGGTAGGCAGGCCCTTGCATGTATTTCGTATTGATTATGTTCGTCGTCTAATCTTGATGTATACCAGATCCAATACCTCTCTCCACCATGGCTGCCACCTCCATCCCCGAGCCTGTCAACTGCACTCTCCCTTTAAGCAGCTCCGGTAGTTCGATTACGAAGCCCATCAAGCCTATTTCCAAGCCATGCTTCGGTTGTGATTGTGGAGATGAAGAGTGCGACTGCTGTATCTGCACTGTGATGTGAGCTGGCTGGCGTCCGCCTTGATCCATGTCTGTTCCAATCGAGTCCCTTCATTTCATCCTTTCTCTTCAGCTTCTTGAGCTTTTCTTGCGGTTGAACCTCGTCTGATCGCAAAGAGCGGCAAAACAAGAACATGTGCGGAGCAGATGTGATCAGCGATTGGGTTTAATCTATCTGGGTTCGGGACACCTACGCGATACGAGAACACCATTCTCGCGATAATCTACAAGCTAATTCAACCATTTGTCTATCATTCCATTTACTTCTACTTCTACTTCTACCCATTTTCATTTTTATATACGAAACTCTAAATGTATATAGATGACTCAGCGGGATATTTGTCAGCGGAAATACCGCCTTCTCTCCTGGCGAGCAGCAGAGTTCCGTAGACATTTCAATGAATCCTTCGAGTGCAGATGAACCTCGTAAGAGGACGGCCCGTGCCTGTGATTCATGTTACAAGCGAAAGGTATATTCTATGACCCCTTGGGTGCCCTCCCCCGCTAACACTGCCAAGATCAAATGCGATGCTGCGGTGCCGCAATGTAATTGGTGCAGCCACCACAATATTCCTTGCACGTTCGATCGAGTAGTGCACAGAAAGAGAAAATGTGGTAGTGATGAGGGGTGAGTTCATTCCTGTGCGCTTTGTCCTCCCTATACATCTCTCTGACCAATATAGACGCCCCAAAGTTTCACGGCTGTCGGAGCGGATTAGCCGCATTGAGCGGCTCCTTGCTGAAAATTTAACTCAAGATCAGATATCAGGTACATCTCTCATCAGAGTTTGGTTTACAGAAATCCTCATTGACACTGAACAGAGCGTGAGGATACGCCTCAGTCTCCTCAGGCCACTACAACGGCCAGCAACTCCCCCAGTACTCATCAACCGATAGACTCGTCATCAGCTCGTGTTCATTTTGCAGGAAAAGAACTAGGCGTTATCAGTCTACTGACTGGCACGCCGTTCCTTTTCCCCGAAGGTCAGGCATGGATTGAAGCTCGAACCGGGCAAAAAATTCCAATTGACACACTCAGCCCATCACGAGCACCATGGGAAAAAGAGCGTGGCCAAAGTTTCAATACGCTTTTGATGAATATGAATGCCCTCAGCCCATTTGACCTACCTGACTATGGGGTTTTGCAGGCGCATCTCGAAGCTTTCAAAGCTTCAAAAGTTATGCGACGCATCTTTCCCATCATCGATTTTGACCTCTTTGATGAGACCATCAAAACGGCTTACAAGCGCCCGGGTCCTACCTTTGGCTATGGACAAGCTAGTGCACGGGTCTGTGTTATTGCTTTTCTCACCTTTATTTCTCGCCTTCCTCATGTCAAGGAAACACTTGCTGCTTTGAACATAGCTCCGGTTGACTATGATCTGCTTGCTACGAGGGCACAATTTCTGATACCCCAAGTGCTTCAAGAGAATCCTAGTCTGGACGCTGCCCAGGCGCTCACCATTTTGGTATGCTGCCCACGTACCATGTATTTGCTACTTTGAATTTTGACCGATGACTAGACTCTCGTTGAACTATCAGCTGGAAATATGCGGGCAACCAATTACTATGGCGGAATCACAGCGCGGTTGATTTTCATGCTTGGTGGGAACGTATTGAACAGCCAGGCCTACTCATTCGATAAACGCCGCCAGCAAAAAGACCGGCAACTACGAAACTTGTTTTGGATTTGCTACACAATGGACAAAGATATTGCTCTCCGCACAGGCCAGCCGCCAACGATCAGCGACGAGAATTGTGATCTTACACTGCCCCCGGGCTATCTCGAACGAGCATTCTTAGACGTGGAAGACGAGGATGCCCCGTTCCTGGGACCGGTCTTTCCATTTGACCTGCGTCTGAGCATAATCAAGGCCCGAGCCCACCGAGAGCTCTATTCAGTGAGTAGTCTTCGAAAATCCGATGCCGAGCTTCTCAAGTCCATTCGGGTACTAGATGATGAGCTTGAAGAGTGGCGTCTCTCGGTTCCTCCTGCATGGCGTCCAACCATGTCGTTTTCTTCGGAGACATCGGATCCCAATATGGGTATGCACAGTGTCTTATTGCGGTTGAATTATCATTTGTGCATGGCTATCATCCACCAAGCGAGTGGAAGATGTAAATCATGGATGGAAGGGCAAAATGGCATGATGGATGGAGTGAGTTCGAGTATGGCTCTGTCGGTGGAAGCTAGTCGATCAAGTCTCTGTTACCTTGAGGCGGCTGAACATGTGGTGGTCGATGGAGTCTTCTGGTAAGTCGTCTTATACTGTTCACATATTCACATGCCAAAGCTAACTTTTTTAGGACACTCATCTTCTACCCCATGTCTGCGCTACTCACCATCTTCTGCAGCATTCTGCAGAACCCACTGGATCCACATTCGCGCGAAGACTTGGACCGGTTAAAGGTTGCTACTGTCATGATGGAGCGTATCTTCTCACGAAAGCTGCCCGATAGTGAGCTTGTGCATTTCAAGATGGTCGCAGACTTCGTTATGGAGTTGAAGCGACTAGCTGAATGTGCCATTGACAAGGCTTGGGCAGAGCAGCGGGCCAGCCACATGTCGAAATGATTTACTGATATTTTCTCTTCAGCAAGTAGCTTCCACTTGATACACGGATTACGGATTATTCAATAATAGAATTGTATTGTATTATGCTTTGGGCAATTTGGTAGCTTTCTTCAGTGGTGCTATCAAGGCAAAGTCATAGACTAATCAAAGGTGTCTACCATCCATCCGATTTGGCTCAGTGCAATCCTGCCTCCTGTTATGTTGCAGCAACAGGAATGGGAAGTCAGTGTTCAAGAGAGACTGGTGCACTGGCTACAAAAGCCGAGGTGGTTGAATTTGAGGCAGGCAATCACAATCCACTGTATGGGCCATGTCCAGGAATTCGGTGATGGGTCAGCTTCGCAATACTGCATTGTAGCAAACAGGTATTCATGCAGAGGAAACACGACTTTCATGACAAGAATCGTGTCCATTTGCGGTCGATATTGGGAAGCATGGCCTATGTCATGTTCAAAAGTCGATACTGTGACGAACTTCACTGGCCTTCAGGATATCCTTTTTAGGTGACGCATTTCTCGGCTGTTTGAATCACAGCCAAACCTGACACTTTGCATGCCAAGTACGCCAGTGCAGTTGTCCAATATGTAGACGAAGATGTTGGATGCCATCAATCAAGCACATGCTCCTTCCACTCCTCTTTATCGAGTAAATCCCAAATAAGTCGAGAGTGTGCATCGGCCTTCTCCTTGAGCGCTTTGTTCGGGTCGGTATCATCTGTGGTGTCAATGGAGCCCACGCGGTTGCCTTCAGCATGCAATTGCTCAAGAACGCTCTCAACCTCTTCCTTGACCTTGTCCATTTGCTTGATTTCCTCGCGAGTATGTTTGAGCTGCTCTTCCATCATCATGATGAGTGACTCGCGGGCCTGATGCGGGCGGTAGAGATTGAGAAGGTGGTGGGCGTTGATGAATAGGTTGCGCATGTCCTCCACCTTGGATTGATATTGCTCGGGGGATACTGAGAGGATCCCGACGAATTCTAGGAAATTGAGGAGCAGGGATTTGCTGATCTTGAGAAGGTAATAGGCATGGTTGAGAGGAGGGGAGGGCTGCGAAGGGTCTTGATCGGCGTCGGCTGTGGCAGGCTCTGGGTAGAGCTGTTCAATTCCTTGGTCTTTCAATGACGGCAACACGGTCGACATCTAAATCGCAGTCAGTCCTTGTCTGTAGACATCTCGAGTGGGAGAACGAACTGTTTGTAATTCCCCAAAGACGCTATACTGCCCCGTCGGAATATCGGGAGGCACAAGGTATCTGAGCTCATCTGGAATTTCTAGAGCACGTAATTCTGCTGCTGTCCATTCCTTCTTCTTGTACGGCCGGCCATCTTCGTTCTTTGAAGCTTCGGCTTTGATCTGTTCGAGCTTGTTGAGATTATCGCGTGTAAAGTGCTTCCACAGCGGCGGTGGTGGCGCAAAGGCTGTAGGAACAGGTGGCTGGCTCGGATCAGCCATGGTCTCGGTGTGAGCGAAAGTGAAGACTGAGAGAAGAACAAAGGCGCGAAGTTGAAGGTGAAGATGAGTGGAGAGCGGTGTGGTCCGTGCAGCCGCAAGGTGTCGACACCTTGCGGCTTCAACTTCTGAACGACTTGCGGTTTCTGGAGATTTTCGGGGTACGTCGAAATGCCTCACAACGGTTCGGGGAATAGGTCAGCCCCATTGCTACAGCGCGTTGGGCTTGCCGGGGCCGCTGCTCGGTTTGCGCAACGCTCCTACGCGGCCGACTACATCGCATTGGGGTTTCTAGTAGCAGGTTGGGTCTTGGTAAGTCGCATTACAGCGGGGCTATATGATATTTATTTGATACTTATTGTCAATTGTATAGGTTCAATTCGTGGATCCGTTCCATCGCATGTTTTCCCTCGACAATAAAGCCATCCAATACCCATTCGCCGTTCATGAACGAGTCCCTGTTTGTGAGTCCTCAACAATCGCATCACATATTTCTATTTTGCTGATATATCTAGTGTGGTCTGTTCTAATCGCTGGCGTCACTCCTTTCCTTATAATCCTCACTTGGTCCGCAATGTGTCGTCCCGGTGTGCAAAAAACACAAGTAACGGTACTTGGGCTGCTCGTCGCCTTGATGTTGACATCACTCCTTACGGACATAATTAAGAATGCAGTGGGGAGGCCACGCCCAGACTTAGTGTCACGCTGCAAACCCTCTCGAGGTACATCCAACAATGCGCTGGTCGCATGGACCGTCTGCACCGAACCGAACCAGCACATTCTACAAGAGGGATGGAGGAGCTTTCCTAGTGGGCACAGTAGCTTCTCCTTTAGTGGACTGGGCTACCTATCGCTGTAAGTATCGCTCAGCTCAATGCCCGGGAAACTCCGGTCTAACCTAATATATAGTTTCTTGTGCGGTCAAATGCACGTCTTCAGGCCCCGCACCGATCTTGGGCGTTGTCTGTTGGCATTCTTCCCATTGCTATGTGCTCTGATGGTCGCCATCTCGCGTTTGGATGATTATCGACATGATGTCTACGATGTCACATGCGGAGGACTTCTGGGCATATTGATAGCATGGTTCTCCTACCGCCGCTACTATCCGCCTCTGCGGTCGGTACTGTGTGATATCCCTTATGATAAATCGGATCTTGCTAGTCCGGAGGGCTTTGCCAAGTTGGATGACGAGGAGCAGGCTCTATCGCGGCCATTCACTTCACGTTCTGGACCTTCTCAGGAGAGCTTCCAGCTTCAGGAAATCGAGCCTTCTAGATGAACTGAGCATTGAGTATACATGATTACCCAATGTTCTTAAAACTGAAACAATTACATTGTTGCATTTTGTAGATACGTCAAGTTGAATATCGCAAGAGATAGTCTATTGAGCACCCTTTGCTCATGCATCCAAATGCGTTGTATGATTATTTTACCGCATAGCTGACTCGCGAGTTACCAGTCTTCCTCGCTATCTTCTTCACAGTCACAGGCCCACACAGATCCGTAGTATCGACATGCGTACCTCCACAAGGATAGACTTCAGCACCAACAATATTAACCACACGAGACTTTTCACCGGCCGGGACCAGACTGCGATCTGGGATCATCCGCTCCAGTCCTCGGGAACGGAAATCTTCTTCATCCCACCACTCAATCTGAACGGGCATCTTGGCAACGAGGAACTCGTCTAGCTTCTGCTGGATAGGATCCTTCCATTTCCCCTCAATTGAGCCTTTGAATTCACATGATGCTGAGTCTGGGAAATGAGAGGCCTTCAATTCATCAAAGTTCTCGATCTCCTTCTCCAGCAGATGCCGGACTGCGGAGCCGAGTACATGGCCTGCAGTGTGGAGGCGAGAGTAAAGCAGACGCTTCTCTGCATCAATTGCCTGTTCGACTGGTTCTCCATTCTTGAAAATCGTAGATGGATCCTCGAAAACACCGAGGTGAAGCACTTGTCCATTGGCATCCATACGAACCGCGGTGACAGTGAAAGTACTAGCAGAGCCTTTCAGCACACCTATGTCGGAGGGTTGACCGCCTCCTTGGGGATGGAAGATGGTCTTCTCGGTCACAACGACATGGCAATCGTCGGCATCCTTGAAGAGTTGCTGGCTGGATTCGTCGAGTGTGCTGAAACGGTAAACCGCTGTCACAATGGTCTTCAGATTATGAAGACTTGCGTCATGTTGGAAGGCAAGATATGTGCGAGAAGTCATTGTATGCATTGGAGTTCTGTAATGGTATAGAGGATAAGACTGTAAAAATAAATACAAGAAGACGCATATGGAACCCTGTTATTCACAGGGCGTGTAGATAACGTTCCAAGGTTACATTTAGCTAGCCTAACTAAACTGTTTTTCAAAACAAAAAAAAAAAAAAAAAAAAACTGCACTGGGAGGGAATCGAACCCCCGCCACTACTTTGGAAGAGTAGTATTCTACCACTGAACTACCAGAGCTGACTCATAACATTGCTGTTCTATCTACACACTCTATAGTACTACTGTAGAATACTGTTAAGGAAGTATGCAGTCATTATTTTAATTTACTCCATCTATGAACAAGAAAATAAGCAGTAATATCAGAAGGGCAAGTAAAGACCGAGTCTGAAGAGTGTTCAATGGATTGGCAAAATATCGGCTTGGCTTTGCCTTTCGGTCCCGGCCAACTCCATCTCTCCCACTTCTACTTTCTGCTTCTCAACCGTTCAAGTTCACCATGTCTAAACCACGAGTCCAGATTCTACTTTCAGTCGACTTCGATGCTGTATCGGGCTTCCTAGGCACTGGTGCTTCTCCTACAACCAATCTTGCTGATTACAGCAGTGGTTTCTTTGCAGCCCAAGTAGGAGTGCCGCGCCTACTGCGACTCTTTAAGAAACATGGCATTGCCTCTTCAGTGACCTGGTTCATTCCGGGGCATTCGATGGAATCATTTCCGAAAGAGACCAAGGCGATTGTCGACTCTGGTGCGGAAATCGGCTGTCATGGGTATGCCCACGAGGGTTCCAGCCAGATGACCGAGTCCCAGGAGAGGGATGTCATCACGAAATGTGTGCAATTGGCAACCGACTTGACAGGAAAGAAGCCTCGTGGGTGGAGAGCTCCCTTGTATCAATTGCGAACGAATACCATTGAAGTCTTGGAGGAACACGGTTTCTTATACGGTATGTGCTGGCAATTCTTCTCCTACAATGAAATGCTAACCACTAACTAGACTCTTCTCTCACGCATCATGACTCGGCGCTTTACTTTATTCCCAAAATGCCCGAGCCCACGGCCATTGACTTTTCGCCTTCCCACCCTGCTTCCACTTGGATGAAGCCTCTCCCTCTTCCGGCAACCAGGACGTCCGAAACCCTGGTTGAAATTCCCTGTAATTGGTACATGGAAGATATGACCCCGATGCAGTTCCTTCCAGCTGCTGAGAACTCTCACGGGTTTGTTAGCCCAGCAACGATTGAGCAGAATTGGAAGTCTCGGTTTGAATTCTTGTACAGTGAAGCCCTTGAAAAGGCCGCGGAGGAGTCTAGTCCACAGGGATTCATCTTCCCTTTGGTGCTGCACCCAGATACTAGTGGAATGGCCCATGTTGCTGGCATGATCGACCGGATGATCAGCTGGCTCAAGCAACAGGATGTGGAATTTGTGACATTTGGGGACTGTGCAGCAGAGTGGAAAAAGGAGCAGATTTGAGCTGTTGAATTAGCATTATACATATTAAACCTCACGTATATCAACGCTTCAAATGTATATAAAAGTCACTGGTTCCCGCTCTGACATTTGCGGGGACGATAGACCCTTATCGCCACTGGGACCCAATTTTTTTGTTCCTTCCACTACTCGGCAACTTCCATTCAGACTAGGGCTCATCACCATGTGAAATCAATTCCCTGATGCCACGAAGAAAAGCTGCTGATCGCACGGGCCCGGTCAAGACCCGCTCTCGCGATGGCTGCAAAGAATGTCGAGCGAGTCGGGTCCGCTGCGACACCAAAAAGCCTCGCTGCACACGCTGCTGGGAGAAAGGGTTACCATGCACCAAGAACTTGGTTCTAAAATGGGAATCGGAATTTGCTAGTCGTGGTATGGCCTTTGGCCGTGCCGGCGTATGGAGCAAATCTCAATCTGCGAGCCCATCCACTCCTAGCTCTATTTCTTCCATACAGGAGTGGTGCCCCGTCCCGACTATCCGCTCCTGGGGCTTTATCAACAGTAGTTTTTCCACATTTGAACGCCCGGATGAAGTCAATGTGGATTTTAACGAGCTAAATGCAATCATCACCGTTGCCCAGAGCTCTCATTCGCTATTTCCCAGAACTGCGACGGCCGATCAACTATGGTCATGGCTACAGCATCTCCCGTACATGGATGGACTGGCCAATTGCTTCAATCTCAGTCTTCCCCCATCTCTCGCGCTTTTCCCAGAACTCTCTAAATCAGGACATGGAGAGCTATTTGATTACTATCTGCAACAAGTATGTCCACGCACGACAGCTAGCTCTGCTTTTTCGTCGCCGTTTGCTTCTGTGATACTGCCGTTCTGTCTCTCTGCATCTCCCACTCTTCTCAAGGCAATTCAAGCCTTGGGAGCATGCCACTGGTCAAGGCTCAACCCGAGTTACAGTGCTACTGGACTGCGATTCAAATCTGAGGCTCTAAGAGAACTTCGTCAACGTCTCTCCTCCGAGGGAACTTTGACGTGCTCCATGGATCCCGAAGTTTTGGTGATCATGATCATGCTATGTCTATATGAGATAGTAGACAAGTGCGACCAGCAATGGACAATCCATCTCAAAGGTGCCAACGATCTGATTCGGCTTCGACGGAAGCAACAAAATGCACTGTCGCATTCAGCAGCAGCAGCAGCATCACCGGACCCTGTGACGAGTTTTGCAGAGCAGTTCTTCGCTTTCCAAGATGTGATGGGTCGAACAGCCTGTGCTAAAGAGGTTCTATTTGGCACAGACTATTGGAAGCCTGACGAGCGAAACATCGATCTTTGGATGGGCTGCAGTCCTGAATTGGTCTCCGTTTTGGCAAATATCACTGATATGAGCCGAACAAGGAGGCAAAATACGTCCGATACAGACAAGGCATCTTATGCCTTGCGTGCTGCTTCCCTCGAACGACAACTGGAGCGCTTAGTCCAGGAAGTCGGAGAAGGAGATGATGAAATCCTGGCACTTGTTGCAGATGCCAAGAGACTAGCCGCAGTACTATACCTCCACTGTGCACTGTACGGGGCCTCCCCGACTACCCCTTTGGTGAAAAGCTATGTCCGCCAGATCCTGCGGCTCATTTCGAATCTTCTTAACCGCAATCTACTGGCGAATGTGACGTGGCCAGTCTTTGTGGCGGCTGTGGAGCTTGATCCATCAGATGATGAGGTGTTTCCTGACTCTGAAACCGAGTCAGGGTCTGGACGGGCAATTGTGCTACGCGCCCTTGCCACAATGGCTGATTCGACTATCTCAAATATTGCAAGAACCCGAGCAGTGATCACCAAATTATGGCAGACGCGAGATCTTGATATGCTCAAAGGAGCCGCTCTTCATAATGAATGCAATGATTGGGAGTGGTATGTAGTTCCAATAAGCAATGCCATGAGTCTGGCTTGATATATATGTACTTATAATGAATTACTTTGTTACATATATTTCAATGAAGGCACTGTCCCTCGGAAACGTGTTGAACCAGTCCTATACCCCAACTCGAAGTAACGGGCGCGAAGAAGGGTCGCTACTCTAGGTTTGTCATTCATGCCACTTCTTTGTTTGGGCGTTTTGCTAGAGTCTACTAGATAAGCAACGATCTAAATAGTAATGGCATAGTAACCAAAATAGTAACGATAAACTTGCACAAATGCATCCATTGTGGCTTTTGAAAGGTATCGCGAACAAAGTGAGTGTAAGGGTCCAACATACATCGTGTTGAACTGTCAGCTAAATGGAAGCCCCATATAGAGTAGAGATGGCCGTAAAGCATTTGACTTGGACATATCGAATGCTTTGCATAATTGAGGCTGGAAAATTATATAGATCGTCATTTAATGGATTGCGTCCGCATCCGGTTAGCGTATCATCTGATCTGCGCGTTAACCGCTCGGAGCCAGCAACCTCATACTGATCTTGGGCTTCACATCTACCGTTATACCGTATTGAAACGCCCTATGACAATACATTTGTGTCATCTAGTGTGGTATAATAATTGACACCGGGAATGATGCCCGCCTCGCGCCTTGCTCGAGAGTGAAGATCAGTTCACTTGGATAATGGCTCAGGCGCGACCTTCAGCGCCAGGGCGCAGTACCTCTGTCCAAAAATTTGAGAGCAAACTCAGTCAACAGTTATCACATCCAGAACAATCGCCAGATCTGCAGCTCCAACCCACGACGCGCTCTTCGCGCTCGTTATCTGATGCGTCCAAACCCACCCAGCCATCCACTGGGGATTTGAGCCGCCCACCAAGCAAAGACGATGGGATTCCTGCTCTACCTGCAACCCCAAGACGCTCGAGTGTGTCACATCCCGGCTTGTCACTAGACCTGCCTTCCAAATCCGCCGCGTCGCCGTCCCTAAATCGCGCTCCTCTATCGCCCAAACTAGATCCCTCACATATTTACGGATCTCCAGGATCTGTTCTGCCGCGACGATCCCGCGGTCTCGACTTTTCTCGCGCCTGTACCAATCTGCACCATTCTACCCTCGCCGAATCCTCCCCCGATTCATCTCCAACCGTCGGAGGGCGGGGCATGCCAATCCCTCAGCGGCGCGGATCGCCTGGCGCGACTTCCGTCCCTCCATTCTCGACATCAGGTCCAGCAGATCGTGCGACGATCTCAAGTTCTATGTCGAGTGTGAATATGATGGAATCAGACACAAGTAGTAGCGAGGAGGAGGATGAGTCGATGGGGGACCGCGACGACATAATGCTCAACACGCCGCAAGCAACGCGCATGGGAAATGCGCCCAACTCGTTTGCTAGCAATATCCAAAGTCCGGGGAACGAGTGGATGGGTGGGTATTCACAAGCTGCCGCCAGTTTGATGAGTTTCCAGCGTGCTCGGTTTCGCAAGGGTCGCAGTCGACATAGCTCAAGCAGCGCAAGTGGAAACAGCTCGAAACCTAGTCCCACGCCTCATTCTCCCCCAATTATGAAAAGTGTCGAACACTCTGCGGGGTACTTTGCACCTCGGAATGCGCATACTCGCAGAGAGTCTCTCAGCCTAGGCACGCGCGACTTGCGCCTGTCTGATATGAGTGACGACGGCGAAAATCGTGCGACGCGCGGCGGAAGCCCAATTCCTGCCTCTCATTCAGAGGGTGGCGGGCCACTGGGAGTTATTCGGCGTGCGGTGACTCGTCGTGGAAGTCTTCTTGTAAGTTGTTTGTTACTGCCTCTAGATGTGCAAATCTAACATGTGTTGCAGCCCAAAACCAAAACCTTTGCGCGCATTCGCGCTGCTTTGATGGAAGAGGGTGCTCCAGTTGACAGTGACATGAAAAGAGAGGCAGAAGTGGTCCGGCAGGTCCGGGACACCGAGCCTGAAACAACGCCTGGACTCGGAGAATTTCCATCGCTAGAGCCACCCGCTGCATTTGATGGGGAACCATCTGATGATACGACCGGCAAGGCTGGAATTGACACCCCATCCAAGGGCAGTTTCAGCAAACAAGCTAGTCGCAACTCTGGCGGTGTTGAGTTCTGGAACTCGTTCGATGAGCGATACCGAACCCCACCTCCTCTACGCCAGGGTGCTCCATCTGTTGCGGACGATGACATGTCTATGGATATGACCCCATCCACAACGGTTGGTTCTACCGCTGCAGACTCGTCCAAGCCTCGCTCTCGCTCTTCTACTCCTCACCCACAGGGCATGGCAGCCATCGGCGATATTTGTCGCAAACGGCGTCGTGATGATGATTTCGATCCCAATCTCTTCAAGCGTCGGGCTGTGTCGCCCAGCGTGAGTGCCCATAGCAGCCCGGTGATGACCCATACCCACACTGTTAACATCAGTGATGCTGGACCAAACATTTGGGGTCCACCACCCAAGCCAGGACTCGGAGCACCTTTCTCTGAGCGTGAATCTGGCAGTCGGATGACACCTCACGGGGCAAAACGCATTGGTCTACAGGGAATGACCGAGGCGAGCGATGGTTTTATGAACATGAGCATTGATTGAACGGACAGTTCTGAACTTGCATTTATCTTAATTCGGAGGGGTTCTTATGGTGTGGGCATAGTCACTCTATTTCTCTCGTTTTTCAAGGCATGGCGTTGGGGATTGAAGATACACACGTTCCTTATTTCAGCGACATTTCGGATACCACATGAATTTAAATGGTATGATACTTCGGCCATTCAAGAAGGTGTAGCTATACATGTAGCTGTAGGAAGCTGAGGCAGATATACTTGGCCACGTGCTTATCGCTCTCCGCCTCCAGCTCTTCTCTCCGCACACTCACCTCCGATCACTGCATTCACGTTTCTGAACCCAATCCCTCTTTCAATTGCTTTCTAGGGCTTTGAAGCTACTCCTATTTTAAATCTTTATTTATCTCCCCATGGCTTCCACTGTTGAGCTGGCATCCTCGTTCATCGAGGGTGCCCCGCCCGGAGAGGTACGCATGTCAACAACTACCCAAAACACCCATTCCCTGACAACTGTCCACCTGAAGCCTCGAATAGCTGCTAATCTGCTCGTTCTCTTCAGCTCGCGGATGTTGTTGCCGGTAAATGACCCTCTGAGCATTACGCTGTCCCAATCCCCGACCCCCGCATCCCCGGCCTGTTCACATAAATATTGACCCTGCTTACTGATCCTTGTCACTGGATTAGATGTGCAAGCTCTGACCTCCGAGGGCGAGAATATCATTCCTTCCCTTATTCCCGCATTCGAGAGATACAATGAAGCGCAGCTTACGACAGTCAAGTTACCCGGATCGAGCCAGGAGGTGGGTTTCACCTTTCAGTAGCACTTGCCGGTCGTATTGATATGCTGACACTCAGGGAAAGGTTATTGTCAGCGAATTTAACAAGGTCGAGGGCAACCGCTACTTCGATACAGAAAGCCAGACCTCTTTTGAGATCGACCATACCACACAGGTAGGATACATCTGCATGACTGGACATGGCATTGAAGGCTTACGGTTCGGATATAGACTGCCTCTGCGGCTCAATCTTCTCCGTTGGAGTCTCAGAATGCAGACTTGATGTAAGGAACTCGGGTTGTCAAAGTGCTAAGAAAGATGCTGATTCTATTTAGTAAATCGCTGCTCAAGTCGTTCGGTGCCCATGCCCGTGAACACTACCCCGACTGCTCCTATGGTGTTTACCCTATTGAGGATGACTCCGCCATCGCCATTCTCCTGGTCGCAAACCGATACTCTCCCAACAACTTCTGGTGAGTGCTACTCTCCGTTGACAGGATGAATTAAGCTAACCGTGTCGGACGCCTCCCTGTCTGGGGTGGCTTTCCGTTAATTCTATAGGAATGGTCGTTTCCGTGCCATCTACCAAGTCCCTGTCTCCTCCTCTACCACCTTGACCGGCAAGATCCACGTTGACGTGCACTACTACGAAGATGGCAACGTCGCGCTCAACACTACTAAGCCTGTCAGCATTTCTATTCCATCCGTTTCTGCCGAGTCCATTGTGTCGCGTATTGCCACGGCAGAGCGCGACTATCAGGAGGCTTTGAATCGGGCCTTTGTCCAGACAGCCGAGGGTGTATTCAAGGGCCTGCGGAGACAGCTCCCTATTACACGGCAGAAGGTTGAGTGGGAGAAGGTCGGTGGATATCGTCTGGGTCAGGACATTTCAGGCGGCAAAGGACGGTAGAGCAGATATGGGAATATTGAGCAGTGATAAACCTGCTCGTGGACAGCTGGGCTGATACATCCCTCATGTTTTCAAGCATTGTCTCATTTTGTGTTTCAATATATTCCATTTCAACAAATTACGGAGTTTTACCGTCTAGTGTTAGGCCTGTCACTATATATATCCTGAACATCCTACCCAAACCACACCCAAAGCTGGTAAACCATCAACTAGAAGATTAATCATTTTCACTGCTAATATCAAATAACAGAAAAGAAATTGACTATTCTCCAACTACTTCTTATAGAGCATGCAAAGGATGAATAAGCAAGACTAGCGCAGGATGGCCGGAGATCAGTCCGCCTCAACACACAACCACCCCTTCAGACGCCCCAAGAGAGTAGAATAGCATCGCAGCAATGATTCAAAAGTTCTCTCGGTTTGTCAATTCCGGCGCTGGTCTGGAGAAGACCCTCCGGCTGGTCCAATGCACGGCCCAGGTTGTCGCCGCGCTCACCGTGAGCAGTGCCCTGGTCGTGCAATTGACCACAGTCAAGTTGCAATTGGCATTGGGTAAGTCGGTGTATACTTTGCAGGGAAATCCCTGCGTACATCGCTATTCAGCTGCTAATTCGGGTCTGTATAGCGCGGAGATACTTCCGTTTCTTCGGATTCATTGATTCCTTCCAGCGCATGTCTGCATTGCTCGGCAAGGATGGGTTCAGCTCCGTGGGTGGATTGATTGGCCTTGCCAAATGGACTTGCTTTGGCCTCTATTTCCTCCTAGAGGACCTGACCACGGTATGTTACGTATTTGACTCTGATGATTGGCACTGACCATATACCAGCTCCATGCCATGGGTGTCTATTCAGTGTCCTGGCATGATCCTGTCATGGACCAGGCCAATACATTCTGGCTCTATGCTCTGTCTTTCTCAGTTGTCGGTAGTATTTGGGCTCTCCTGTTCGGTCCGTCAGAGCAGCCAGCCAAGAAGGAAAGCAAGAAGAAGGACCAGAAGGCTGAATCCGAGAAGACTGTTCCCGTCAAGGCGACTCCTTCCTCTGCTTTGATCCAGCAGATTGTGGTCGATAGTTGTGATATGCTCATCCCATTGGAACTTCTCAACTGGATGCCCACCGGAGATGTCGTGATTGGATCTACCATGGTATTGAGTACACTTTTGACGGCTCAAAATATCTGGGCTCGAGTGTGAGGGTTGGATATATCGAGTAACGAGTGATATAGACAAAAGAAGGGTCATGTAGATATCTAGATATAGATCTGTTGTATATCAAGCCAATGCGGAACAGAACAAAAAAGCACGCCAGGAACACACGAGATAATTAACCAAAATACAGAATACAATCAGATAAGTTTGTAAAGGAAATAACTAAAAAGAAAAACTTGGACTCGCGGGGAATCGAACCCCGGACCACTCCCATGCTAAGGGAGTATTATACCACTAAACCACAAGCCCAGTTCGATGGAAAAAGTACCAGTTTAGTGTTATATGACTCTGAACAAATAATCAGGGGAATTGTGATATCTCAATCGGGAATGTATCAGCGAACCCTTGTCCAACTTGTTGCCTCGAGTCTGCTCTGCATCTGTGCAATGCCCCTGCTCTTTAAGAACCATGCCAAGGCGCCAGCGGAGTCAAGGTTGCTTTCTTTGCAGAAAGCGCAAGGTTAAGGTGAGCAAGACCGAGCCACTGTATCAAGATATCTAACGAGGACCAGCATGATGAGGGGAAACCATCTTGTGGGAACTGTGCTGTCTATGGCAAGAAGTGTCCCGGTTATCGGACCAGTATCCCGTTAGTCTTCCTCAATGAGAATAAAAAGGTTGAGAGCCTATTCAGTAAAGAACGGAAGAGAGCCGCAAATAACCGACCAGAGCAGACAACACAGACGCAACTTGTCTCTCGGACTGCGAGTGCTCCTGGAATGTCCGACACGGGACTCTCGGTACTGCGGTTCTTATTAGACTCCTCATGGGAAAATCATGGTCGTTGTTATTTTCTAGACCAGTTCACTTTGCCCACTGAGCCAGACGGCAGCCCTGGACCCCTGGACTCGATACCTGTTCTGTACACGCTCTGCCGGGGTGAGAAAGCCAATGGGGCTCCTCTTCTAAGCTTGCGTGCAGCCCTGGATGCTGCAGCATTTGCATCACTGGCAAGCCATGCCAATGTCTCGTCTCTTGCAATCCAGGCCCGGAAGAAGTATGGCCAGGCTCTTTGTGCGTTGAGCCGTGCTCTGGAGTCGGTTGAGGATGCCACCCGAGACGAGACATTGGGGGCGATTGTCATGCTCATGATTTTTGAGGATATCAATAGCGAGCGACAAAGCTTGATGAGTACTCATGTTCCCGGGATCCAGTACCTTTTGAAGCTGCGTGGAGTTAAGCAGCTCAGTGACCCTGCAACTCGGTCACTCTTTCACTTTGCTTTTGCACAGATGGTATGAGATGCCACGTGAGAAACAGGGACGTTTGCTGAAACATACACAGTTGATTCAATTTGTGGGCTTGAAAGATCCCATGCAGATTAACTTGGATTGGCTGTTAGATGTGCTGATTATATCTCACCCCATCTATCAGATGATGTCAGGAAATATCAAAATCCTCAAATTCTGTGCCACGGTCTCGCAGTTGCTTTCCAGTGAAGGCGCTGGCCAGCCAACGCCATTGAGCGTGATGTCTTTCCTAGAACAGGGCGAGAACCTTGACATGGAATTAAGTCAGTGGCATTCCGACATACCAGAAGCATGGCTGCCTCGCAAATGTAGAAAGACCGATGGAGCAGAGGTAATTCTTCATCCTGATATCACCTCAGCAGATGTTTGGAACTCGTACCGTGGCACAAGAATCATTCTTCAACAGACAATCCTCCAAATACACGGATGTCTAGATGGCTGTACAGGGAAAGCATGGAGATCTGAAGCAATATGCTCACCACAGGACATTATCATTGAGATGGCCACCGAGATTTGCCAGACGCTTCCATTCGCACTAGGAGAGATCGATCCATTGGGATGCCCCACTCGTCGGACTGGTAGGACAAATATCAAGGCTGTTCAAGGATTTGCACTGCTCTGGCCAATATTCAGCGTGACGCAATGTGGCTATGCCACCGAAACCCAAGAGGCTCAGGCACGCTCCGCCCTCCGTCAAATTGGATCTACACATGGAATTCAACTAGGAGTGGCATTGGGCCGGGAGGGAGTTTCTATGGACCGACCTCCTACGGGCAACTCGCGAGTTCCAAACCGCTGACATCATTTGTGTTTGCGAGGCTGAAGATCTGCCTGTTGTCATGTAAATACTTGTTCCTGTGATGGTACCCATATATAATTAAACTACGGTATACCGCACTCAGCTGATCATCAGCCTCCGATGAGCCACTAGGCGAAGTGGATACGAGATGCCAAGCGACGATTAACGTTCATTGGTTCCATGGATCGGCAGCTTGAGGTTGCCCGCCACGCCTGATTAGGCAAGTCTCGTATTTGAAGGCACGAAGGAAGATATAAAGAGATTGTGAGGGAGGAGGTGAAGGGGAACAATCAGCCATCATGACTACTAATACCACAACTACCAACTTTGATGTCAAGGAGCAGGTCCATTCTTCTACCTTGTCTGTCGCCTCCTGCAGTACTCTATGCACACTTCATGAAAGTACTTCCTTTCAACCATCGCGTATCTTGACTGTCAATGCGCAAGGCATCGCGGCTTTCCGTCTTCCTTTGCCATCTCGACAGATGAAGATTGTCATCTACAATACAGATGGCAGCGAAGCCTATGTCTCCACGCGCGACAAACGCTGGTCAGGCGATGCGGTCTTGTCACACCCCAATCGCGGCGATATTATCCGCACCGAGTACTTCTTTGGTCCGAACCGTGATCCGGTTTTGCATATTCTGCAGGCTGCTGATCTCCCCTCTGTGACTGTCACCGGGAAATGGACCTCCCGCGCCGCGCGGTTCGAGATGCCTGGAGGCAAGTGTTTGGAATGGGAATATGCCAAGGAGAAACGACCAGATGGCCAGAAAGTGAACCTCCTTGTTCTGAACGCGATTGCAGAAAAGGCCGACAGTCAAGAGCACATCCGACTTGCACAGCTAGTCCGAGGCTCAGATTCTCGGACACCGGGCACATCACGCTGTACTGCGGGCAATGGCGGGGAATTGCAGATTGATGAGGCAGCTTTGCAGTCACTTGGATTGGACGAGGCACTCATTGCTGCCACTTGCTTGATGATGCTGAAGAAGGAAATTGACCGACGAAGGATGATCCAGATGGCAGTCATCGGCGGGGCTGGAAGTTGAGAAGATCAGATTGTACATGTAGGAGTTACAGAGAGCGGGTTTTGGTATAGTTTTCATCATGTACATTTCATTGGTATCTATTCTCTCTATCTTTTGTTTTTCGGTCTATATCTCGTGTCCTCGTTCAGTAGTGTATCGCTTAATTGCTCTTCTCATTGCACAAAGTCGCAATGTGGCCATTGAGCCAGTAGCCATCCAATTCCTTGGAGGACATGGTCTTGGCTCCAGAGATCCAGCCTCTGCAGACTCCCTCACCCGCTCCGCAGGTGCATTGGAAGGCCTGATCCATGTCCCACTCGGTGCTGGGGTAGAAGAAGGTGAGGGCGTCGCCGGCCTTCAATGGCCTATCATCAACGACGCGCACCTCCATGCGCCCCATATCGAAGTTCAAAGATGGCGCGCAAGAGTGGTTGCAGTAGACCAAGTCGGAATTGAGCTCAATGTGGCTGTCGGGGCCAGTCTGTACGCTGGTGTAGGCTTTCGTACCGGGAGTGGCCGTGGTGATCTTGGCGAAGACAGCGCCAGCGGGGAGATCAACGAGAGAGTAAGCCCCGCTTCCAAAGGCTTTGGTGCTGCGGTCGACACGCAGGCGATCGGGATGGGTCGGAGGAGGGAATCCACTGGCGTGAGTAGCGGGGATAGGGTCTGCGGATGGGGCCATATTGAGCGTTATCGAAATAAGATGAGAGAAGGGAGGTAGAGGGAGAAGAAAGATGAGAAGTAAAATGCGCAGCTGCCGTGGCTTTTATTCACATCCCTTGAACCGAGGGCATGCGATGCTCCGAAACCGAGGCAGTATGACGACAAGCCGGAGACGAAGCCGCATCAGGAACCCCAGTCACTCACAGTTGCTAACGACGCTAAACACACTAACATACACTAAAAAACCACTCAGGACGTGGGGTTTTGATCGTCCGATCGCATTCTGCTGACCGGTGAGACTGGCTTGCATGTGATGCTTCTACGGATTCTATCTTTACGAGATTTACGATACTTCACGGGTCGCTCTCAATTCATCTTGCGTACCAGTTCCTCCCCCTGAAGCCACCTCTCCAGATTCTCCGCTGTCTCCCGATACCAACCGCGCAGGAGTTCTTCTTCCCCATATCCCATGTGGGGCGACAGGACCACCTCACTGCGCCCGTCTTGACCCCACGGAGTTGTCCGCCATGGGCTGTCAAGAGGCAATGGCTCTGGATCAAAGACATCGAGTGCCGCGCCACGAATGCGACCTGCATTCAGAGCCTCGAGGAGGGCCGCCTCGTCGATCAGGGGTCCACGGGCAGTGTTAACAATCAATGCAGTGGATCGCATTTTGGCCAACTCGGCAGTCCCGACGATGCCGCGGCTTCGGTCGGAGAGCACGTTGTGTAAGCTCACAACATCAGCCTGCGCAAAGAATTCTGCTTTGGATGGGGCGACCACGAATGATCCAGCAGGCAAGCCTTGAGCTTGAGCTTGCTCATCGGCCTTTTCTTGGGTCAAATTGGTTGACCAGGCGGACACTTTCATCCCAAAGGCAAGCACTGCAATCTTTCCTACCTGAGATCCGAGTTTCCCTAGACCGAGTAGTCCGAGGGTCTTTTCAGACAGATTTAACCCCAGAGAGCCCTGCCATTCACCCCGTTTGACTGCCGCATCATCGCGTGCCACATTCCGAGCAAGCGCTAGAATCAGGGCCCAGGTATGTTGGACGGTCGAATTGACACCAGGGGGTCGCCCTTCAGTGCCCGCGACTGGAACATTGGCACACGCAAAGGCTTCGAGGTCTAGCGAGAGATTCCGGGTTCCGGTGGTCAAGAGGAGTTTTAAATTCGGCAGCGCGGAGATCGTCTTGGCAGCAAACGGAGTTCGCTCGCGCATTGCTAAGATCACATCGAAGGGAAGCAGCCGTTGAATAAGAGCATCGTGCGTTACCGGATCGCGGGGGTCGAGGGTTTCGGGGAAACTGGAGATGTCGACGTGCGACTCGAGATGGGCAAAGTAAGGGGGCGCAATGCCCTGATAGTCGTCAAGAATAGCAAACTTGAGTTTCGTCATTATAAGAGAAGTGAACAGGAGCGAAAGTGAAGTAGAAAAAACGTAGAAAAGAAGTGAAGAAGAAGACAGATTAGAATGCGGGGATGTGATGTGCTTCGGCAATGAATTTACCCATCTGTAGAGGTAGATGTACGTACACGGAAGTTGAATCTAAATCTATAAGGGATCTCTCATCATAAGATAGAATGATTCACTACCATCGCATCCGAATGGCTCAAAGTCCATCGTTACCTCCTCCAATTGCTTCCATCCATACTTCAAATACAGAGGTACACCTTCGGGTGTCGCCTCGAGGAAGATGCGAGATTTCGAAGCATTGGCCTTTTCAATTCCCCATTTCAAGATAGCAGAGCCATATCCTTGTCCCTGATATGCCGGAAGAGTTGCTAGCAAGTCAAGCACTGTTCATTGTTAGACCAAATCCTTCCAATGCGGGGCCCACATACCAATGTCCTTCTCTGTTGTGTATCGCTTGCGGGCATTCTCCAGTATTTGTTTGAAGGCATTGAAGATATCTTCTCTCATTGGCTGAGGCGCATATTGAACAGGGTCTTTGGCGAATTCCATGGCCTGCTCACTCAATGTAGGAACCGTTGGACCGTAACCTAGAGCCTCGGGAATCATCCACCGGCTATATGCGACCAATTCGCCGCTTGCCTCGTCATGGATTTTGAGGACATGCATATTTGGGTTTGCGAGATGCTTCATGCCGACCTTTGCTTTATATTCCACCATGCGAGGGACACTGGCTGTTGGAAACATTCGAGCAAGTAGATGGCGGCCTTGGAAGCTTTCGACATTGACTTGAGCCAGGCCGGGCCCGTCAGCCTCGACGGCATACTGAATGAGATGCATGATTGAAGGTGAGATATGAGAGAAAGAAAGAAAGAAAGAAAGAAAGAAAGGATGAGAGAAAAAAAAAGAGAAGTGATGAAGCGTAAATAGTGACTCAATGAGGAAGTCAATAGTCGGAGTCCCCGATAAGTAAGCTGCACTAGGGGCCAATCAGACTTTCGATATGTTACATTGTATATCTCTTCACTTGGATCTTGATTCATTTATTTATTGGGGTTCCTCATCATAGTGCATGCTAAATCATTCGTTCATGACCGTTGGATCAAGAAAAAAAAAAAAAAAAAAAAAAAACTTCATCTCCCTCCAGCCTCATAGAAGCCTACCTCAATAGTGCTGAGCCTGTTGTTAAGTTCTGCGATGGCCTTAGCGATAGAATTATCCAGACCATCACTGATATGAGCAAAGACATACGGTCCGAAATCCTCCAAGGCTATCATAAGCTCATGTGCGAAAATATATCCATCAAAGACCCCTGTTCTTGGTCTAGCTGCGCTGCCATTGTCATGGACCTCGGATTCATCTTTGCAAATCCACCACTCTAGGGGAAGAACCCGATCGTCAATTTGGGCGGCAGCTGCTTCTAGAGTAACTTGAACGGGGAAATGGAGCCCTGCGGTGATTGGCAGGCAAGCATTAATTAATTGTACTAACAACTGCAGAGACAAGACCGACTGAATTCCTAAACAGATAAAACTATCTATCCATACTCTATTCCGATGCCCAAATGACCCCTAGTAACGGACATAGATTGTCTGTAGAAAGTCAACAACTCCAACTTAAGCACCCTTGGCGAAGGTCTTGAGAGAAGCCTCGCTGCCATTCCAAAGTTCCGAGTCACCACCATAGGTATACTCGTCCGAGTTCTGCCAGAAGCTCTGATATGGCCAGCCACCTGGGATAGTGCCCACAGAGCTGCTGTACCGAGCCAATACCAAGGGGTAATCATTGCTGAACGCGGTGCTACCTCCAGTACAGGTGTTCCACCAGTCGGCAGTTGTGTAGATCATGGGGTAGCGGCCAGTCTTGCTCTTGTATGTTTCACCAAAGTCCTTGACCCAAGCAACCATGGCAGATTCGCTGATCCCATAGCAAGTTGCACCGGACGGGTTGTATTCAATGTCCAGCATGCCGGGAAGGGTCCTGCCATCGTTGGACCAACCACCACCGTGGGCAAGGAAGTACTCTGCCTGTGTGGCGCCAGAAGAGCTGTCAGGGTGAGCGAAGTGATATCCACCGCGGATCAACCCAGCTGAGGATGCACCCTCATAGTGACTGGAGAAGGTCTTGTCGGTGTATGTAGTGCCCTCAGTCGCCTAAGTAGTTAGCATGGCCATACTTGCAACCATTGTTGGAATACATATTTACCTTGATCATGACGAAGCGTGCACCCGAACTGTATGCCCCGGCAAAGTTGACCGTGCCCTGGTAACTGGAGATATCGAAGCCCTGGACACCGCTAGCGCGCGACTCGAGAGGAGTGGCACTAGCGGCAGCGAACAGAAGCGGGAGGGCAGTGATCTTCATGATGAACATAGAAGAGGTCAGTGTTGCCAACAGAAAGGAGGGAAGAAGTCCCCTTTTATGCTCCCTGGATTCACAACTTCAAGAACAACGTCGCAGTCACATCGTATCCCAAAATAACAAACTTGCGATCATCGTGAAGATACGAGACCCCAATTCTATCCCAGTCCGGGATAAGTGATGTCGATCAACCCACCGGAATGTTGAGAGGGCCAATAGGTGAACAATTGCTGTTTCAACAGCCGAAGGCTCTGGGTCCTTGAATCCGGGCGTATACATCGGACTCCGATGTTAGTCTGGACAAGTAGATATTGTTCATGCCAGTCTCCAAGCGAATGTTCATATGCGTCTCCCTTGGTCGCTCATTGGCAAGGAGATCTCGTATAGTCCCGGACCATCAGGGGCGGTTCCTGGCCGATCTCGTATTCTGATATAGATGCCAAGATGTACTGGAGACGTAGACCAAGCACATGCAGCAATAACACAACATCAAAGGCGTAAATGTACACCACGTTGCATGTATTGCACGTATCAAGTACACTCCCGTACCCAGTTGTAGAGGATCGGCACTCGGCCCTAAGCGAAATCCGGGCAAAGCTCCTCCCCGCCACTCCCCAGTCTGCACTTCAGCATGGACAGGCGCCAGGATGGGGAACAAGGACTTCCGCGACCAGCTGGGCAAGTTCCGCCTTGACTCCATCAACACTCTCACCCCTTCAACATGGCAGCAGCCGGTCTATCACGAGCCGGTCGAGTCCTCGCCCTCGCGCAGCAAACGAGTGTCGACCGCCTGTGACTTTTGTCGCAAAAGGAAGAAGAAATGCGACTTTCGATATCCAAATTGCTCCGCCTGCACCCGAGCTGGAGTCCGATGCACCATCCCCCCACCGGGCCCCCAAGTCGCCAGCGCCTCCGTCCCCCGCGATCAGCTCGAGAACCTCCAGAAACGAGTGCGATGGTTAGAAGACATTGTGCGCCGCAAATCGGGCCTCTCTGTGGGTGAATTACCCACGGGGACTGCGGTGGATGGCGATGGAGACCCAGACTGGTGGTATCAAGTGCCCGCGATGATTGCGACCGGACATCGTCCGACCTCAATGCCCAGCCCGGCCGGCAGTGGTGGCTCCTCGACTGCAGGTCCGTCGGAGGCATCGACCGCGGTGGGCACTGAACTACCGAATGTCGGAGAAATTTTTCGCGATCAGCTGGAGCATCGCCGACCGTCCATTGCGCGACCTTCTGCCGCGCCACGGGTGATGCGCCTGTCTTCGCTGGGGGAAGCCGAACGGATCGCTGGACAATACTTCGACAGTATGGGCTATCAATACCCGTTCATGTCTCGATTGGAGTTCATGGGGAACCTGCGACACATCTATACTGGCGGTATTCCATCCCCAGAAACACACAATTCATACCATATCGTGATGGCCATTTCGCTCTTGATCGGATCGGCAGACCCAACCCAGGCGGCCGAATTCTACCATGCCAGTCAGGAAACCCTCCCACTGGCATTGCAGAATGAAGACTTGCCGGCTGTTCGAGCACTATTGGGGCTGGCCCTGTATACCATGTTTGCAACAGCAGGGCCTAGTATTTGGCATATCCTGGGTACTACGATGAGGTTAGCGACCAGTCTTGGTCTACACAAAGCACGATCATACCCCAGTATTGCCGAGGAAGAAATGTCCAAGCGCGCTTTTTGGAGTCTATATAATTTGGATCGCCTGATTGCTAGCACTCTGGGCCGACCATTAGGCATTGCCGACGACGATATTAGCGTCGGTTTGTTGCGCGAACTGAATGACGACGGGATTGAGGCGCCTGGCGCGAGTGCGATGACTATTCCGTTGCAGGTGATTCGCTTACGAAGGATCTTTTCGCGTATCTATCAATATCGTAAGTGGACTCTGCGCCTCATTCTGGTTTTATCTGACCGTTCGTAGTATACAGCAGCCTGCCGCGTCCCTCGCTCCAAGAGGCCGCTGCCACGCTCGGTCGATTCCGCCAGGAGGTCGACGACTGGCGCATGGCTGCTCCAGTCTATCCATCGGCTCTCCTCTATTCCACCTCGTATTATGATTATCTCTACTACACAACGTTACTTTTGATGTATCGTCCCAGTCCTCGGAACCCGACGCCTGATGCTCTTAGCATTGTTAGCTGCGGTGATTCCAGTGTCCAGGTCATTAGATCCTATTGGGACAGTTACTCCATTGGCAAACTTAAGTGGATTTGGTTGACGTTAAGTCAAGTCTATTTTGCGGGCATTACCATCCTGTGGTGCCTCGAGCAGAACGCGCGCTCCTTGCGTGAGTCGCTGCCGGCAATTTGGAACCCCGATGAACAAACGATGCGTCGTGGCATTCAAGCGGTTGTTGTCCTTTTGGAAGAATTTGGAAAGCGTCGACCCGGGGTGGACAAGCTGGCAGAGACATTTCGACATCAGAGCACGATGATATTCAGCCAAATGGCCTATCAGCAACAGCAATTAGAACAGCAGCAGCAACACCATCCTCACAATCAACCTCCTCCGCCGCCACCGGCACTTATCCCGCCTCAGCCCTCTGTGTCTTTAGCTGCACCACCACCACCACCTCCGGTTCCGCTGGCTCCTGTCCTCGACGACGTCCTGCTTGTGGATGGCAGCGGGGCCATCCCAATGATTGACCCGCAAATGGCAGACCAACTGTTTTACTCGTACAATTGGTTCCAGGAGGAGATGGCATCTTACTATACCCTTTGAACGAATCTTTTTCTTTGTATCTAGAGCTCTGTTGGAGATAGACGGAGTTACCGTATTGGCTACGATTTATTTTTTATTGTTAATAATCTCGAGTCTGTCACTGGTTAGGACGGTACTCATCAAATAGAGAAGTTCTCAAAAAGGCGCCGCCCAATTGGTTCTGGAGTTTGTACATATTGCTTTTGATATATGAGCATATGGTCGCGATGCGCTGGAATCTTTTGACTTTTGCAAGCCATATAAAATCATGCCTCTTCTGTTTCTTCCTTCACATCTTCAACCGCCCAGACTAAAGGTTGGAGACTTACCGGTCCTTTCCATCCCAAGGTATCCGGCCGAATCCTATACACATCCCCCCTCCAGCCGAGCCTTCAGACAACTAAAATGTTTGTCTCGAAAAATCCAGGACTCAATGGCTACTCCAGCTACTCTTGAGGTCACCATGCCTTCCACCAAAGCGGTCTCCCGAACTCACTATCTCAACTACCTCCAAGAACTCAACCCCGAGCAGGCTGGCGACCCAATCTCGCCATTTACAATGAGGAGGTCATGGCTTGCCACGACATTGAGACTTTGGTTGCTGATGCAGTTCATAAGCTGCCCGGACTGGGCTTCGACGCTGTCACCATGATCATCGACGAGGAATCTTCCCAAGTTGCTTGTCGACTTGGGCTCATCTCCACCCCCAATGTCGATTACACGGGCGTTCCGTCAGGACAATGTTTCATGTTCTCCGACTATGTCTTCTATGACTTCAATGATGGCTTGGTTGTCAAAATTCCATAGTGTATTTTCAGCCTTGGAGCTTTTGTTTTAGAGGGAGAACTGTTACAAATGTGCATAATATGTCGAGGCTCACTGCCCTGGTATGTGTTACAGCCACAGATGTGATGTGATGTATGTAGATGAGATGTCCAGACCTGACGTCTGATTATTAATGTCTAACCCCTCCATTTGGACACTTCTGATAAGACAATCTCACTGTTCTCTCTTTACCTCCTTCAGAATGGAGGAACTGGACAAGAAGACTACCCCTGCTTCGGGTCTGCCTCTTGCCTTTCACGGCACAGCCATTCATTCACAAAGCCTAGACGAACTCGAGATCTTGGAGAACTGCTTCATTCTCGTGGGCAAAGATGGCAAGATCCAGGTCTTTCAAGCAGGCGTAGAACCTGATCAGATCAACAATCTTGTTTCAGAGAATGGCTATGCGCCCGATATCTTCCCAGTGAAATATCTCAAGCGTGGGGAATTCCTGTGCCCTGGCTTCGTTGACACCCACAACCATGCACCGCAGTGGGCACAACGCGGCGTTGGAAGAGGGATCTCGCTACTCGACTGGTTAAACAAGGTCACATTTGCTCATGAGGCCAAGTTTGAAGATCCCGAATATGCTCAACGCACGTATGCCTCGTGCGTTGCCGGGTTCTTGCAGCAGGGAATCACCACCGCATCTTACTACGGCTCCCACCATGGCCAGGCCACTCGGATCCTGGCGGATGTCTGCTTTGAAAAGGGCCAACGCGCTTTGGTGGGAAAGTGTAACATGAGTCGAAATGCCCCGGAGTGGTACAGGGATGCCTCCATCTCGGATTCACTGCGTCAAACGCGTGAGCTCATTCAGCATATCGACCAACTCGACCCAGGATACCAACTGGTGAAGCCAATTATTACGCCGCGCTTTGCGATATGCTGTGAGCCCGAGTTGTTGGCTGGGCTAGGTGCCATTGCTCGTGAACATCCCGATCTGCCAATCCAAACTCATTTCAACGAGGCAAAGCAGGAAATTGAATTCACAAATCAGCTTTTCCCTGAGTTCCAGACAGAAGCCGATCTTTATCAGAAATTCAATCTGTTGAATGGTCGATCCATCCTTGCGCACTGCATTTTCCTGCAAGAAGAGGAAATGTGCCGCATCCAAGAGCTTGGCTGCGGTGTTGCCCATTGCCCGATCGCAAACACTACCATGCAAGAGTATATGATTGCACCTGTGAGGGAATATTTGCGTCGCGGTATAAAGGTGGGACTGGGCACAGACAGTGGTGGCGGTTACTCGTCATCGATCATGGAAGCTATGAAGCATGCCTTTATCGTGTCAAATGCGCAACAAACGAAGACTGAAGGCCGAGACCCTGCATTATCCCTGCCAGAATGCTTTTTCCTTGCCACCCTAGGTGGTGCGCAAGTTTGTGGACTCGATGATCGGATAGGAAATTTTGCGATCGGTAAAGAGTTTGATGCGCTGGAGATCCACACAGTCGATCTTGACCGACCGGGTGTGATGTGTCTAGTAGAAGATGAGGATACCATCGAGGTCATCTTCGAGAAGTTCCTGATGACTGGCGATGATCGCAATATTGCCAAGGTCTATGTGAGTGGTCGCTCAGTCAAGACTTCATGAGATCATGATTCAAATGACATTGAACGATATATGATGAACATTCGATAGACGTCTGACGAAGCCAATGGTCAAACAATATCCCAGACCTAATCGATACCCATATGTGCAAGCCAATGTAGATGTATATGAAGCTCAAAACAAACCCATCGAGTATTAACAACGCTGATATAGAAACAAGGAAAGGTAAATATACACGTAGAAGGTCAGTTCCACGATCCCCTCGGAGGCCCAAAGTAGCCTTGCGCCGGCAGGTTCTTGTAAGGAGTGCCTTGTCCATCCGCTGTATTTGTCGACACAGTGTTGCCCCACCAGCTCAATGAACCAGCAGGAAGAGTGATACAGAAGAATATGATCACCGTTGCTACTGCAACACCGCAATCTAGCGCGGCAGACAAAACATAATCTGTAGTCAATTAGCAACGAAGACACAAAGCTCTATGTGAGGTGGTGAATACTCACTATATTTTGACCACCACGCAGGGTTGCGGCGACGCAGTAGACCGTTGAATATTAGGTTGACAATCCACCAGGAGGAGAAGCTGATACCTGTAGCCGGTGGAACCTGGCTCATTGCGCCAAACGCCACGGGCCAGGAGATATAGTTGACGGATTTCCACCGACGACCTAGTACGTAGGTGATTACCACTGCGGCAGGGCCGACGAGGAAAAACCACAGTAAGTTGCTATAGATCTGCCCGGAAGAGAACAGTCGACCTGGGCCAATAGCTCCTGTAGATCGGTTAGCGGCCAGATGTAGTTGAGTTGACAGAAGGAATATGACCCACCCCAGATAAGCGAAGAAGAATATGTGACTCTCCCATGGGGACATGTGAAACTTCCCTCTGCATCAGATGTACAGACACCTTTGATTTGGGTGATCATGAACACCGTCACTCCGCACTGAACGATAGCCCCAATCAGCGTGGCAAGACCCTGAGCAACAAACAGGGTCCGTGGTGCGATGTGCATATAGTGAGCCAGTTTCATATCTGCAACGAATCTACTCGTAATGTTAGTTTGCGCGCCTGTGCCTGAAATCAAATAACTGACTCTAGTCCTTGCTGGACAGCGACATAGCCATAGAATTTGAACGCCATGTTGGCCACTGGCCGCCCGAGAAAGGCATATCCACCAATGAACTCGGTGAGTAAGTTTAGCTGATTACTGCTGATATTTGTCAGAGCTTTAATGATGCCCACTGGGATTATGTAGAGCATGGGCATCAAAAAAGCTACTACCACACCCCAAGCCGGCAGCCCAGTGTGCCATACCTCGTTGGTTACAACGCTCAGTGCAAACATTAGGACTGTAATTGCGACAAACCACCACCAAGGCACATGACGATAGACAGACATTAGCCGACCATGGACATCTTGCTTGCTCGTACCCTGCCATTGCTGCCACAGCTCTTTGCCATGGTACAATCCAACGTGGAAGAAGATACCAGTCAGATTAGCAAAGGCAACACCAAAAGTGATTGCGTATCCAGCCGGTAAGAACATGGGCGAGTAGTCTCGATAGGCAGATGGGTTGACTTGGCCGGCTGTGTTCATGATGCGGCTCGTGTTGTAGGTGCTTCCAGTGTTGTCGAAAGTGTTGGAATTGAGGAGGGGCAGATACGCAGAATACCAGGTGTTAGTATAGTAGACAAGGGGACAGACAAGCCAGAAAAAGAGCGCAAATGATCCCATGACATTGAGACCAGCCCAAAAAGGAACCAGTAGAGGACTTTGGTTGGCGTATACTACTTGGGCCCAGTCAAAAGTCAACATTGACATGCCCAGTCCTGTCGTTTGCCCAAAGAGCTGATTGACCACCACGTTAGTGGGTACAATCCAACAAATAAAGTTGAAGGTGCTGAGACCCGTGAAGAGATAGCCTGGTGCGAAATACCAGACGCCACCACCGATGAAAATATAGAGGAAGAAGCGGAGACGTGTGATCCGCCAGCCATCTGCGACGGTATTAACACGAGAGTGTAAAGTAGTTAGCAATGCAGCATTTGACAGAACCTGCGGCCAAAGCATTGATGCTGGTCCGACAAGCCAGCGCGAGGCCATGCCGGCCAAGCCGAAGCCGAACATTTGCGTAGTGATACACAGCAATACTTCAAAGCCCCCCTGCGACGGCATATTATAAAATTTCACCAATGCTTCAATGACTTGAGTTGCAGCTGCAGAGCCAATAGAAACATTGGCCATAATGGTGATCAAGGCATGTTCCTTGATATTGAAGTGCCGATCCGGGTTCAGCATTCCAAGGGGGATCCATTTCGCCCAGGCGCATCCCACAGGAAAGGCCAACAGCTGGGCAACTAAAGCGCTGATAGTCACACTAGGCTGTCGCAAGCTGAAAAATTGATTCAGCCCACTGCCGATCTGCTGTCGTTAGCCTCTTGTCATTCCTCCGGTCGCATTAAACATACAATAGTGAATACGAGGCCAATGGTCCACATGCGGACGGTATTGACCGGCAATGTCAAGTCATTGACAGGCTGAATGACAGCCCGCACCTCTGGGAAGGGCGAGTCGTCGGCCTCGTACGGAAGGATCTTTTCGGCATCCCGATCGTGCAGGACGGCGATGTCATCGCATACAAGGTCCGGAGAATTCTAATGAAACCGTCAGAAACTCCACTCGATGTTTCAACCTAATCGTGGTAAAACGGTCTCAAAGTGGGCTGAACACCCACCAAGGAATTTCGCCGATATTTCTCAGTCTCCATCGTGAACCCGGTCTCCCCCGGGCAACCCAAGTCCCCGGGTCACGGAATGTTCGAAAAGAACTCTTTGGGTGATGAGAGTCGGCTTGAGCCGAGTGTTGAATCGCGATAGGCAGTTTGAGCCACTCCGAGGCGTGGAATGTCCCCAGTGGTGCAGGGATGTGTGACAATCGCAGGATCTGATGGGACGACGCAGCCAATAAGGGCATATATTTACAATATAAAACACATTCCAGGCCGAGGTAGATACCAGCCAAGTCCAATTCAAGCCCCAGAACAGAGATGGTATTGGACCAGGAGACATGCAGAAGAGAGGAGAACAGCGGCGCAGTCGGCAGAGGCCGTTGACCCACTTAATAATTGCCAGAGTTGGATAGCTTCAACATCCACGGGAAAACGGCTGAGGGCTGTTATATAGTATTGCCTGGATCTCTGATCTCTGGGCAACAGTGTTCCATATCCATCATGGAGCATGAACTGCCCTTCTCTCAGCGACCGGTGATTATCCTCGGTGCTGGAATCATTGGTTGTGCAACTGCCCGACAACTGTTACAGAATGGCTTCCCAGTAGTGCTGGTGGCTGAATATCTCCCCGGAGATCGCAATATGTACTATGCATCGGCTTGGGCTGGTGCTGCGTGGCATGCCGCTGGCGGCATCACTCCAGATCAACGATATCTGCAAGCTGTCACCCATCGTATACTCTTGAAGATGGCAGAGGACCCCGAGTCTGGCGTGAGCATTGTCGATGCCCGCGAGTATCTTGAACAGCAACCGTCCTCTGACTCGGCGATATGGGGCAAGACGGTGGTCGCCAAAGTAATATGCCACTCATGCTACTCGGATCCTTGATGGACTCTACTAATATGTGTCTAGTTCCGTGAGATGACTCCTGGAGAGTATCCATCCAACTTCAATTGTGCATGGTCCTATGAAACCCTGGTTACCGATCCCACCCGACATATGCCCTACCTGGGAAAACAAGTTACATCGCTAGGGGGTCAATTTATTCGCAAACGAGTCGAGTCTCTCCAAGAATTATATGAGATGTTCCCCGACTCTCGAGTCTTTATCAATGCCAGTGGCCTGGGAAGCAAAACCCTGACAGATGTACAAGACGACCAGTGTTTCCCAGAACGAGGACAGAACGTGTTTTTGGCCACGGATCAGTGCACAACGCTCTACTTTCGGAATGGCAAAGAATATACCTACGTGATCCCTCGACCACAGTCCAGGGGGGTGGTTTTAGGTGGTGTAAAACAGCAAGATGACCTGTATATACCTCCCGGCCCCTGCATACTTCCAAGCTAACACCATTTCAGTTCTCCCGAAGTTGATATGGACATTGCGCGAGATGAAATAGCCCGCGCACATATCTTAGCGCCAGAGATTGTCCCCAAACACCCAGCTCCAGAGACCGTGAGCCATATCATCGGCATTCGCCCGTCGCGAAAAACAGGATTTCGGCTGGACTCGGAGCAAAAAGACCAACGAGTATTGCTTTCAGCGTACGGATTTGGCGGAGGCGGATATGCGTTCTCCTATGGGATTGCAGATGCAGTGGTGAAAATGGTGGAAACGGCCGAGCGCGAGAACGTGATATAAGTTGAAGTTATAGACAAAAGTACCAAAGTCAGCTATTACGTCGTGTTTCAGTCTGATGATTGCTAGTCACTTGTAATTGTTTCTATTCTTTGATTCTCTTTTCTTGTCTGTTGAGTTCTCTTCACTATTTTCACTATTTCTCACTATTCTCTGCTCTCGTATTTCTCCACCCCGCCGGGGATCATTCCCGTCCACTCAGTCTCGTCGGTTTGCCATACCAGAACTGGAGCAAATCCCGAATGGATCTTGCATGATCTCTTGATCTTTTGATCTGATCCTTTTCGATTCTTGACTCTCTCTTCGATGATCCGGGCCCGTTATGCTTCCTGTGGATCAGATGCTCCACCTCCGTCTTGACTGCCCGGCCAATGTCGCGATGATCACTCCGCCAGACGAGAACGAGAACAAACTCGAGCAGGCGTCGCTGAGTGACATCTATCGGTTAACCCCGTATGTCTCTATGTGTCTGTCACCAGTCAGCAGTCAAGTCACTAACCCCTTTTCCCAGAAAACCTACGCTTGTCCTCGATCATTCGCTGCACGTCGTCCAAGTCTCCAATAGTCATGTGGCCGCCTTCTCTTGGTCACGAGATCAGCTACTGACCTCGAGCGTCTACAATCTTCCGCCGTCCATTGTGCCCTCGCCGAATATCATCTCCCTTAGTGGTGCCATCAGCACTGCTCTTTCTACCCGAGATGTGCAGATAATCGAAAATGTCCAGGTGGAGGCCACCTATTACTCGCTCAGCGTGACACCCATCTTTCAAAACGATGCCCTTCTCTTTGTCCTACTCGAAGCCCAGCGGACGAAGCGCGAACATGTCGGCCTGATGAGCGAGCAGACATACCTGAACGAAACCTACAAGATCTTGGTCGACACCGTGAGGGATTATGCTATTTTCATGCTGGACACCAGGGGCTACATTGCAACTTGGAATTCAGGCGCTGCGATCCTTAAGGGGTACTCGTCAACAGAGATTGTCGGTCGGCATTTCTCCGTTTTCTACGGTCGCGAAGACCGCGAGACCAACAAACCCGCCCGCGAGCTGGAGGTCTGTCTCCAGGAAGGAAAAGTTGAGGATGAAGGCTGGCGCTACCGCAAGGATGGCACCCAGTTCTGGGCCAATGTCATGATCACCCCTATCTACCAGAATGGCAACCACATTGGTTTCGTCAAAGTGACTCGTGATCTGACTGAGCGCCGAGCGGCCGAGGCGCGTTTGATTGACGCCTTTGAGGAATCCGCGAAGCTCAAGTCCGATTTTTTGGCCAACATGTCCCACGAACTGCGAACGCCTATGAACGGCATGTTTTTGGCCCTCAGCATGCTGATGAGAACCGAATTGAATGATGAGCAGCGCGAGTTTGCATCCATCCTGGAAGATTCCACCTCCATTCTGCTCCAGGTCATCAACGATGTACTGGACTACTCCAAATTGTCATCCGGATCTTTCCCATTGAATGCCGATTCACTGAATGTTTCCAGCGTGATTAATGCAGTCGTGCGCAATTGCCGACCGACACTCAAGCCCGGAGTTGAGCTTCAGACGACCATTGAACCAGGTTTCCCTTCGAGTGTTCGAGGCGATCCACTCCGATTTCGCCAAGTACTACAGAATCTAGTCAGCAACGCAGTCAAGTTCACCGAAAAGGGCCATGTCCGGATCAACGCTACATATGCCGTCGACGACAAAGACCCCAACCTGTATGTGGTATCCACTGAAGTGGTGGACTCGGGCATCGGTGTGCCCGACACTGCAGTAGGCACCCTCTTCACCCCATTTACACGGTTTGCAGACACGGCCACCAAAAGATATCAAGGCACCGGTCTTGGACTCTCCATTTGCAAGAGTTTGGCTGAGCTGATGGATGGAGCCGTTGGATTCCACGCCAACCCAGATGGACCCGGAAGTGTTTTCTGGATTACAGCCAAAATGGCTCGTGTGGGTGTTCCAGAAGCGCACACAAAGACGAAGATCGCCCCAGCGCCACCGGTGGCCCTTGACCACTCCGCCGCGCTTCAAAAAGTCGCGCCGCACAAGCACGTCCTCCTGGTTGAGGATAACAATGTCAACCAAACAATCATGCTGAAACTTCTCAGTAGCCTTGGATTTGAGCGCGTGGATGCCGCTTGGGATGGCGCCGAAGCGGTGCGCCTGGTTAGGCAGAAGCCTCTCACCTATAATATGATCCTCATGGATATTAACATGCCTGTTATGGATGGTTTGATGGCCACGGAACTCATTCGAAAGATGAAGGTTGACGTCCCTATCATCGCTCTCACGGGCAACGCCTTAAAGGGAGACGCCGAAATATATCTCGCTAGGGGAATGACCGACTACATTGCCAAACCACTGCACAGACAGCAGTTGGTGGATCTCTTGTGGAAATGGTGCGGACCCTGAGCATTACTTCCCGCAAAGGGGATTCCCCTGAACATCACACCAACCCCTTCTGCCGTCTCTCAATGGCAATTTGGACGCAGTCAAAACAAACTTTTTGCAGCGCCCTGAACGCGAGAGACGTAGGGCAACGACTGAGCCAATAGGCATTCCGCCACCTACGTCAGTCCATGCTGTGCAAACGTATGCCCTGAATTCTGAAATCTTGAACGAAGTCCATACAGTGACATTCAACATGCTCTCAGTCTACCTCGAGCTGTCGCACTTCTAACATCGATAGCAGTCAATGTCCCGATAACCTGCTCACCGGCAACAAACGCCATCAAGCGAAGCAATACGTTCCGCTCCAGCGCATGACCTGCGCCCAAGGACGAGAACGGATGGATCGACTATTGTACGAACATGAATGCCTGTAGAAGGCATATGCATGTTATGTCAACAGTGCAACCATGTTGGCTTGGGTTCCTGTATCAACTGGCTCTTTAATACCATGTTCTGAGATCATCTATCTGCGGCGCCTTGGCTGCATAGTGGATGACGGCCGTTACAACGGTCTTCTTCCTGTAGTATGTGGGGTCTGCATATTCCCAGTGTAGCCATTTCCTGTAAGGCAATAAAATGCGGAGCTCCCTGGAGCTACATGTATTTGGGAATGTTAACAACAATAGTCAAATTATAGCATGATCAATCGTGACCGCGAAACCTGGCTTTTCCCTCTTTACTCGACATTTTCACCATCTCCAGCTCGCTTAGTCCCTGGTGAAGACAGAGGATTCGGACCCTCTTGCCCTGGAGAAACCAAAAATGCGGGGGGTTCAGGGGTGGAATCAGGATCGTCGGCCTCATTTCAGCATCAAATCACAACAGTTGCCTCCGGATTAAGATTCGACGGATTGCTTTCACAGCCCAACTGCGTTTGTTTCATTCGAATCGACTCTTTTTGGCGATCCATTGCAATTAATCAAAGCGTTCCCTTTGATCACAGTCCCATTCCTCCCGAGGCTACCATCAGCTAATGAAAGTGACTCTTGGTCCCTTTCAGATCACATGAGGCCATCGTCACTCGTTCTTCCGAGGCAGTTCGTCGGGTTGGCGCGATTGTGTTCCCTCGGAAGTTTCAGCCAACGAGCAGAAGAACGATTGCCATGTTAGTTGGTAGTACTTCCTTCCCATTTCGCAGGCCGATCTACGGAGTATGGGCTTGTGGTTACCCCATTCCTCAATTCGCCGAAAAAAGCAACCCTTTGAGGAGAGATATACCCTCCGTATCAACGGACTTCACATGGGCTCGCGTGATCTCCAATATACCCCCCTTTTAACCTGCCGAGGGGCCTTGATTTGCCTGCTAGAGCAATAATCTCTAGGTACTTTGGTCAAACCTGCGGCGCCTGCCAGTTATCAGGCCAAAGCTAATGTAGCGTCCAACACAAGCTCTATCATACCCCGTCTTCTTTCCCTTCTGGGTCTTAGCTTCGGTGATCGACTGTAGTCTTGCCTCTTGAGCAATGCCAACACACCAAGTCAGTGGGGCTTGGCCCTGAAGGCCCAATCCAGGCCCGTAGTCAACGCTTATCAGGGTTCCACCACGAGGCGGCAGTCCATGGCGCGCCGGCTTAATTCGATGGTCTGCTATTGTTTGTGGGATGAATGCGCTATGGGCAGAGGATATTCACGGCATTAGTTCAGGATGGCGATCGTACCTGGTGCAGGTGGCTGAAAGGACCGTATAAAAGCCAGTAGTGCTCGCTTCAAGTACAAATGTATATGTATATATCCCATACCAGTTTAGGACTTGACTGGTACACTTCACTCTTTATTCCTCCCGTTTTGGATTTGACCTGTACACACTGCTCAAATCATGAAAATCCTCATTCTTCTCCTAGGTCTGGCGGCTGTTGTCAGCTTAGCTGTACCCACTCAGTACTATGAGCTGCATGAGCGCCGCGACTCTACCCCAAGCAGTTGGATGGAAGCCAAGAAGCTCGATGGCAAGGTCTCTCTGCCTGTCCGCATAGGCTTGAAGCAGTCAAATCTTGAATATGGTCACGAGCTACTCATGGATTTGTTTGTTACCACTCATTCTCTATAAACGACAAGCTAACCTGCCCACGTAGATCGAACCCACTCTCGAGTCGCTACGGACAGCATCTTTCTAGTAATGAGGTGCATGACCTCTTTGCCCCGACCCAGAAAAGCGTGGATAATGTGCGTTCCTGGCTGGAATCCGCTGGCATCACCAAAGACCGCGTCACCCAGTCCGTCAATAAGCAGTGGATTCAGTTTGATGCGGATGCTGAGGAGCTGGAGAAGCTGCTGCACACCAAGTACTACCTCTATTCTCACTCTGAGACGGGTCGTTCACACGTGGCGTGTCGCGAGTAAGCGTTTCATTGCTCACACCAAAACGCGTGAATACCTGTGCTAAATTGTCGTCTCAGATATCATGTCCCAATCTCTGTGCGTGAGCATATTGACTACATCACTCCAGGAATCGCGCTGCGAGAGGTGACTGGTGTTCGTAAACTAAGCACTTCCCTTCAAAGACGGTCTTTAAAAGGCCAGCCCCCTGTTCTTGAGCCAATCCTCATGCCTGTGGAGGAGCTGCTGGCCAATATCGCCGGGTTTTGCTCCATCGCCGTTACCCCACAATGCATCCAGCGTTCGTGATATATAGTACATCCTGCAGTTCGTGTGCGTATATGCTAACCAAAGACAGAAATGTACAACATCAGTCAGGGCACTTCTGCCACAAAGGGAAATGAATTGGGAATTTTTGAGGGAATTGGGGATGTTTACGCTCAAGCAGATCTTGACCTGTTCTTCTCAACTTTGTATTCGTATGCAAGCGCTTATATTGATTGATGAGGCCATTAGACTAACTTGATACCAGGCAAATTCCTGCCGGCACGCAGCCTATTCTCAAAGCAGTCGATGGTGGCCAGGCTCCTACATCTCTCTTCAATGCTGGAGCCGAGTCTGATCTGGACTTCCAGATCTCCTATCCAATAATCTGGCCGCAAAACTCGATCTTATTCCAAACCGATGATATGGTATATGAGAACGATTACACATTTAGGGGGTTTCTGAATACGTTTTTGGATGCTATTGATGGATCATACTGCAGCGAAATCTCACCATTGGATCCTACATACCCCGACCCACAGGACGACGGTTACAAGGGCTCTCTGCAGTGTGGCGTGTATGACCCTCCCAAGGTCGTCTCTATTTCATATGGCTCTGCTGAAGCAGACCTCCCCATTTCCTATCAGCGGCGACAGTGTGCCGAGTTTATGAAGTTGGGTACTATGGGTGTCTCGGTAGTGGTCGCCTCGGGTGACTCTGGTGTGGCTGGTCGTGGAGGTGATCCCACACCCAGCAACTGTCTTGGCCCTCAGGGCAAGATATTTGCTCCCGATTTCCCAGCTTCATGCCCTTACTTAACAGCCGTTGGGGCCACAATTATTCCACTGGGCGCATCGCCCGAGGATCATACAGAGGAGGCCGTCACCAGTTTCCCGTCCGGTGGTGGTTTCAGCAACATCTACAAGGCGCCTGATTACCAGGCACAGGCTGTTGCTGACTATTTTGCAAAGGCGAAGCCCTCGTACCCCTACTATGAAAGCGTGGACAACAGTAGCTTTGGTTCCAACGGTGGAATATACAACAGGATTGGTCGTGGCTATCCAGACGTGGCTGCCATCGGGGACAGAGTCGTCATCTATAACCGAGGTATGCCCATCTCGATTGGTGGCACATCTGCCTCTGCTCCTGTATTCGCTGGAATCCTCACTCGCATCAATGAGGAGCGATTGGCGGCTGGAAAGTCTACCGTCGGCTTTGTCAACCCGGTCTTGTACGCACACCCAGAAGCATTCTTCGACGTAATCAAAGGGTCGAATGCTGGTTGCGATACCAATGGCTTCTCTGCCGCTGAAGGATGGGATCCAGTGACTGGGCTGGGTACACCTAACTATCCTGCCCTTCTCGATGTTTTTATGAAGCAGTAGGATTGTTTTGGTATGGACACCCTCGCTACGGCCAGTGACCCATTTATCAGCTCTGAATATGACTTCTTGCGATTATCAAATTCTGGGTTAAGAAATTTACATGTAAATCGTGTATATGCTTGGTACAAGGATGTGATATACCGAGGCAGATTGGTAATACGCGGGGGACCCCGTTCAATAGTCAGATATTCGCCCAATCGGACATAGTTACTACAAAGAGTAGAAACGGCAATTGCTCTAAGCATAAGTCATTGTCAGTCGACATCACTTACACGAAAATCGGGTGTTGTATTGGATCATCCACTGTGATTTAGGGTGACAGCAAAACTACCATAGCAAGCACTGAGTTCTGCGACACCCTTAGCTACGCGGGCATACGTAGATATAGCACCATCATGAGGCAAAATAGCCAACAGGTTTGAATATTAGAGGCAATGATCGGCGAGCGGGGTTGTTCTCCAGGAAATTGATATTGAAGGCATTTGAATTGTCATTCACAATTCGGCTTCGCATGTAGAATTGGCCAAGTTATAGGTAGATGTAATAGTTAGATTTGTAAGATTGACATATATTGTTCATCAGCATCAGATCAGCATCAGAGTTATTTGTATACTCCAATGTTGAACCTGGCACGGGTACATCGTCTCTCGGCATACCACCGATGCGATCGCACCGACCAAGCCAGTGTTGGCCCGAGCCAAGCCCCCACGCCAACGAGAGCATTCAAACTATACCGAATTGAGTGCCCGATGTAGCGCGTCATGCAACATACAAGCACAGGGAGTTGGAAAAAGAGATTCCACCACTGATATCCTGTGACGTCATAGACTGAGACATGGGGAGCTCTGACCAGGCGGGAACCATACAACTCGGAGTATAGTAGATGGCTGATATTTGATATTGGAGAAAGTGAGATAACAGAGTCTGTAGAATAGAACGCAACACGTTTCCCTCCACGTTCTCCGTATGCTGCTCCAGTTAACCCCGAGTCTCGGTGGAGTCTGCTCCGAGAGGGGCGTGGGATGTTGTATGAGCCCCGCCGGAGTCTGGGCTATTAAGACTGGCAACTCCCCCGACTTGCTCTTTTCCCCTACAATTCTGTTTACTCTGCCTATTTTCCAAAGAAGCTCTAAAATGTCTCTCGGAAAGAAAGTCACTCTTAACACCGGTCACCAGATCCCGTAGGTATACCTGGGCGTTACTGGAATAACTTAGCTGACCCACATTCTAGCCAGCTGGGCTTTGGGACCTGGCAATCCCTCCCTGGTCAGGTCGGCAACGCTGTTTATGAGGCCTTGAAGGCCGGTTACCGCCATCTGGTACGTACATATACCGTCTTTTGAGGGGTTGCTATTAACTTGCTTTAGGATTTGGCCACTATGTATGCAACTGTTCGCTTCTTTTTGGTTTCGATTTCGTACATCTTACTGACCCTCTTCTCTACCTAGCTACCAGAACCAGCGTGAGGTTGCCAAGGGTATCAAAGATGCTTACAGGGATGTCCCCGGTTTGAAGCGTGAGGATATTTTCATTGTGAGTAGATTCATGTCCAGAATATTTTATGATCTCGGAAACTAATTTGTCAATTTCTAGACCTCCAAACTATGGAACAGGTGAACCATGACAAGTATCTCTTCTCAATACATAAATCCTAACTGGATGCAGTGAGCACCACCCGGACGATGTCGAGAAATCCCTTGATAAGTGTCTTGCCGAGCTTGAGCTAGACTACCTTGATGTATGGGTGCTGTGCCTTTCACCATAATAATTATGCTAATTGATTTAGCTCTACCTTGTTCACTGGCCCGTTGCATTCCAGCGGGGTGACGACTACTTCCCCCTCGTTGCCAACAGCAATGTTGAGGGAGGTGACGTGGTTATTGACGATAGCATCTCCATCGTGGATACCTGGAAGGGTAGAGTCACCATTGACTTGGGCCGAAAATAAAAAGACTGCAACTGACATTTTACAGCTATGATCAACCTTCCCAAGGACAAGGCTCGCTCTGTCGGTGTATCTAACCACAAGATTGAGCACGTTCGTACTTTCCAATTCCCATCACTGTTTCATACCAGCTTACCATTCCCAACAGCTTGAGGCTATCATCAACGGCAGCGGTGTTGTCCCCGCTGCTAACCAGATTGAGCGCCACCCTGTCCTCCAGAGTAACGACCTGATCGAGTACTGTCAGAAGAAGGGCATTCACGTCACTGCCTACTCTGTATGCCTGCCATACCTTCGTAAAAAATCCCGCCTAATACTAACCTAATCTTTCAGGCGTTCGGTAACAACATGCTTAACATTCCCCTTCTGATCACCCGGCCCGAGGTCAAGGAGGTTGCCGAATCAGTGTCGAAGCGCACTGGTCAGGAGGTCAGCCCTGCTCATGTCATGTAAGATCGTCACAACTGTCCCTCGCGATAATTCGGTACTAACATTATAAAGCCTCGCATGGTCCCAGGTTGGCGGCCACAGTGTCATCCCGAAGTCGGTCACCCCGTCGCGTATCCGGGACAACTTCAAGGAGGTGGAGCTCACGCCTGAGGAGGTTCAGAAGGTCAGCGCCTTGGGCCAGAACCGCAGACGTTATAACACTCCTTTCGCTGCTAGTATGTTTCCCGATCAATTCTTCATTACAGGAACCGTATGCTAATATCCTTCAGACAAGCCTCGTTGGAACATCGACATCTTCGGCGAGCCCGAAGAGAAGGCTGCTGGTCACAAGGTCATTGTTTAAATGGACAAATGAGGGTTGGGATGATTGAACACCAAAATGAATAAATGAGACATGCATCTTCACGTGGTTAATTCAATGTCAACAGAACTTAAGTGTCTATTACGACAACTGACGACCTCGTCACTGGTGCTGTAGATTCCTCAGTATAGGTATAATATCTTCTAAATTGTGTCAGGGTGAAGGCATTTGGTGACTGATTTAAGCAATGAGCCCAGCAATATCTCACAATGAGATCAAATTCCCCATCCGTACGAAAGAAGCTTGGGAGTCGGACGTAATAGTGGCTTCCATCCATCCAAGTGCCAGGAAGACATTACCAATGAGGATATGAGCTACAAGCTATCGGCAATTGACAGGCAGCCTCGCGTTACACCTCAACAAAATGAAATGGGCTTAACGATGAATCATTCAAACGCGGGTGTAAGTAAATTCAAGGCTGTCTTAAATGGCCATATTCCTGTTCTCCCAAATCATGTCTTTTCGTCACTGAGTCTTGGGTATCATCCTGTTCCGCATGTATAGGTCGCTGATGAGAGCTCAAAACTGGCCCTGCATCTAATTCGTGACATTCTTGGATAGGCGTGGCCGCTATAGGAGCCTCATGGATTGAGCGACCGTCCAAGAGTATGGCTGACCCCACTGGCTTCCGAGGCATAATATTCGGCTCCTCACGCGCCGGTGATGATCTTTCTTTGGGAAGCGAACCCTTTTCGACTTGGACCATGGTAGTTGATGTAGAAGAATCAGTCGGCTCAGTAGCCCCAAGTCTCCGTCTCTGTCGACGCCGCCGAAGTACGAACCAAAGAGCCAAAAGAAGCAGGAGAACAAAAAAGATCACGCCGACTGCTATCCCACCCTTGGCTCCTCCACTGAGACTAGCAGAGCCCGCAACACACGAATAGCTGCCTTGGAAAACACCCTGAGATTGTAGTCCGTTCAAGCTCCCGCATGACATAGAGCTGGTGCCTTTAATTGTTGTTTGTCCTTTGGCTTGATCGAGTGAAGGGAGCGACACGCTCAAAGTAATTGTCAGCAATTTCAACAGAAACACGTCACACACTCTTGTCATACCTTGTAAATGAACCGGTCAATTCCAGCAACCCGTCGACTTCTTCTAACTCCGGAAACCCAAGAGTTTTCAGTTTTGGATTACCTGTAATGGTAATACCTGAAGATACGCGTGATAGCGCACCCATGGTTAGGGTGTCGAATGAAGCGAGGTTGCTTATGGTTAATTCCCCTTCAAGAGTGTCCAAATCAGGGGTGATTAGCTTCGTGAGCCCCGATACACCCTCAGCGATGAACGAGCCCTTAATCTCTTCCACATTATTGAGTGTGATTGCCCCGTTTACTGAAGAGGAAATTGTGATGCTTCCTTCAAAGGTATCACAGCTGGTCAGATTGTCGGCATCACTTTGACTGGAAATGGTTACACTGCTTGAACCTGGACGGTATGAGCAAAAATATTGGTATGAGGTCAACGAAGAAGTTCCTCACAAGCATTTGAAGCACCAAGAGCTATTTGCCATGTAATGGCAATCAGAAGAACGTTGAACAAGATCATCTCTACAGAATCTCATTGGGAGTCACCTATCGAGAGGAACACTGCACGCGTGAAAGCCCCGGGCATTGCCATTTCTTTAAGATCAAGAGGGAGGCGGAGCCAACACCTTTTTCTTGGCTCTGTTTCTATCTATCAGGTACTAAATTCTGCCGATAGCTTCTGAGTGGTGGATTGGCCGTTGCTAGATTATATGTGTTTTATCAAGACCCACTCAGAAATCAGAGAGGTTTCTTTCTGCCTACACTTTATTCGACGCATATTTTCCCTTGGGAGCGAGAGATAAAATAATCGCTCACCCGGAATGCATAATACACTTACAGCTGTGTCGAAAAAAGCACTTGTGTGTTGTCAGGTCTAGGCAAGAGACGTTGCTATTTTTATGTGCAATTGAGCATCGCGTAGGCAACAACATTGGCTCTTCCAAGCTTCTGAGATATACTGTGACATCATCGCAAGAACCCTGAATCAACCTTTGAATCTGCGAATCTGCGAATCTGCGGTCCGTGATTCCTCTCGACCGTGGCTCACTCGGCACAAATGGATTCAGCAAACCCTGATGACTCAGCAGATGCGGGGAATCCCCCGGACTCGTATCTGGGGTTGTTGTTTCTTATTTCCGATGCCACCCATCTCGACCGGACATCCCTATGAGAGTAGGTAAGGGTTGTGGAAGGTGTCGCACTCGCCATATCCGATGTGTGATTCCCGCTGGCGCCTCAGCCTGCACCCCATGCTCCCGGCTAGGTCGGGAGTGTCATCTCGATCCCCGGTTTCAGTTCAAGGCTGTTCATCAGGTCTACCAGAAGAGCAATGGGGCCCCTGCGCGGTTTGATTTGGCCTGGGATGAGGAGCAAGTCTGGGTTGATGTGTCTCGCCCTGGTAAGCAGTTGGATATGGAAGGCTTTGGGCATGCACTAATCGAAGTTAGTGACATTTGTAATTGAGACGAATGATGAATTAGCGGAAGCCAACAACAATCGAGCATTGACATACGTATCCCAGTACGACCATGGACAGCCCCGTGAGCTTTGTATGGAGGAAATGGGCAACGCTAGTGCTGGTAGCCCTGCGATGCACGAGAATCAACATCGACAGAACCCCGCCAATGATCCGCTTAATAAACCCTCCGGTGATAAATCAACATTATCATTGAGAGAAGCATCCCTGATGCGCTATTTTACTCAGAAAATAGCACCCTGGGTGAGTCAGGAACCCCTCAACAGGGAATGGCGATGTCTGACCAAACTAGGCCGATATTTGCGATATCCAGTCTCACTTCAGCACTGAGGTCCCAAAGAGAGCCCTGCAGAGCCCGATGGTCCTCAAAGCAATTTTGGCCCTATCTGCACGCCATGATGCTATTCTGGCTGGCGATAGTGATTTGGAGGCTTCGGGCTATCATGGACAATGCCTGGAGCTATTGATTGCGGCACTAGACCAAGCCGAAACGAACTGTGACGAAAACATGTTAATTGCGGTTGTGACTCTTCGTATATATGAAGAGCTCGAGAACAATGCTGACCAGCAGTTTCATCTACTAGGATCTAACGGGCTAGTCAACCTTGTGGCACGCTCTGCATCCTCTGGTGGATTAGCAGAGGCAGTGAGTTGGCAGTTCTTGCGACAGGCTATCTACGCATCGATAGTTCAGTATCAACCACTGCAGCTAAACATGCAAAACTACGAACGCTCATCAATGTTCCATCGCCACGACGATGCTGCCTGTGCTAATGTGATCGTCTATCACTGTGCGCGTATAATCCAGCTTTGTTCCAATGCGCCCGGAAGAATTGTGGATCGAGAAGCCTGGCGCAACATCTCAGAAAGTGTAAATGAGTGGAACCGAACAAAGCCCGTGACCTGGCAGCCATTACGGTACCAGGCACCGGATGTGTCAGCTGATAGACCCTTTCCTGAGCTATGGATGATATCTCCACCTGCAGGTATATCTAAAATTATGGGGTATCTCGAAATATTTGAGTGCTGATTGTCCACCTAGTGGTCGGGATGCAGTATTACTACTCGGCATGTATTTTTTTGACCTTATGCGACACTCCTCCACACCACATGAGCGATTATGAAATTGCTTGCTCGCGGCGTATAAAAGAGGTATATACTTCCATTTTTGACTCGATTGTTAGGTGGTTAATATGAGCTATCAGAAAACGATTGCCGATAATCTAGTGATGGTTATTGGTCTTTCCTTGTCCAACGAAAGTGTAGAGAACGCCTATTTTATGGCCTCCCATTTACTTCACCGTTGTTCGTGCCCTGCATGTCTGTCAAGTTACCAGAACTAACGTCACTCTAGTTGGTTACTGTCTACGGCACCCAGTCGAGCAGCAAGGGTCATTGGATTTTATGTCTCGTGTAGAAAAGGTGCTAGGCTGGCGAACTTCATGGATGAGAAAAGAGCTGGAGAACAGATGGTCAGAATTGGCAGCATTTGATTCCTGGGACTCTTGACAGCCACCGGTTAAATCGCAAAGTCACTGGCGCGTGGGGTTGTTGTGGAACACCAGATTCTTAGTTCTTGGTTATGTTTGCTTCTCTCTATAGAGGCTATTTCAAAAATTTCACCAGAAGTATAGGAGAAAAGAATAGATTGGTCAACAACAGCCTGGGTGAGCAACAATACTAATGAAACTGATCAAAGCTTCCATAGGAGCACATATGACCCCGAGAACATCTGTAATCCAAGACATAATGGCGCTTGGGCTCATACACTGAGAATCATAGGAGAAGCTTGGGGTGCCGCAAAGTTCGGACACTTTGACTTTGAGATGCCAATATTTCTCGGTTTATTTGGCCGCGAACGATGCTGGCCCTTGCAGGATTTTGGTCAAGTTTATACTGGCATTCGAGCGACCCCGCAACTGGTTGCGACGTTGCTCCGCATTTATCAGAATATTACTTTCCCTGTTGGTGGAAGTTTCAGTATCGCATATTCATGGTGCAAAATGGAGACCGTATATCCAGTGATCATTCGGCCTGCACCATATATAGTGCCACGGAGAGGTGCTTTTTAGGGTGGCTCCACTGATTGAAACATATTTCCAGTAAGAAAGAGACCACACAAGCAATATGATTTTCAATGCTGCCAGCTTAGCCTTCTTTGATATGATCGCTTGCGTCCAGGCACATTTTGTCTCCGACGCAGCCCAGCAGTCACCCAAAGCCCCTTTTTTTATTTTAGCAGGGGATAGTACCACTGCCATCCAGTCTTCGAATGGTGGAGGGTGGGGAGACGGGTTCCTCAATACGACACTATTCCAAGGGGCAACTGGGACAAATTTCGGTCACAACGGGGCAACCACAGTCAGTTTTCGCGCTGGAGGTGATTGGGAAAATGTCTTGGAGACCGTGAGGCAAGTCCAAGACGAGTACATGCCCTTCGTCACTATTCAATTTGGCCATAACGATCAAAAGTCAGATGTAAACATCTCGCTATCACAATACACAGAGAATCTTGAAACATTTGTGACCGAGGTTTTCAATGCTGGAGCCACACCAATCCTAGTCACGCCGTTGTCACGACGGAACTATGACGATTCTACGGAAAACCCAGTCATAATCACGAGTCTGGCCAACGAGACCGCAGCTACTATCTCAGCCGCCCATCACTTAGACTCTAAGTACATCGATTTAAATCAAGCCAGCATCAAGTATCTGAATGCAATTGGACCCAAAAATTCCTATACATACAATCTGAACGCGGTCGACTACACTCATTTAAACGTGGCGGGAAGCATTGTGTTTGGTGGAATGGTTGCTGAACTGATTGCGCAAGACTTGCCATATCTGAAAAGGAATGGATACCTTCGGATAAGCGAACAGCTGAAGAAGGATGTTGATCGTGGGATGTACTACTACCCTTGATCATGCAAATCCTATATATAAACCTGTCAACTCAATGTGGACCTTCTATTTAGTCTCGCAATTCCCACACACGGCTGGAATGTACAGCTATAGCCTTTGACTGAAGTTGTAAAACTCGGCAATCACGTCTGTTAATAGAAGTCAGATGCCCTTCTTGGGCGAGGTTGAGCTTGAAAATGAAGGCGAAATCGGTGACTTCAGGACGCTCACCAATTGCCGTGGGGCCATGTACAATTGAAGCGGTGAAACCCAGACTCAAATCACAGGATTCCATATAGTTAACTGAGTATTGTGACAAGTTCTGATTAGTCTCCCATTTGGTTGAAGGTACTTTGTGTCCTATAGCGGCAATGCGGTATAAGTATGATTGAAACTTGGATTGTGTTGAACATCTAATAATACCTCCTAAATGGCTCAAGGGGCGTGTCATAATCCACATCATCATTGCTGTGTGAATCACGGATAGCCGCCGTGGCTGAAACGTGCGCCCCTGCGGGGATTCCCAGGGCCCGTCCCGTTCGCCAATCCATGTAAATAGCAGTAGTACATAATGAGCTTTGTTAGTAACAATGAAACAGTATTTAACCTCTTCGTATACGCTCTATTTATGGTTCATAGGATTTAACATAGCTTATAGTAAGCATAGAAAGAAGCAAGTTGAACAAACTTGTGCTTTGAGCACACTGTGGGGTGCGCATATTTGCTAGGACCGGTCTGTCAATTGTTCGGCCCTAATTGGGCAGAACTAAATAAAAATTACCCCTCTAGCCGCGAGTTCATCAGAAAGTACTAGTCCAGTCTGGTCTGGTCCATCTTTTCAGCGAAAAGTAAAGTCCCCCGATATTCCACATGGATTTGTTCAGATTAAACAACCATTTCAATTTCAAACAACAAGTTACTGAAACAAGCTTGAGATGCGCTACTTGAGGAGACTAAAAGACCAGGGCTTACACAGACCAAAGAAGCCTCAGAATGCACAATCACAACTCAGCCACAGCGATGTTTGTGCCGGCCGTACATCTGATGCTCTAAAACCAACCTCTGCTACTCAGAAAAGCATAGATCTGTCGCAATCCGAGGATGCTCGGCATGAAGACCTCTGGCAAATTGCCTTTAATCAGCTGAGCCAAGAGGAGCAGAATGTGTTGCAGTCAACCAATGGCCTTGTCTCGGACGTGCAAAAGAATGGCAAAGGAACCTCCGATGTTATCAACCAGGTCATTGAAACCACGAAGCAGGAATACAAGAACTACCAAAAAAGAGGAGGCATCAAAATCAAAAGATCAAAGGGGGAAGATATCGATCTTCGACAACTTTCACAGAAGATTATCAATGCTGCACTATTGTTCAAAGATATAATCAGTGTAGGGGCAGCTTGTGATCCGACTGGCCATGCGGCAAGCGCTTGGACCATTGTGTCTTTCGGTTTGACGGTCAGTCACGGATACTACGAGAACGTACTTTATGGGAACGCAAGACTGATAGGTTATCCAACATACAGATGGCAAAAAATCACACCGAACGGCGCGATGCCTTGTTTGATTCTTCCGAGTACCTAGCAGATGTTCTGGCCCGATGCGCGTATATCGAACAGAGTTTCCACGGCCAACAATCTGAACAAACATATATAGTGGGAAAAGCAACGACAAGAGTCTACAAAGCAATTCTCCAATATGCAGCAAAGGTGTTGACATGTCAAAACCTAGGATTGGTAAAGGAAATGCTGGACAATGTCACAGCAATTACAAATCAGCATCTCACGCAGCTTCAATCCTCTATCGAGAAAGAAAAGCAAGAGCTATACCAATTGGTTCAGTTGACTCAGCTTGACAAGCTCGGGAAAAGCAAAAAAGCCGCAGAGGTTATGTTAACTGAAATTGATGAAAAATTATCAAAATCTCGCGATGCCCTCATCCTCAAGTCATATCTACCAATCGCAGAAGGTGCAAAATTTGACTCATATGCGAACCGAACCAACGCCAAAGGTTTGGATGAAACTAGAGTCGACGTTCGCGATCAAATTGCGATATGGGCTGAGTCACCTACGAGCGAATGCATCTTTTGGTTGGATGGTATGGCCGGGACAGGAAAGTCCACTATCGCTTACACAATGGCAAAGACATTCCAAGAGAAGGGGCAACTTGGAGCTAGCTTCTTCTTCAAGGTAGGCGAAGGCGATCGTGGCAAAGCAGAAAAGTTCTTCCCGACCATCGCACATCAAATGATGGCCCATGATCGGCACTTCGCACACGAAGTTGTTACAGCGATTGAGCATGATCAAGATATTGCCAAGAAAGCTATTCCAGACCAATTTGCGAAGCTATTTCTCCATCCACTACAGGGCTTGGCCTCAAACCAAACCAAACACTTGGTCATTGTGATTGATGCGATAGACGAGTGTGAACAGGGCGATGCCGAGGTCCTCCTTCAGAACTTGCTAGATGTGGGCAAGTTCAAGTCTTTACGCCTCAAAATATTTCTGACGGGCAGACCTGAACATGCAATTCGACTTGGATTTGATGACAATGATACCTACCAACACCTTGTCCTGCATCAGATTCCCGAGCAAGATATCAAAAGTGACATACGTCTATTCCTGGCGGCTGAATTTGCTATTATACGAAGAAAGAATAAGATACTCTCCGACGACTGGCCTGGGGAAGCCTCTATCGAAAAGTTGGTGGAAAAGTCTGTCCCACTTTTCATATATGCCACCACTGTGTGCGATTTTATTGGAGACGGGTTTGATCTCCCAGAAGAACGCCTCGAGCTCGTCCTGCAATCCGACAAATCCTCTCCAGAAACTCATATGGAAGATTTATATCGACCAGTTTTGGAGCGAATCTTGAACCCCAAGAGTGACTCTGAATCACAAAAAATCGAGGAAACTTTTTGCGACATAATTGGCCCTCTCATTCTTCTTCATACACCGCTCTCGATCCATGCTCTTGGTCAACTTCTTAATTTTCCAACGAAGAGGATCAGATTTCTCTTAGAAAAGTTGCACTCGGTCATCAACGTTCTAAGAGATCCAAAGGACTCGGACCAGATCGATGTCCCAGTCCGTATTCTGCATCTATCTTTTCGGGATTACCTCCTTAAACAAAAAGAGCGCTTCCATATTGATGAGGCGAAGACGCATGCGAAGGTGACATCACACTGCCTCCGCATCATGAGCCAAAAACTCAAACACAATATTTGCCAGTTAGCAAGTTATGGCTCAAACCGCAAGCATGTACAAAGACAGATTGTGGATCAACACATACCAATGGATTTAAAATACTCCTGTCGCTACTGGATGCACCATCTCGAAAAGTGCGACGGCCATATATCTGACCTTGAGGTCCTCGCGTTTCTGAAAAGGAATCTTCTTCATTGGTTAGAAGCAATGTGTCTAATGGGCATAATACCGGAGGCTCTCGTGATTATAGATAGGCTTCAATTGCATCAAAAGGTGAGTGCCTGCATACCTAGCATATGAGAGTTCACTAAAATCCAAATATAGAACGGTATGAGTTCTGAGCTTCCACAGTTCCTATATGACACCAAACGATTCATCCTCATGAATGTTCACATCATTGACATCACCCCGCTTCAATTATATTCCTCAGCCCTAATGTTTTCACCGATGAAGAGCATTGTGAGAAAGACTTTTGAAGGCCAACGAGCCAGGATGATAAGCGTACTGCCACAGGTGCAAAGCTCGTGGAGTGCAGATCTACAGACGCTCGAAGGACATTCAGGTCGAGTTCAATGCGTAGCCTTCTCTCCAGACGGTCGAAAAGTAGTATCGGGATCAACCGATGACACCGTTAAGCTTTGGGATGCTGGCACGGGCAAGGAGCTACAAACACTGAATGGTCATTCGGAGCAAGTTGACTCAGTAGCCTTCTCTCAAGATGGTCGAATAGTCGCTTCAGGATCGGGTGATAAGACTATCAAGCTCTGGAACCTCGACACAGGCAAGGAGCTATGGACGCTTAAAGGTCACTCAGGCTCGATCGCGTCCGTAGCATTTTCCCCTTTGGACCATCAGATATTAGCCTCAGGCTCAAGTGATAAGTCTATCAAGCTCTGGAGCCTCGACACTGGCAAGGAGCTACGGACGCTTGAAGGCCATTCAAGCTCGGTCTCGTCTTTGTCATTCTCCCCCCTGAACAAGCAGATACTAGCTTCAGGGTCAGATGACAAGAGTGTAAAGCTCTGGAACCTCGATACTGGCAATGAGCTACGGACACTCAAGGGTCATCCCGGCTGGGTCCTTTCTGTGGCTTTCTCCCCAGACGGCAGAATGATAGCCTCAGCGTCAGGTGAAATTATTATGCTCTGGGATGCCAAAACAGGACAAGAGCTACAGAAGCTCCTGCGCCACTCGCGACTAGTCCGTTCTGTAGCCTTTTCCCCCATGAACAGTCGGGTATTAGCTTCAGGCTCGGATGATGGGACTATCAAGCTCTGGAATCTCGACACCGGCAATGCACTACAGACACTCAGAGGCCATTTGCAATGGGTTCGCTCTATAGGTTTCTCCTTGGACGGTCAAACAATATCCTCAGGTTCGGGCGATAAGACAATCAAGCTTTGGGATACCAAAGCCAACGCTGATGCGGATTCAAAAATGGTTAATAGCCATTCAACACGGGTCCAATGTTTAGCCGTCTCCCCCAACGGTCGAATGGTAGCCTCAAGTACGACTGAAATTATCAGGCTCTGGGATTCTGATACTGGAAAAGAGATACAAACGCTCCAGGGTCATTTAAGCTCGGCCCGGTCGGTCGGATTTTCCCCAGATAGTCAAATAGTAGCATCAGGCTCAACTGATCGGACCGTCAAGCTTTGGAATGCCCGCACGGGCAGCATTCTACAGACATTTGACCATACAGATTGGGTCGACTCTGTGGCTTTCTCCCTGGACGGTCGAATGATAGTCTCAGCGTCGTCTAATATCATCAAGCTCTGGGATGCCAAAACGGGTCAAGAGCTACAGACGCTCCCGGGCCACTCGCGATTCATCCAGTCTATAGCTTTCTCTCCAGATGGTTTAACAATAGCTTCACAATCAGACGACATCATTAAGCTGTGGGATATCACAACGGGCCAAGAACTACAGACGCTGGAGAGCCACTCAGCAGATTCTGTCCAGTCCATACTTGGTCAAATCCCACATAATCGCCCTCAAATTTCCTTAGCAGACCGATGGGTGTTCTTTGAAGGCGAAAAACTCCTATGGCTCCCTTTGGAGTACGGTCGATGGACGTCCTTCGCTTTTCAGGACGGTACTTTGGCTCTTGGGTATGACGATGACAAGATTTTGATTCTTAAGTTCCGGAAGGACTGACCCTTCGTTGTATTTGTACTACTTTCTCTTGCTGGATATGGCGCTACTGTATTTACCTGATAGTTCTGCGTTCTTGATATGCTTTCTTGTCACTTGACGTAATTGCAAAATGACATCGAGAGTTCATCGGCCACATGTTCTAAGGCTTCCACGTACGATTTGTTTTGAGAAGTGAAGACATTGCCAGCACTCAGATCTAATTCTTACATCGAATGGTAGTCTCGCCATGGTTATTGAAGAGTGGCCGTGAAAAAGCCAATCCGGCAGAATAATAAGCTCTACTCTTATCTCCTGCTATTCAGAGCAAGTGTCATTCAAAATCTAATCAGAGCCTAAACTGACGACGACAATAGTTTGAGACGTACATTTGTACATTTCTATACAGGACAACGCGAGATGAGGTTAGAGGCTAGGGCATTCCGAGGCAGAATATTTTCACACAATGCCCTGTTTCCGCAGATCAGCTATCTTATTGAGCGAGAATCCCATTCTTTTCAAAGTGATATCCGTGTGCTCTCCTAGCCTTGGCGGAGGATGTCGAATTGTGGGCTTTGTCTCGCTGAACTTCACAGGAACCCCTGAATGGCTGGTCAGCAAAAGCTGCTGGGCGCTTCAAGAAGTAAAACAAACCTAGTACTTTGATTCTGCCTGAAATAGCGGCCTTATGAGGAAAAGTTTGGACCATCTCCGTGGCGGCAGTCTGTGGGTGCGAGAAGACTTGTTCGATAGTGTTGATAGGGCCATAGGGCATTCCACTCCCCTCTAGAATAGCCAGCCACCCTTGAGTTGTCTTTTGGCCGAGGATTGGCTCAAACGTTGCCTTCAATTCAGCTCTGTTTTGAACCCGTGAGCTATTGTCCACAAAGCGTGGGTCAGTTGCCAGTTCCGATTTCCCTATCAACTGGCAAAGGACTCGAAATTGGCGATTATTGGTAGCACCAAGAACCAAGTAGCCGTCTTCTGTCTCAAATGCTTGATATGGAACAATGCTTGGATGCTCTGTGCCCCAACGGGCCGCTCGTTCGCCCACATTGAGCCATGACATGGCGACATTGGAAAGCAAGGACACTTGGCTTTCAAACAAAGACGCATCAATCTTCTGACCTTGTCCGGTCTCTCTGCGAGAATAGAGAGCAGCGATAATTGCACCGTGCAGATATAGACCAGTGCTCATGTCAGTAAGGCCAAGACCTGGCCTTGTCGGTGGACCGTCGCGTTCGCCTGTGATGTCAAGCATTCCTGCTTCAGCTGCAGCAATAGCGTCGTAGCCTGCACGATGTGCAAATGGGCCCCTGTGTCCATATCCTTTGTACAAGTCTTAGCTTGGGGTCTGAGTATTTTGATAGATGCCTTAAGCACGAACCAGAAACGCTTGCGTGAATGATCGAGGCATTAATTTGACGTAACTTTTCGTATCCAATGCCCATGCTATCCATCTTGCCTGGGACAAAATTGTCTACCCTGTGAAATTTAGGAAGTAGTTGCTGAAATCAAAAGGGTCACTGACACCACATCCGAATGTTTGACAAGCCGAAAAAGAATCTCTCTTGCTTTTTCATCCTTCAAATTCAAAGCAATAGACTGTTTGTTTCTGTTAATTGTACAAAAGTACGCAGACATATCTTTGTTGGTGGCATTCCATATGTCCTCCTCTGCTACAGTTCGCCACATCCGAGTATCATCCTATAGCTAGTCAGTATCTAGTAAGACGGTGGTCAAAGTGTCGTTCATATCATACACCCCCTTTTGGGTTCTCCACCTTGAGAACTTTGGCACCATAATCCGCGAGTATTTGTGTACAGAATGGACCCTTTCCTATGTAAGTGGCTTGGTCTGTGTGTTGTATCAGCAGACCTACAGCGAGAACACGCGTCAAATCCAAAATCCTAACTCCCGACAACGGACCAGTTGAAGGCACTGCAGTATGGTTTCGATGGATCTGACGGGAGCACCACAGGTGGGTCCGGCTTTTATGATATCGTACAGCCTGCAGAGCACCCATAACTGAGTGATGTTTTGACATCCTGATAACCAAATTTGTAAGTACAAAGTCGACCTATTTGAGGAATAAAGTACAAACATTTCAACCGTGAAATGGTGACTTTCAAGTGAAAGAAAACCCCGCACAGGGGACGATCAATTCCCCCGCTCATGACCGCGGTAATGTGAATTTGTATGCCGAATTGAAGGGCCGAAATTCACCGAATGCAATCAAATCTGAATGAAATTTGAGCAGAGATTTGCTGAAGAACATACATCGTTACCCATGGTTCTCAGCATGTTGTAGATAAATGCAAGATATCTAGTAAGACTTGGGAAGACCAAGGATGCGCTCTCCGATATAGTTCAAAATCATTTCTCGACTCACGGGGGCGATGCGAGGAATAAAAACTTCTCGAAGATATCGCTCAACGTGATACTCTTTCGCATAGCCCATCCCTCCATGGGCCAAAATGGCTCGTTCGCAAGCCTCAAATGCAGCCTCTGCAGCCAGATACTTTCCAGCGTTGGCATACTCACCGCCGGTGTATCCCTGGTCATATAGTCGAGCAGCCTGGTAGATCATCATTCGGGCTGCCTCCAGCTTCATCCAGCTGTCTGCTAAGGGGTGTTGGACACCCTGGTTCTGGCCAATCGGACGCCCAAATACATGTCTGTCTTTGGAATATAAGGATGCTCGACGCAACGCGGCGAATCCAAGACCAAGAGCTTCTGCGCCGATGAGAATTCTTTCGGCGTTCATTCCATGTAATATCATTCGAAACCCTTCATTTTCCTGACCCACACGATCTCTCAGTGGAACACACCAGTTGTCAAAGAACAGTGAATTAGTATCGACCGCTGCCCGACCCATCTTAGGGATCTCGGTGATCTGGACCTGGGGTACTTGTAGGTCGGTGTAGAAGAGCGAAAGACCCGAGGATGGCTTCTCCCGGTCGCGTGGGGCTGTACACACGAGAATGAGGATCTTCTCGGCCCTCTGAGCAGTAGATATCCAGACTTTCTGTCCCGACAGAAGATAATTGTGCCCTGATAGGCGTGCCGTGGCCTGCAACTGCAGCGTGTCCAGGCCAGTGTTGGGCTCTGTAACGCCAAAACACGCCCGTTGGCGACCCGCGATGAGTGGAACGAGCCAGCGTTCCTTCTGCTCTTCGGTGCCAAATTTGGCGATGGGCTCGAGGCCGAAGATATTCATGTGGATGGATGAGGCCCCGGTCATGCCTCCCCCGGACTCTGCAATAGTTTGCATCATCACTGCTGCTTCTGAGATTCCGAGCTCAGAGCCTCCATATCGCTGGGGTAAGCAAATTCCCAGCCAGCCCTGTTTTGCCAATGCTTCATAGAGCTCGGTCGGGAATTGATGCATCTCTTCTACACGCGCCCAGTACTCGTCAGGAAAATCCGAGCATATCCGAGCGATTGCTTCTCGGACTGTTTGCTGTGATTCGGACAGGTCAGGATCTTGACTTTGAAGGTATTCCGTCGCGCGCGCGTGGAATGGCGACTGGAATGTCGGCAGACACCGCGCCCGAAGGAATGGACGGACACCAATCTGTGGGTGTTAGCTGAGACCTTTGCCCTCTGCAACCTCACCTTACGCGTCTATAAATGCTTCCCATTGCGTGAGTAAATATGGTTATTTCCTATGCATGTACTCGTCGACTCGAGGTGATGTGTAAGACAGCCAAGGATGCAAAAGGTGTGAAACTGCTGTAGGTCAGCAACCTGGCGCCAGCCCCCGTTTCGGAGATTTCCTCCATCATTCGATGTGTATACCTCGTTCCCTCTCGGGCCTGACTTGACCTCGGCTCTCATTGATCTGCAATGCGGGGGGAGGGGCAGGTCTCTGCTGTATCTCCAAGTGTCCTCTTCCTTAACTCCCACAGGACTTGACGATGCAAATTGAATTGGACGCACTGATCGTCGGTGCTGGATTCCCAGGAATCTATCTCCTCCACTGATTGAGAAACCAGTTGAATCTCAAAGTGAAGACCATCGACGCTGGCTCTGACGTGGGCGGAACATGGCACTGGAATACTCATCCGGGCGCTCGAGTTGACTGCCCAGCTCCGGTATACAGCTTCAATATCGAGGAGGTTTGGAAAATCTGGAATTGGTCAGAACAATACCCAGCACAACAGGAACTGCAAGCATATTCTCGGCACGTTGATTGTACACTATCCGTTAGTAAGGACTGCATATTCAACTCAGGCGTCATTTCGGCAAAGTTTGAAGCATCGAAGTGGATCATACAAACAGACAATGGGAAGACACTGCGGGCCAAATATTTTATTCCGGCGGTCGGGTTTGCTTCGAAACAACATGTCCCACCCTGGAAAGGTATGAAGTCTTTCCGGGGTACAATTCACCACTCGGCCCACTGGCCCGAGGAAGTAGACGTGCGCGGAAAGCGTGTCGCGATCATAGGTACAGGCTCAACTGGAGTTCAAATTGTCCAGGAATGGGCCAAAGAGGCTTCCAAAACATACGTCTTTCAAAGAACCCCAAATCTTTGTCTACCGATGCATCAAAAAAAGCTCGACTGGATCGCTCAAGACAAGATGCTCGCTGAAACAGCGGAACTATTTTCCCGCTGCTGGGAGACCTCAGGAGGCCTAGCATATGAAGGGGTTTTTCAAATTATTCAACTGATTACTCGCCTGAGGAATGTGACAAGGCCTTGAATCAGCTTTATGACGAGGGCGGCTTCCGATATTGGGCTGGGGCATATATGGATCTACTCTTGAATTCCGAAAGAAATCGAGTGGCGTACGACGTCTGGGCTAAGAGAACCTGTGAACGCATCAATGACCCCATGAAAAGGAATCTACTGGCTCCTCTCAATCCACCGCATCCTTTTGGCACAAAGAGACCTTCCCTTGAGCAGGATTATTTTGAACAATTTAACAAGCCCAATGTCCATGTAATCGATACCAATACCCATCCCATTGTGGAAGTGACACCCTGCGGTCTTGTAACTACCGATGCAAAGCTTCACGAAGCTGATATCATTGCAATTGCCACTGGGTTTGATGCGAGCACCAGGAGCCTTGGAAGCATGGGAATTTGCGACACTGATGGAGTGAATCTTGGTGAACGCTGGCGCGAGGGCGTCTCAACTTTCCTGGGACTCACAGTTCCCGGTTTCCCTAATATATTTTTGCCATATTGTGCTCAGGCACCGACTCCGTTCACAAATGGGCCTGTTTTCATAGAATTTCAAGCAAACTTTATTAGGGATATGATAAAGAAGATGCAATCGGACGGCACTCAAGCAGTTGAACCTCACTCGGCCGCAGTGCAGGGCTGGCGAATTCAAATGGAAACAATATCTCAGATGACCTTGTTTCCTCAGACGAAATCGTGGTATACGGGTGCTAACATCCCCGGGAAACCTGTGGAGCTACTCTATCATTACGGTGGGATTCCTAGGTATCGCGATGCGTGCGAGGAAGCAATCCACCGTAAATTCCACGAATCCTTCAAATTTCATGTTTAGTAACCAGCACAATAAGGGTGCAATATTGCAAGTGTGACTAGGAATATTCTCTAATCCAGTTCTGGAAGATCTGGCCAAGTAATCCGGTATTTGCTAGAAAACCAACGATAAATTTGCGCTGCATGGCATAATGCCCCAAAGATTCTAAAGTTTGGAGCTGCTGTCTAACGAAAACAGATTTCTCCTCTGGCCCCTTTCACCCTCGGGGTCTGGGGATACGAAGCCGGTCTTTCCAATTGGCTCTTCTTCCATTGAAGACAAACGCAACAGGGTAGCTTGGTCGCTCTCATTCGCCAAAAATCGGTGGTTAGTATCAGCAATCCGGCCTACAATGTAAGCCCTCAAGGGGTTTCCATCCCGGGTGAATTCAATTGTGTATGTCTTTTTAAAGTTAGCCTATTGCACAGCCGGGCAACCTTGAACTATGATCTTGTTAAATCCACTGACCTCAATGATTGCTTTTCCTTCTGCCTCAAAGTCAACTGAGGGTGTCATGTCTACATTCAACAGACTCAATGATCTGTTATCTGGATAAAGTCTTCCTTTCTGGGGGGCTTGGGAAGAAAGACAGACTGCATGCTGATATGATAAAATACCACCATTTGCAAGAATTAGTCCGTTGCGGCTGCTCCTGTCACGTAATTGACGGGTCATTTCAGTGATGGCCTGGTAGTCCGGATTAGTGATAGCTATCAAAAGAGCAAGTAAGTAAGATGACTGCGTACATGCATAGAATAATTATTCCCAGCTCCGCCAAAAGATGTCAGACCTCCTAATAGAGAAAGCGGCTTCTGGGGCTCTATAATAGAAAGACCGAGGTGATGGCATGCGAGTTTGGGCACAATAGGGAAGCATCTAGAGGCTGTTAGATGTTTCCCGGAGGAAAGACATTGAAAAAAAATTACATACGAATAAAGATCATAGAGGTCTATATCATCCAAAGCTAGATGGCTTCTTTCAAGACAAATATCGAGCGACTTCGAGATTGCGGAACTCTCGAAGAAGTTGGGACGGTCCCAAACTAGAGGCTCACAGTGTCAGACATCTTCCCTATCGGATGAAAAGGCATAGACTCACAATTATCACGTTCGCTAAACCCGGCACCACCAAGAGGATATATCCACCTGTCGCTTGAAATTCCAAGTTGTGTGGCATATTCAGTTGAGGTCAAGATGCAAGCTGATGACAAGTTGACAGTATTGAATGCATTCATCAAAAGCGGATCTGTAAACAATGGGGTTAGAGAATCTCCTTGGCTCAAAATAGACAATCAATATGGAAAGGCCTACATGGAAAGCAAATCATGCGGTTCTTTTTGGATACAGTTCCGATAGAATCCGCAGTTTCAGGTTCCGTGCCGTAATTCCACGCATATTGATTTCGCGACGCGATTTGACTAAAGTAGGCGTATAGCTCTGCTGACTCTCGGTGATTGGCTTGAATTGTCTGTTTGCGATGCGCTCGGAATCCGTTTTCGTACAGTGGATAGACGTGGATTGGTGACCCCACAGCATGCAGTCCTGCAATATCTAGAAACCGTTAAGTCCACATATTATCTCTTAGGATAATTGGAAACTAACCTTTTCTGAGCCCTCTTGTGGTAGGAGAGAATACATCAGTCACATTCTCTGCCGGAGCTGACCACCCTGGAGGTGGCATCTTGCCATTTTTAACACATGCGGCCACTATTCTTTGATAAGTGAAATTTCAAGCAGAAGACGTGTATGCACGAACAAGAGGCCAACGCTTCACCACCAGTAAGAACTGCAACCTTTGTCTCTCCCTTCTCAATCCTCATAGCTGCTTCATCAAGTAGCTTCGCCGGCTGGTTACCCCCATGGTCACTGTACAATCGGTGTTGCGGGTTCACACCCAGTTCTTGAGACAAGAGGCCTGGCAAATCACGATAAGGCCAAGTCCATGTACGAACAACACTGATACTATCAATGCTATTTTGAAGAACTTGCGCAGTCTCGGCTGAGCTGGTTGCGTCGTTGATCGCCCCTTGGATGGCCTCGAGCATTAAAGTAGCCGGCTCTTTAGCATCTTCGACTTTTACTGACCGATTACGGATATCGGCCACGCCAATAATAATAGGAGGCATGTTGCAGTTGATTCAGCATACAAAATGCGGGGACAGAGATATTTAGAAGGAATACAGACTCATATTCTGGGGTAAAGGAGAGGAGTGAGACCTCGGCCCGAGCAAATGTGATCATATGCGGGAGGCCAATCAGTGCAGATGTCACTTTATGCACAAAGTCATTATCCTTTACTACAGCAGCTTGGCATTGGTCTACTGAATAGCTTTGCTTGTCTGTTTGAACATATTTCATTGAAGATAGCAAACTAGGGGTCATAATGCCTTCTTTGTGCCTATAAGACGTCATAGATGCGAAGGAACCCATTTAGGCTCTGTCTTCTTAGCGAAAGCCTCAACGCCAATCTTAAAATTATCTCCTGCGACTAATCGATTGACATATTCATGTCGCGTTCGGGAAGTGGCGTGTTCAACACTTGGATTTTCCCACGCCTCACGCAAGCCTTGACGCGTAACAATGATTCCATCTGGCGAAAAGCTCGCTATTTGGGCCGCAAGTTTCAGGCACTCGTCAACGACGGACTCTGATTCCTGAGTCACCCGGTTAATCAGTTGATAGTCCAGCGCTTCTTGAGCTGTCAACTTCCGACCGGTCATAGCAATTTCGGAGGCGAGCTGAAGGCCAACAATGCGCATCAGCCGAGGCAGGCCGCCGGCAGCTGCGTATAATCCTACCGCGACCTCAGGCAGCCCAAACTGAGCTTTGGGTGATGCAACCACCATGTCACTAGATGTGTAAGCACAAGTCAGAAGGATATATAGTTGAACATACCAATTGAGACATATTTCAAACCCTCCTCCTAGTGCAAATCCGTTTACTGCAGCAATAACAGGCTTCTTTCCCTTTCGTTGGCTAAGGCCCATGAAGCCAGTTGGAGGATGGTTCATCACTGCCAGCTGGGCTGCAGTCTTGGGACCACGGCGAGAATTACTCTGCTCAGCCAAGTCTTGTCCAGCACAGAATGCTTTGTCGCCCGTGCCTGTAACTATTGCGACCAGTAGAGTGGGCTCATCGTCAAACCAGGAGAATATGCCATGGCCTTCCCAATGCGCTTCGGCGGGTAGAGAATTTCGTTGTTTCTCCCGATCGATGGTTACGAGAAGTACCTTGGGAGCTGGGAAAGACAATCGAAAATGCTTGGTCGCAGGAGGCTGGGAATGAAGACTGTCAGACATGATGTAACGTGGAACGGTGAAGGAGAAGAGTTCATGAACAGGTATAGCGCCTAGGGGAGTTTGCGGGGGTGTGGGGAAAGCTATGAAGTGTGCTTTAGCAAGCTCTCAAGTCATAATCCATGAATAAAATGGCATTTATACCATCCACTGGTTGACTATCACTTTATGCTGGGGTGAGGGGGAGGCCAAGGTACCTCGGAAGCTCGGCTAACCACGCAACGTATATAGGAGCATTTTTGATTTCACAAGTTCAGACTCAAAGTAAGCTATTACCATGGCGCAATCTTATGTTCTTGGAGTGGGCATGACCCAGTTTCTGAAGCCTCGTCGCACCCGTGAATGTGAGAACACTTATAGTCGCTCACTGTAATTGTAACTGACTGCGGCTCTTTTCTCTGTTCTATTCAGACCCCGAGCTTGGCTATGAAGCAGCAGTCAAGGCACTGACCGATGCCCATATCACTTACGATGATGTGCAAACCGGCGTTGCCTGTTACTGCTACGGGGACACGACTTCAGGACAGCGGATTATGTACCAGCTAGGTATGACCGGCATCCCCATCTATAATACCAATAATGCGTGTGCGACCGGCTCTACTGGCTTGCACCTTGCGCGGACTTTGGTGAAAGGGGGTGTAGTTGACTGCGTGCTCGTGGTCGGCTTTGAGCAGATGCGCCCGGGGTCTATCAAAAGTGTATGGGATGACCGACCGAGCCCGTTGGGGCCATCGACAACACTGATGGAGGATAATTACGGGAAACATTCGAGCCCTAGGAATGCACAGTATTTTGGTAATGCAGGGCAGGAATATATGGATAAGTATGCTGCCCAAAGAGCCAAATCACACGTGTTGTACTCACGATGGGTATAGATATGGCGCCAAAGCACAGGACTTCGGTGAAATTGCTCGGATTTCGCATGAGCATTCACAACGGAATCCATATGCTCAATTCCGAACTCCATACTCTTTGGATCAGATCCTGGACCCCAAGACCCAGATATATGGACCTTTGACGAAGCTCCAATGTTCCCCAACAAGCGACGGAGCAGCAGCAGCAGTCATTGTATCGCAACGATTTCTAGATGCGCGACCTCACCTCAAGTCACAGGCAATACTGATGGCTGGTCAGCAGTTGATGACAGACGGACCCGAGGTATATTCCCGAAGCGCAATCGATCTTGTTGGGTTCAATATGTCGCGGCAAGCCGCACAGCTGGCGATGCAGGAAGCCGGCGTGAAAGCAAAAGATGTCAAGGTCTGCGAGCTTCATGATTGCTTCTCCACCAACGAGCTTCTTCTACTTGATGCGCTTGGCTTTTCGGAACCAGGGAAAGCCCATGAGATGGTTCGGCGAGGAGATATCACCTACGGTGGCCGCGGCCCAGTGATCAATCCATCTGGAGGCTTGATATCCAAAGGCCATCCTCTGGGGGCCACAGGCCTTGCTCAGTGTGCAGAACTCACCTGGCAGTTGCGCGGATGGGTAAACAATCGATTGGTCCCTGGGACGGATGTCGCGTTGCAGCATAACCTCGGACTGGGAGGAGCTGTGGTTGTGACAATCTATAAACGAGCTGATGGAAAGGCGAGCAAGGCAATTTCAAGTGAGGAAATTAGCAAGGTTTCAGGGCTGGGGTATAACCCTGCCGTGGAAGCTCGATACATCACCCCCGAAGATGGCGAACGTGTACGTAGCAAAACAAAAAGCCTTGACTATCCGCTTCTCGATACGACAGAAAAGCTCAAAGCCCGCATATGATTGCACATGGGCACGAGGAACTCGACTCTGTTTGTCCTGTTTCTAAATTAAGGATCAAGTATGTTTCTGCAAGCCCGACATGGTCTGTGGGGGTGCCCAGAAATTGATATGTATATATTGAAATAGGAGTCATATGCTTGATTTTTTTGAAACCTTCCTGAAGCCAATATGGGTGGATCTCGATCAGGCCATGGTAGCGCAAATTGAGCGAATATCGTTTGTAAGATGCAAATATGTACACGGTTCTGGATCAGGTATATATCGCAACCGATTCCACCGAGAGATCCTAAATTCTTAACACACTACTCTTTTTATAATCATCTTCCCAACATGCCACAGCCACCATCAGGTCACACAGTTGAACACAAAGCGAGATATGGTTCTATATCACAGATTGGCAAATCTGATGTCAGACTTTTGCGCGGTGAAACTCGAAATCAAATCCATTAGCGCTGGGGACAGAACATCGTAGGTCTGCAAGCCAACAGCTTTGAATTTGTCTCTCACTGCGTCCATTTGGTTGGGATGAGAGCCTTGCTCAATGATCGAAGACACGAAACCTGCAAATTGTGGTTCCTGCCACCCCTTTTCTTCGGACAACTCGACGTGAACAAAGTCGAGTCCATTGAAAGGGTGGTCTTTCTCAATGCGGCCAAAGAGGTGGACCCCACAGTCCTTGCAGGCATTGCGCTGGATTGTAGCGTCTTTGTCCACAATAAAAAGCTTGGATGCATTCGCAGTGACGAAGAGAGCGTCTCGTGGAACCACGCCCACAACGGAAAAGAGAGCGCCCTTGGGTTTCCAGCACTTAGAGCAGCCACAGGCATGGTTGTGGGCTACATTGCTCTTCAATGTGACTTCCACCTGGTCTGAAGCGCAGCGACAGTGGAGCTTCCCACCGGAGAAGCTACTGGAGCCGGGTGTGATGCCCTTGTCGATAAGCGGGTGAAGTGAGGGTGCCATTGTGATAGTATTATGAGTATTGATTCTACCAAGGTCCTCCAGACAAGAGCGATATATTTATAGGCATAACATCCGGAGTCCCCTCATCTCCTCATGAGGGGTGGCCCGAAGCGGCTTGGCCGAATGATCGGAATCAAGTACATACTGTGGAGACTGATAGGGAAGCCTTCCGACGTTCAACCGGACGTGATTTGCGGAGAGATCTCAAAGGAGAATTAACTTCCCGGGATCTATACCGGGCTGCAAAAAGGAGACGAGAGGTCTGAGGGGTTTCTCCAATACTTAATAAATTTTTTTATAATGTGGGGAAGTTGGTCCAGATCCAAATCCACATTGGAAAGAAAATGCGGAAAGACCAAAGACCAAAGATGAAATATCAACGAAAAGATGTAGAAGACCAGAAGACTAAAGATCTGAAGTACAAAAGATGAGTCCTTGTGAAGTCACTGTGATAGTGGACAAGGCTGAAAACCGGATGACAAAGATCTTCGCAGATATCCCCCACCTGACACTCCAAACTTCCCCGATCGCATGGGCTTCTCTTTACTGAGAACATTCCTCATATTGCTCTTCTTTTTCCAGTACGTATTTCCTCCATGACCCGAACTTCCCCCCCGTGGGGTGTGACGTCATCGAAGCGGCGCGAACGGTTCAGGTACAGTTGAAGGACCCGTGGGCGACAACTCCAGCTGAAACATATCTCCTGCGTTAGAGGGTGTATCGTGGCTATCGCACACGAAGAGAGCTTCGCGGATTTGGTTTATCGGCTTCAACACGATGGGCGGAGGTAAGGCTCTGAAATACTGGCCCGTTACAACTCTGATTTTGTTTTGCCCGTAGGCATTTCGCGAAGCCCAGTGGCACCGACTTCATCAACCCGCAAATACTCGAGTCGCGTCCGCAGATGAGGGTTTCAACCAAGCGCGACGAAATTGGCAACGAGCGGTCAGTGTCGCTAAACGAGCTGGCGGCGATGATGACCGTGTTTCGGGGTCTCCGTCCACCAGATCCCGGTCCACCCACATTGACGAGATTTCACCGAGGGCAACCGCTAAGACGATGGATTTGAGATATTTCCTGGAAATGGTGGATCTCAAACATCGACATGGGAGTAATTTGCGCTCATATCACAACTATTGGCAGAATTCGCCATCCAACCAAAATTTCTTCTACTGGCTCGACTATGGCGAAGGAAAGAATTTGGAACTGGAGCAATGCCCACGAGAGAGGCTTGAGAAACAGCAAGTTCGCTATCTCACCCGCGAGCAACGTATGAATTACCTAGTCACGGTGGACGATGCTGGGTTGTTCCGGTGGGCCAAAAGCAACGAGCTAGTGTGGACAAATAGCACACGCTTCAAAGACAGCCTTGAGGGGATCGTAGCAATGGAACATGATGCACCAGAATTTATTGGAAACCAAACCACCGCGGAATTTGCATCTATCTCAAGCTCTTCCTCATCGCCATCATCTTTGTCATCTTCTACAAAGAGCATTGGCAGTGTGTTGTCCAACGAGGAGACCAAACCTTTCACCAAGGAGGAGTACAAGGCTGCGAAAGTGATGAAGAAAGTCCTTCATGCAACCCCAACTACTGCATTCAAGCGAATGGTCGGCCGGTCCACCGAAAAAGAAAACATGTGGATTTTCGTAAGTCTCCCGCGCATGAATTTTGATTTTTTTTGGCTATTTTTTGACACCCCACCAGGTCGCAGACAGTTCTTTTCGCTTATACATTGGAATAAAAAAATCAGGAGCCTTTCAGCATTCCTCATTTCTAAGAGGTGCTCGCATCGCCGCAGCTGGAATGATCAAGGTAAAACACGGCCAAATACGTAGTTTGGCACCGCTGAGGTATGTTCCATAAAGTCACATGTCTCATAGATGAGAGGAATATTCACTGATATTGTATTGATATAATCAGCGGGCATTATAGACCCCCAGCCGCCAACTTTCGGGCATTCCATCATGCCCTTCAACAACAAGGGGTGGATATGTCACACGTCTCTATGAGCAAGTCCTATATGATGCTCGCTGGAATTGAAGGTTACACTAAAACAAAACGAAAATTCCGCGCAATTCACGGGAAATTGGACCAGCATGAACCAGCCGTCTCTAAGCCTCCCGAATGAAGGCCGAAAGAGCAATATATCAATTTGAAAGGATAGTTCAGCATCGAAGTGAACATATCAGGATTAGCATTCTGCTGCAGCCCTGCGTTAGTCTCTGTTGTAAACAAAGGGCAAATGAATATGGCGGGCAAGGAGTTTCATCGGGTTGGTCAAATGGGCGGCTCAATGACCTGTAATAGAGTTTGTAACAGGCATTATAAGTAATCTTTTTGGCTTCGACATCTACAACAAGTATGAATGTTTCCAATTCTCTCGGATTTGTGTGAATTTAAGAGAGTCCTGGTCTTAAATTGAGCTTTACTGTTCCTTAATTAAAAGTGTATACAGACTAGTTTCGATAATATGAACGTACAGCTAATTATTGATATCAATTGTACGTGGGTACACCACGCAAAACCGACATATTTGATGCGTCTTCACTTCCTGTGCGCCTCGGTGCCTTCGGCTGGAAGTCCTTGAGTCCTCTGCTGTTTGTCATCCCAAAACTAAGCCAGCCAGTCTACATTGGGATCTTACGAAGCGATTCGAGCAGCAGTCTGTAGTTGAAGTAATGACTTAAACTAATTCATGTCGGCGGTCAGCACCAACATGTGGAATATATATTCGAAACATCATGGTGAAACAGGTCATTTTGTGGTTTGCTTTTTCACCAATATCCGGCGCTTCCTAGGAAATGATCACCGATCACCCCGTGTATTTTAGGACGCATGTGATGAATGAAAGGTTTTGTAAGCAAGATGCTCCAAATTTGAAGCACTGTCTTTTTGGATAATCGATACACCAATTACGTTCTTGATTTGCGATTTGTGAAATGTGATATAAGAAACCCGGCCAAGAAAAGGAGGCGTGCAGATTCCCATCACGTTTGGGATATACAATTTACGTCATATGTGTCACTATTGTAGTAATATTAATTGGTGAACAGAATCATTTTGGTAAGTATTATCGGCACTTTCGCAGATCGAGATGAGCGTGGCTACATGATCATATAGCTGCTTGACCACTTTACAGAAATAAACAATAATGAATCAAACAGAAAAGGCATACAGACATACAAATCGAGAGTCTATGGAGCCGCCTAGTAGTGTGACGTATACAGCAATGAAGCAAGTCGTGCTCCACATGTGAGGGATGGGTTAACGTGAAGGGATCAATCAACATGGATACAGTCAGTAGTCAGTGCAACAGAATATTAACTGCTACCTGAGACAATGCGAAACAACTCTGAAAATCGAAATTTAGGTCAGGGTCCTTGTGGGGTGCCAGCGTTCTTGATCAATTTTGGTCCACCGATTCGGCAAAATTCTTAAAATTGAGTCACTCCACATGCATTCTGACGCTGGTATACCTTGTTCATAATAGTGAAAGAAGAGATTTCATTAAGTGGCCAATGTAAATAACGCATAGGGGATTGTCAGCATATAAAGATAAAATCCAGCCCTAGTTCGAAAAATCTTTCAACAAAAGAGTAACATCCAGCAATCACTATGAATCTCCGTCTTCTAGCTCTTGCACTTGCGGGTGTAGCAACTGCAGGCCCAGTTGCTTTCCAACAACGCCAATGTATGATTCATGGCCTCTTCATACTGAACCACTACTGACATTGCAATTTCACTACTTCAGTATCTGGTGGAAACGAACTCCGTGATGGCTCTTGCAAACCAATAACCTTTATTTTTGCCCGTGCTAGCACTGAGCCAGGGCTGATGGTACATTTCCGATGAGTCCTCTGTGGTGAAAAATATCTAAGTTTTTATGAAGGGTATCTCAACTGGCCCCGCTGTTTGTAATGATCTCAAAATGGCCAAACCGGGTCAAGTTGCCTGTCAGGGTGTTGGTCCAGCCTATACAGCTGATCTTCCATCTAATGCCCTTCCTGGGAATACCTCTCCCGCGGCTATTGATGAAGCTGAGGGTCTTTTTAAAGAAGCGGTCCAGAAGTGCCCCAATACAACAATTCTTGCCGGTGGATATAGGTGTGTGACCCATCCTGTTTGTTTCCCTTCCAAACCAGAAATTACTGTCTTACAAATGGTTCAAACTTAGTCAAGGTACCGCCGTTATGGACGACTCCATTTCTAAGCTTCCAGAGAATATCAAGGACAAAATCAAGGGTGTTGTGCTCTTTGGGTACACCCGCAACGCGCAGGAGCATGGTCAGATTGCCAATTTTCCAAAGGAAAGAACAAAGATATATTGCGCTGTTGGGGATATGGTCTGCGATGGCACGCTGATCATCACCGCCGCGCATTTCTCTTATGTTGCCAACACTGGGGATGCTAGCAAGTTCTTGCTATCAAGCCTGTGAGCCCCCTTTCTCGCTGGGACAGATTTGGTGCTTGGTGGCCTTTGAGACGGCTAAAGTAAGCATTTGGTAGAGTTGAAATTCCTCCCAAGCAAGGCCTCTGAATATTATACATGCGAAATATCTATCCACTCACCTACTCCGCAATTGGCTCCAAAGACTGTGGTGATAGTGATTTTTTATTATTCTACAGATTTTAATTCAACATTATCTCTCTATCTCGTCATGATCTCTACCAGGCCATCTCATGCTTGATCCCATACAGATTCGTGCATAGCTTCGGGTGGTCTGCATTTTTACCTGGTTCAGGGACTAGTGATATGCCCTTAGAGCCGTGGTGAGTTTCTCTTGATAAATTTGACGTAAAGTATGCATCGTATTGTTGCTTGGAATTGAATCATTGTTTCCATCGGTGTAAGGTATGTCCAGAGCAAGCAACATTATGATTTATTTTTCACACCTTCCTCTTCGATAAGATGTCGGCTATGACCGAGTGGGCCGGTTTTCGTCCTCCAAGTTTAGTAGCGAGGTGAATATGAAATAAAAATCATCCCCATCAAAAGTATACAATGTTCGTACTCTATCTCAGCTCTATGCCCGGATGAAACACATGGTGGGAAGCTTGTGAGATTGAATGAAAAGCCACGGTATCGAAGCCCCAGCATTTGGTCACTTCCGAGGAAGCCATGCGATCAAGGGATGAATGATCATCCTTGCCCTCAGCCATGGACATATTCAACAGAACAGCGTAGGCAAATCGCTGCATATTCATGCAAGGGCCGAAGCACACACACCGCCCAGTCCTGACTGACTTCCCTAAAGACATCCTTTTCTCAATCATCTCGTCCGCTGGTTTTCCCATAACGACAAGTCCAAAGACAGGGCAGCTCGAATTTCTCTGGGGTTTAACTCGATGGCGACAGCACGTCATGTCCTCGTTTTCGGTGCAACAGGGGATGTGGGCTCTGCGGCTGCACTTCAGGCTCACGAGCAAAGGGCAAATGTTTTCCTAGCCGTGCGGGACGTTGAAAAAACTATTCCAAAACTGAACCACATCGCTTTTAAAAAGGTCCAAGCAGATCTCACAGATCCCAAGACAGTCAAGGCTGCTGTGACTCAGACTGGCGCCAAAGTGGTCTTCATTTATGCTGTATTCGGGGCTACCGACGGCATGCGACTAAGCCTTCTGGCACTCAAAGAAGCCGGCGTCGAATTTGTGGTGTTGTTGAGTAGCTTCACCATTGAAGACAATCCTCGGCAGGTGACACCCACCGACTTCATTGCTTGGCACCACGCACAGGTAGAAATCTCACTGGAGGATATATTTGGGGTCGAAAATTCTACCGCCATCCGACCAGCCTATTTCGCAAGCAACATATTTCAGCAAAAACATGGCGTCATGAAGGGCTTAGTCGAGATTCCAAACCCTGAGGCCGAATTTGACTGGATCTCCCCATCGGATGTCGGACGAGTGTGTGGCACTATACTTGCCCAAGGTACTACACAGCATATCGTAGGTCTGGTTGGGGCGGAGAAAATGTCGTTAAAGGACGCTGTTGCAGTGATTAGTAGAACTTTGGGAAAAAAAATTGAGGTCAAGAAAATCGAGACAGACCAAGCTCTGCAGAACATTGTGAGCATAGGGGTTCCGCCTCCTGTGGCTACTTGGATGATACATGATGTTATGCACAAAGCAGGTGCAGCTTTCCGTGCCACTGGCTTTGAGGAAGCTGTTGGAAATGTTCGAAAGTACACTGAGAAGCACCCGCTCAAATTTCAGCAGTGGGTGGAAGAAAACAGAACTCAGTTTCAATGATGAGACATGTTGTACACAGATCATCCACTGACGTAAAAATTGAGAAAGACAAAAGGTCATTGGTCTCATACTCGAAACACATTAATTTACTTTGAATTGGAGCCAAGCATCCGTAGACCGTAGACCATAAGACAAAGCTCCTTGAAATGAAGATAGTATCCGGCCTTTTCATGAATTGAGCGCGATTAAAGAGCTCTTCTTATTGATAGTAACAAACTTTTTCCTGTTGAAATACCGCATGGGTAACTATTCATAGCAGTGGTATACCCGCCCAAGTCCATAGACATGTTCATCGTGTGCTAGATTGTAGTCGATAGCAAAAGTGACCAATGAACAAAAATGGCATTCTTGTAAATGAATGGTAATTGAAAAATAATTTTGTTAGTATCAGCTAATCCTCGGAACTAGACTCGTCTGATACCTGTTATGTGAACTATTTTTTTTGCCACCTTTAATTGATCAACCTCTTTGTCCTGGTATGTTAAATTTTAGATAGCTTAGACTAGGGCTTGGTACTCGATATTATGAAAGCCTAATTGTTTGCAATCATGGTGGTCTTTTTTATTTTACGAAGAAAAAAAAACAGAAAGAGAAAAAAGAAGCCTTATCATTACACTGCAATGGAACTGGAACATACAAAAGTAAGTCAAAATAATTTGGACGTGTAAAGTGTAGAGTAAGTTGACATTATTCTCGTAATCTCCAAGAACCTAAAAGTGAGCATCAGTAACTGCGAATAGCCTTGCCAATGCCCCTCTTATATTTGTATCTACTTCCCAGCGAGCAATGAGTGCTAAAAGTGGAGTGGATTTCAACTGTAAGTACGATGCGCCCCTAATCAAGTGGCGATTCATACAGTAGTCGTTGTCTCCGCGTTCGCAAATTGAGTACTGTGGTAATCTGTAGGACACACCTGCCTTCTAGTCCTAGGCGTAGTGGTCGAGTAAGAAGCCGTGTCAGCGCTGGAAGTCGCAGTCCTGAAAGTCATACTTAGGAACATACTCGCAAGACCTGCTCTCTCCCCAGGGCGCTCATATCGGCCTTGTCAGCTGGGTGCCGCGTTTGGAAAACAGAGACGGAGAAGTAAGATGAGTGACAGGGGTAATGGTATTCACGTCGGTATATAAGAATGGTCTTAAAGCATTGAAACATTTTTGCCCCTGATAAATTCACCTGGATCATCCGGCCAACAGTGGAGCAACTGAGGCATTGAATCACCCTATTAATACTAGAGCATGCTTGCAGCATCCTGTAAGTTGGTGTGAACTACTAGTTGGCTCCGTGTTGATTGTGGCTCCACTATGGTTATTGCCACGCCAGTACAGAGTAATGGATCATTTACTTCGGACAAGACTCCTTGCATGAGAACAGGGAATGATTGGGACTGACAACGGATGGAATAAACGGCATCTGATTAACATTGCGTTCTTCTCCTTACCCTCACCATCAATATGCTCTCCATTATTCCCGTCACCCTCCTCATCCTCACCTCCTACCTCGTATACCGCGATGTTATTTACCCCTACTTCCTCTCTCCATTAGCATCTATTCCCAACGCACACATAACATCCCCACTCTCCGGGCGCTGGATCGACCACAAACGCAGTACAGGCACGGACGTCCTCACCATCTACGACTTGCACCAAAAGCACGGCCCCATCGTCCGTCTTGGCCCAAAGGAGCTGAGCGTTAATTCTCTCCATGGTCTGAGGATAATTTACACGGGCGCGTTCGAGAAACATAGATTCTACCAAGACGCCTTCGTCAATTTCCACACCGAGAACATGGTCGGCATGGTGCACAATGCGCCACATGCGCATCAAAAGTGCATGCTGACCAAAACTTACTCAAAGTCATTTCTCCAGGCATCTGGTGATCTGCGCACGATTTCAAAGGTTATTCTGTGGGACCGCCTGATGCCTATACTCAAGCAGGCTGGGGAGAAAGGAGAGGTGTTGAATGTGCTGCCGCTCTTCCAGGCTGTTGGGATGGACTTTATCTCCTCTTTCCTGTTTGGGTTGAGGCCAGGAACCAGATACTTGCTTCGTATTCCCGAGTGGAAGGTGTGGCTTGGGGAATATGAAAAGTTCAAATATTTGAGTCGGCACGACCGGTATATGGGATTCATTGAAAATTGGTGCATGGGGCTTTGCAAGCGAATGGAGGCACATGAAAATTTGGATGTTTGCAGAGATGAAGAGAAACTGCCCCTCACGAATCCAATAGTGTACAATCAGCTGCGCCAGAGCCTCCTCGCTGAGGAAGAACATGATCCGCGTCCGCTGAACCTAGCAATTGCGTCTGAACTGCTGGACCATCTGGTTGCAGGCCATGAGACGACAGGCATCACCTTCACGTACATGATGTGGGAGCTGTCACAGCATCCGGAGCTTCAAGTAGAGCTGCAAAAGGAACTACTCACCTTATCTCCGTCCCTCAAATACCAAGAAGCAGACGGAGAGAAGCCTCTTCCCTCCCCTTCCGCGATCGACGCCCTCCCCTTGCTGGACGCCGTGGTTCGCGAGACACTCCGTATTCACTCCCCTGCCCCAGCCCAACTTCCCCGCGTTACCCCAAATACGAAAAATGGAACTTCCTTGCACGGGTACGACCACATCCCCGGCGATGTGATGGTCAGTTCAACCGCCTATTCTCTCCACCGCATCAGCGAGGTCTACCCGCGGCCGCTGGAATGGCTGCCCCAAAGATGGCTGGAACCAGGCGACAAAATCCACGACATGAGACGGTTGTTCTGGCCATTCGGGAGCGGCGGACGCATGTGTTTGGGGAGCAATTTTGCGTTGCAAGGTATGCCTCATATTTATGGTTTCGGAGCAGAGACTAATGGAGCAGTGATCAAATTGGTAATGGCGGCTATATACTCGAATTACACGACAGCGATTGTAGACGATGAGGACATCGAGCAGGAATTCGCGTTTATCGCGCTGCCGCGCGGGCGAAATCTGACGTTGAGATTCATCCCGGTCGGATAAGATAAGGCTTAGGTGACGCTGTGCGGGAAGGATCAGGTGATATTCAGCAAGCGGATTTAATGTCTATAAAAAACCCAGGGGCACGTTCATCCTTTCTTTCTCTGAGTAAAAGGCGGCAAGGGGTCAACCCTCAAGCAAAAAGTGGTTCAGATACGGTGTAAATGAACTTAAATCGAAAACTCACGTCATCACTTTTCCCGAAGCTCTCATTCTATGACCACCCGGTAATCAATCAACGTACATCTTCTCAGATTCAATACCCCTACAATCAACATGGTCAAAGGGAGCATGGGGAATAAATCCGTTCAGGAGTCGCCGTATCCTATGGGTATCCGATCAGAACAAATAACCGAGTTTGCACGACTACTCTGGATTGAACCAAAATACGACGCGCGTTCAACAGACGAGTATTGCATCCGATATGATAATGACGACTCGATTCTCATCACAGTGACGGGAAAGGAATACAATGAAAGGTCTACACGTGAATTCCGCGATTCGTCTGGCCTTCCTTTATTTGAAATCCAGAAAGTTTCGTCTTTAGGGTGGAAGTCTCGACGTCCGTGGCGGATTCGATTACCAGGGAGCAAAGAAACAGATCTGGTTGATATCAGATTGAGGGGCTTGATGAAAAAGACCTTTGAGATGGATTTCCGCAATGTAGTCACGCGCGACACAAGGAACGAGGACGATAATATGGTTCATATGGTGGTGCACCGCGTCTCGTCTGTATACCGAGTATACGAGGTGAGAGTAGACGGCCTCAAAGTCGTGGATATACGCGAAAGCATGGAACGAAATAGGTCCGTCCCGACAATGATGTATAATTCAAGTGGGGGTATATTGCCTTCTCGGTTGGTGATGGAAGTTCTAGTGGCTGCAGATTTTGATATGTCTCTGGTAAGTTCTTGTATCAACCAGTGGCAAAGCGGTCGACTGATCTGTCATGGCAGGCTTCTCTCATCGCCGTCATCATTTGTGATATCGGGTTTAGTGCATCGCCTCCACACTCGAAGAGTCGAATGCATGCTAGCTTGAATATTCCGTGATTATTCTTGGAACAGACATGAGGCTTTCCGTGCTTCAATAATAATTATGATCTAACTCATAGCCTTTCATTCAATGACGTAAAGTCGTCTGTGAGAAACAAATCTACTATGAGAATGGCAATCATTGATTGATTTAATCATCCTTCTTTGTCAATAATGTATCGTATCTCTTGCCATTCTGGGATATTAAGCAACAGCGTATGCAGACATGATTAGTTTGCGAAGTTCCCACCCACAATTTCTGTTAGCCTATCCCGTTCAAAGCTGCCAACCATATCAGATGAGCACATTTTCACCAGACCCCTATCTCTTTAGTCATACCGTTCAGAAACCTGAACGACGACATTGTCCATGAAAGCGCTTCATAGCTACCTTTGTAGTAAGCTTTCGGAATATCAAGGATACCAAAGCCCAGTTCTGAAGTATATGGACAATGACTCTGAGAGCTCATCGGCTGGATTCAGGAGCTATTGCACTTCTGGGATCTTGGTTTTAGGTCCCAGCCTCAATTTCCTGCCACCGAGAGCCGAGGAGAGCCACCACCGTCCTCCACAGTATACCTTCACAAGACCTACACTGCACATGATTCCGAGTCATTTTTTTACCCCAAGAAGGGCAATTTGTGATGCCAGGAATCAATTTAAGGTCAACGGTAACCCAAATTTGGTTCCCAATGTAGAGGTCGAAGGTCAGACAAGCTACGCTGACCTTCCTAGGGGCTTATTGCTCCTGAAGTGGCTTATATACTCCTAGAAACCATACCAAAGCCTTTGGGAGCAATGAAACTCCCAGGGCCAAGATGACTGACTCTTCCCAGGATTGAAAGCGCTATCAAGAGGCACGTGATCTCCAATCCCCAGGCTTGAGGTCCCGAGCGCCTGCCAGGACTTGGCAATGGGATTATGGAACTAGACATTTAAATAACATTAAATTGGCGAGCACACAACATAATAAAGCCCATGCGATTTTTACGTTATCTCAGGCTCAAGCCAACGTGTTCAACTGTGATATGCGCGGTGCCTCGGGGCCCCGGAATGTTTCCAATCTATAGCTCTGCACTTCTAGAAAAGCTAGAAGTGGCACATTCGAGGAACTAGTGGCGCCTGCAACTCGTGGCTACCGTAGTGGCTATGGTGGTTTGCTCCTAGACTTGCTAGCACTCTTGCGGTGGCCTTGAACACAGGGCCTATGACTGAACCCCTCATCAGAAGTGCTGTGACTGTTTGCTTGACCTGATATTTGACCCTTTTAAGTTATTCATACTGATGTAGCCCAACGTTTTATGCGGGAAGCTTGGCCACATTTTCTGTGATTGCAAGTTTAACGGCCATAAATTTCCTAACTCTTCAAAGTAAACTAGATCTGTTGAGAGAGAATATTTCCTTCAGTGAACCGGCTTTCACGGGCTCTCCTAGAAAATGAGTATCCCCTACTATATGCAGAGCAGGGTGGTGACCGAGTAATCCTCTATAACATCTAGTAGCCGCCTTGAGGGCACTTCTCATGTTGATCCGTCCCTTCAAACGGGGATATAAAGCCCCGCCGTCTCATACAAAACATTTCCACCGAGGGCTTCCACGAGTGATTTGCCAGATCCATAGTTCCGACCGTGACGGTAAGCATATTTTCATATTCCGGGGTACCCGTCGAAGTCGTGTAGATAGGCGAACTACAGATTAAACAGAAATGTCGATGAATCGTATTTTTTGAGCCTGGTGGTTTATCGTCGTAGACTCTGATTTCGTCTTCTCCACTGAGGATTTTGAATTTCTGTCGAGTATGAGTATGGGAGTATCGCAAAAAGCATAATGAGTTTCTAGGAAATTTTGAGTCTGAGCTGACCTCTTTCATATACATGCTATTAGCCATGAAGACAGATCCGGTGGTTTTGCGACATGTGTCGCAGTGGCAGATAATGTTGGTGATTGGTTGTCCCGTTAGTTCGTAGCGAACTTTCTCGCAGACGCAACTACCTGTGCACTCTGGGTGCGTTGTATCGAAAGTAGATTGCATGGAGTTATCTGCACCTTAATTTGGTTTGATCTTGGGTAGCTGAATAGATTTGATGTTCTCCGCATGATTGCGGCGCTCTTATATGACAAATTTTAGGCGCCCAACACAGCTCGAATCTCTACTGCTCGGAGTCTAATTGGACAAAGTCAACGAGAACCTTCTTTTTCTTTCCAGAGCTTTATCGAATGTTCTACATCGAAATATCGTCTATGACCTTATCTACCCCATACTGTTGAGAATGGATCATCCAAGGAGCCAATCAGCTCACATCAAGACCGTAGTTCCCTCGCACGGATTTCGTTCTTCACGGTTCCAATCTCCTACGAATGGCGAATAGGTATGTTATGTACTCTACTGGCATCACTAGGTTCAATCGAGGGTCTTTTTTTCGCCATGAGTATAATAGTTAAATTTCTTAGAGTTCAGCTATGATCCCCATAGAAAGACTCATCTTTATTAGCTATTACCACGCAGTCAGATACTTCTAAGCCTCCTCCGTCCCAAACCCATTGCCATCTCATATTCTTCTGATTTGACGGTCGAAACAGACGGCATTTCTACATTACGCAGGATAATGGCCATTTGAACGCAGTCCCGAGTCTAGTCCGTTGCTATAGCCTTAAGGCTACCTTGGTTCCGGGACACTGGTTTACGGACTACACCAGTATAAACCTCAGTGGATCGAGAAATCAAAGATATGACAATTTCATCAAATTGTGCATCGTGTTTGGATCATGAGCAAGCCCTAAACTGTATTGCACATAGCGTAGAACCTGAGCCCTTAAATGAGTCTACCCGTCATCTGACCCCGCTTCATCTCCAACTTCATCATCTTCTAATTCCTAGCCCCTCAGGCAAAATGGCGTGGCCACTTCCACCAGAGATAACTAGCTATATTGTGTCACTTCTTACTAACCCATTAACCTATTAAACAGCATGCTCGAATTGGCTCAATGTGCTTCAGTGAATCGTGACTGGCAGGCCATTATCGGGTAGCGAAGCTGGGCGACACTACGAGTCAAGACAGGAACTCCGTTGAATCTAAATCAATTTGAAAGATTGATAAACGATCCACGACAACAGTAATATACTCGGGACATCGGGTTGATCGTGGAGCTAGAGCCTTACGAGCCTTACGATGAAGCTGCCCGAGCTGATTTCGAGACAGAGTCTGAGCATGAGCGCAATGACTAGATTTCCTCCGAAGTAATTCGCTCAGTCCTTGATATCATCGTGAAGTCGCAAGCCAATACGCCGGGGACTTCACTGCGAGGGATCTCGCTCTCTATCCAAGCCCAGTCCCCTAGCGATCTGGTCGCTAGCCCAAATAGACGCAAGCAAAAAAAGGCCGCCCGCGCCGAGCGGACTATAGATATTTTGAACCGCAGATTTGAGAAAAATTATCTGCAGCTTGATGCATTTGAGAGCCAGGTAGAGCCACTCGGTATTGTGCATACTCTCACAACAGAGGCGTCATCTGACAGACGGCGAATCGAGGCGGCGAATCGAAGCGGCTTCGTGCGCTCGTCTTGCCTATCAATTTTCTTGCCTCCATACGCTCAACTTGTCGTTGATTGACACCTACTAACGCGACAAGGGTCTGAGAAAACGCAACCGTGGCGGTATGTTCCATCTATGGGCTAATATACTATTTTTCACTGCATACTAATAAGCGTTTTGGAACTCGCTGCTCATATTCACCTTTTGCCGTCGGGCATAAAAACTTCAACTTTACTTTCGACAATGAACCGCCTCAGGATCATAACTTCTCCCCAGATAAAATCATAGACCAAGGCGTGAGTGGTCTCAGCGCGCGACTACATAAATTCTCTCAGCAGTTAGAGATACACGTTCTTTACGGATAACAATTGGAAATGAGCTTTTCTGGCAACCGGGACGAAGCGACAAGCGTCCATAATGGCCCGATCTAACAATTATCGATATTCAATACACACCCTCAACTCCGTCCAGGAAATGGCTTTTTGTTGACCGCTCTGTTCGCGATGAGTACGATCACTATGAGTACTCATATTCCAATCCACATGATGAATTTCCGGAATACGTGAGAACGGTATTCGAAGATGGCAGCGGCAAGTCTTTTCGAGAAGTCAGTGTATCCGGTCTCTTCAATGAGTTGTATATGGCTGTGAACCAGGCAGCTTTATATATGCCAAAACTGGAATTCCTAAGCATGGAAACGGGGTCAGGATGTAGCCATCATCGGTTCAGATATTCCTCGGAAGACGAGGCATACGCAAATTGGTCTGACCTTCTCGAATTTCAGCCTGATAAAAGGCTCTGAATTTATAGAAGCAAGTGGTTTCCAAAAATACCGGTGGGGATTTCACAGCCAAATTGTGCAATGATTAAGAAGACAAGAACCCGAACATTCTGGCTCCTCACTTCCAGATCGTGCTCAGGTCTTAAGTTTTGGGAAATCTTGATTGATAGTATTGTATGTGGCTCGTTATAATTTTGAGGCTGTTGTCTTTTTTTCATTTCAAAAGACGAAGTGAATTGATGGAATGATACGATTTTAACTTCGATACCAGTAGTATATTCTTCGCAGTTCCGCCAAGTTATGGAAGAGCCGTAGGTCACTGTGCTCCCCCCTGCTGCGAGCTCAGTCAATCAAGCCAACGATATTGACGTATATGCCACGCGCAGCACATTGCTCTTTGTTAACAGGATGTTGCAGAAAATCTTGGTAACCTCTACTACCTTTTCGCAGTGGAGACAACTGAGCACCTATGTATACACTTATCTCTTGAAACTTCGATGTAAAACGTAGCAACAAGTATGAGTTTGAATGCATTCAATGCTATAATCTCCTTTACGTAGACCGACATCCTGGCTTCATTAGCTTCACTGAAACCACTTGGGGAAAGCAAAATTAAGAAAGCTGCTCAAAGTCCTGAATTTCCCGACATACATTGCTTAATGATTTTGGTTTAGTCTTCCTCGCATCTTCAAAGGATAATACGCCAACGGACGCATCGTAGTACCACCAACTACCGGCAATTAATGTTTAAAGTCGGATTCTGCAAGAGCCTCGGTCTGTAGGATCTATTGAGGAGATGCCACATCCCCACCGCTAGACCCCGCATAGTTCCAGCATTGTGGATGGTCAACATATCTGCATTGACGATAATGAGAATCAACAAATGGGATAGTCTGAGTGGACCTATGATCCGAGAGCTGTCAAGAGTACTCCGTACAAAGATCTTCGCCTCGGAACGTAAGCCCAGCGACGCCTCTAGAGAGAGATCCCCGACGCTCGGGGACTTACTACGTCAGCCCTTTCCACCCCCGCCTTAAGACTGGAAGTGTCATATAATCGCGTGTTGTACGGAGTAAATATGTGTAATTTAAGAGGAATTAATGATACCCTAGAACAATCTGTAGTATACAATCCTAAAAGAATAACCAGAACTGAAAGGAGAAGTGAAAGAAGCCATTAGACCTCGCCAAAATCGCGGGTCGGGTTTCGACCCTTGACCCAAAACCCGCCAAGAGATTTGAATACGGGTAATTTATACCAAATTACACTCATTTATATGTGTTACAGTCTGTATTACTATTGTAATTCAGTAATATACAGGCTCATGGGTTCTTGGCGGGTTCGCCATAGGGTACCCAAAAAAGCAATATGGCGAGGCCTAGAAGCCATCGCTTGGTCCCATCACTTTGTCCCGCTAGGCCAAGGCTAGCGGTCTTTTGCCAGACGCCTATACGAGGCTGTTCTAAGCTAAATGTTAGGCTGATGCACTTTTCCTCTCCTTCTTTCCCAGCTATTTGCTATCTGGACCATTTGCTCATGTCAATCGTCCCCTCTTGTAGATAATATAATGTTCGGATACGAGTGTCTGTACTCCAAAAGTCCCCGCTCCTTCCTCTTCTCCGTTGTCGCCAATGTCGGCCCCTACGGAGCCAGCCGCTCTCTGGCCGTGGCCTACCGGCAGGGCAACGATAAGGACATCTCAGTATCATCTTCGGAACGTGTTGAGAATGTTGTGGCAGACATCCTTGCGCTGATCAAAATATTCTCAGATCCCGCGAACCGCGCGCCACTTGAGGCGGAGAGGGCACTCGCGGAGGGCTGGTATAGTCGGTCTCAGGGTGACAACGAGGCTGAGAGTAATGAGCGGCCTAGCATTCCAGACAGGCCGCAGCCTCCTTTCGTCATACCTGATGGCTCCCAGGAGGAAGAGCAGTCGCAAATACAGCCCGAGCTGCCATGGCATGATGATAGGCTCAGCGAGTTTCCCTTTACAACGACCTACCTTTTGCTGGCATTATTGCGCAACGATAGCGATTCTAATGCCACTAATAGCATCAGCACGCGCCCCGGCGACGTTCAGCTCCAGCCGTTATCCACTTTGTTCCGTGCTGACTGCCTCGAGTATGGCCTTGTCGTTCTCGACATCTCCGACCTTGACAGCGGCGTCAAGTACGGCATCGTTGGTTTCCCCGTGCGTTATATGGCCGAAGTCTCCTATTGGTGTGAGACTGGTGGCTGGGATCCAGTTGAAGACCCCCGCCTGAGAAGGAGCCTGACACTGTACTTGCCAGCCCGCGGCCTCGAGTGCCGTTGGCTATTTCTCCGTGGCTACGCAAGTACTTTTACCACATGAACCTGGAAGAGGACCCCAGGTTCCTGATACTGAAGAATACGCCGATTGTTTATGCTACAGCCTTAGACTGTAAGTCTGTTTCCTCGCCACCTTACTATCTCTAGTATCAAGATGATGTGCATGAGCTGACTTGGTAATGGTAGACATCTGGCCCCCGGAGCTTGAAAATCAGCCTAGAGGCGAAGATCAGGCTGGAGAATCTTCGCCAGGTGTCACCTCAAGTATCTCAAATTGTCTGTAGATCACTCGTGCTTCCCTATTTTTACACATACTTACGGCATTTACTGACTTATAGAAAAGACTTTTGGCCTTCAAAGTCCACCACCAGCGCTAAAGATGCATCGACCACAACACCCTCGCCGCATAGACCTTGGCAAGGACCGGGACCGGACCATGCGGTCTTTGGTCTTTTTTCAAAGTAGTCAGGACCGCAACACGGTCCCCCGTGGTCCTTTGCGGTCCCCTATGCGGTCCCCCGCAATTTCATAATTATGCCGAGACCTTCCTTGTTTAGCCGTATAAACTGATTATTCAGCCACGTTTTTTACTGTTATTTAACACTGTTTTGGTATCTACACAAATTTTGATAATGAATCAGGTCTAACAATCAATAAAACAGTTGAAACTACCTTGTATCTGATTTCATAAAGCTTGGTATTAAGTTAATTACTAATGAACTTTCAATTTCGGACTGTTGTGGTTGACATTTTAGAATTTACTTCTGATTAGACCTTGACATTTCCCATGGGACTAAGTGTCCCATGGGAAATGTCAAGGTCTACTCGTACGTAGGTGACTATTTCTTTGAATAAATCGTCCGCGTAGTCAATCTCTTTAGCTAGACCCTAGATCCTCTGTCTAATTCCTCTATCGACTTAGAGGTTTATCTATGCTGCAAGCCTGCAACCGATGTCGACTAGAAAACCCATCTCTGATAGAGCGCATTATCTTTGCTTGGTCGAGGTATTTTGTCTTCGATCAGGTCTTTCAGCATCATTGGTTTTAGGCAATTTTGTAGCATTGAGATCTAGTCCGATAGATCTGTCTCTTCACTAGACAGCTCTACAATGGTTAGTAGATCACACTTCGATGTCCTCAAAAGATCACTTCCTTAGTGGCGGGCGACGCCTACAGATACGCTCTTAGGCCCGTCTCCAGCGTCCATAGACGCATCCTTAATATCTGGATAGCCTAGGTCGTCACCCATGGCTCTCTGGTGTGTACCGCGGTCCAAAGCGGCAGATATTACGCCAGTTTTCGCGTATTTCGATTCGAATTCGATGGTTTCAGGGTTCGGAGGTATAAGGGCTCAGGGGTGGGGCGGATTCACTGCTTCTGGTAGGTTGATTAGACCCACCGTCAGCGGCGGCGTGCTTGGCGGCCCTGGATTGGGTCCACGAAGCTTGGCGCGGTGTGAATAGCCTCAAAAGTTGAGCAGAGGGGTCATAACCTCTTGGCAGTGGAAGGAAGGCAACAATAATATGAGGTTATTATTGATGAAGAAGGACGGAGAGGGGAAGAAGTCTAGCTCTCCAAGCTAGCAAACTAACTACTCTCAGGTCTATCCTGGATCACGTGATCTCGACAATAGTTTCGCCCCAGCCGGTAATTGCCTTATAACCCCGATCGAATGCTTTCAAAACTCGATATTCGCCTACGTACGCCAACCCCCCCCACTCCTATTGTCAGGACCCTCGACTACTTATGTTGGTACCTGAGGCACGAGTGGTGCCTCAGGAATCGTGGCAGTATAGTACTGCTCACCGCCCGGAAGCTGGGCCAGCCTGTATTTAGTTCATCCCCGCTGACCCTGGGAAGGGTCAGCGTTCAGTCTCTCCTACAATAGAACCATATTGTACCACACGTCAGCTGAGGCTTCTACTTCGCTTACCAAGCCAAACCAGAGACTCTGCGTGGTCTCACACCTATCTCGAGCAGCGGTAGCGAGTGGGAGCTAAAAACGCCTTCAAACTACGTACAATTCCAAAATAGGCTTCCTCTATTGAAGCTTTATTAAAGCAGCGTTTGAGAAGTCCCCCGAGTCCGTTTAATTCCGCGATGAATCAGCTTATAAAGTCTTGCCAAACTAGAATGCAATCGGTCGCTATTCTCGAGAGAGAAGTAAGCGTTTTATGCGCTGCAAACGAGAAGAAGAAGCGGAAAAGCAAACGGTCTACTTTGCAGATAGCTAGGAAGGGAGTATCTCTGTTCCAGAGGTTCGTGAGCTGTAATTGGAGCCAATTGAGTCCCAAGTAGCCCGTATAGCCGAAGTTCGTGAGCAGATTTCAGGGCGTTTACAGCCTCGAACAAGGCCTTGCCTTACCAAAATGCAGCTTATGTGAGACTCAGGGATATAGAAGTAATACATGTCCAGATAGGTTTTAATTAGGCTCATTACTCAATTCAATGTCGTTGTGATGAGATAAACGCATTTAAATCCAATAGACCGAGAGTTGGAAGTCCCGGCCGGCTCGCTTGTGTGGCAGGCTCGCATGTGGATTACGTTAGCAGATGCGCTCTTACGTAAAAGAAGTTGCAGACGTTGCTAACATCTGTCCCCATTGTCTTCGCCATCTTTATTTCTGAATTCTATCGTTACGATATCAGAGAACTGGCAGTTTTTCTATAGCTCGGGTGATTTCCTACAATGTAGGTACATATTTCAAGCCAGTGGCTTACCCTCAACCAAAACACATGGAGAATACAATTCAGTCGAAAGATTGAGTAAGTTGATCTCAGTATTCCCGGTGGATGGTAGCACTTGGAGTAAGTTGAAATTAGGCAGAGTCATAGTGGAGAGATTTTGCGTTCTAATGTCTCAGTTGGAACGTATGTGTGTATTTCAAGGGGATGGGACTAGAGATTGAAATTTCGATTGCCTTGCAGAAATAGTTATTTGAATTCACAAGATCGAAGATTCCAATACAAGCGTACCGCATCTCCTAAGCGTGGGCTTGTAAGCCAAGTCTCCCGGCAGAAGATCAGGTTAAGCCACAGAAATCGTCTTGTTCGATGCCCAAAACAGGATCACCTCATGCTCAATTATGTCTTGGCAATGGTCTTGAGTAGCCTTGGTTAGACCACAGGTTGAAGTTTTGGGCCCAAGCGCATACCTGGACCCAATAATAACCACGGTTTCTAAATGGGGCGTCAAGTACATATTTCCGAACCCCTTGGCAGTTGTCCGGAACGAGCGAACGTAATCTCACCGAAAGCCTAATTCGGACTAATGTGGACGGTTTCTCCCCACACTCTGGGCTATGCAGGAACCGGCCGACTCGGCGCGTGTCTACGGATGCCTACAATGTACAACGTACAATGTAAAGATGGCGGGTTTTCTTTCAAAGTTTCCCCATATCGGTGAAGATGTCAACCGCTACATGTATACGCTGTAGATTGGAATGTACGCAGTTTCGGGATGTGGAGAAGCCGATTGGTTTGAAATCTTCAAAGGCCCGAGGACGAAGCAGCAAGTCTAACTTCATAAGGTTCCAACGTCCTTCCAACGTTCTTCGAATGATGCTTACAAACCCAAACCAGTAACCTTAACATCTGCGGAGACCCCAGACTAGTCAACTGCGGAGATTCCCAAGCGGCTTTTTTTTGAGTGGCCCTTGGTGCCGCCACAGGGCCGGGGGCGGGAAAATTGTGGGGAGTTTACGGGGATTTCCGAGGTCGACGGTGAATTTTAATAAGCTAGTGGCTGATTTAGCTTCCAACTTTGTCCGATTTGGTAATCTGTCCGATACCCGTAAGCCACCGTAAGCCACATGTCTACAACAAATACGGTCTCCGCCCGGAAATAAGAGTGGAGTTCGAGTCCGAAGGTCTGATTGGACCGTCGTCGAACCAGTAGGTTTCAAGAAGTGCATTGTATGAGAAGCCCTACCCTGGGTGCATGGACATATTAGGCACCTCAACACCACTCATAACACCGGGAAACGGCCGTCAATCTCCAGTCAGGGACTCTCACATCTGTCAACAGAATGTTCATTTGCGAGAACCAAAAAAACAACAAAAAAGCAATGTCGCCAAGATGGCGGCGTAGGATGGGCTCATGGCACTTCACTTCGGTACTCCAGAGACGGGAAAGTTTAAATTACATCCCCCAAAGTAGGTGCTCGGCTAAATCTAGATGAATGTAATACCGGAATATCCGAAAGTGGCAGCCCGGATCACCAATAGGGACACGAGTTCAAGAGCTAGGTTGTCAGCCGTTTGCCGATTGTGCCAGCGCAGTGCTTCTACGGAGTACCGAGCCCATAACATGGCGTACCCGCTCGAGCCACGCACGGAGTTGGTACCGAGTATAGAGAGCACTTGGCGTTGACGTCCGAGATTTCGCTAGCAAAAGTCTTTTCGAGTAGACTCCATATGGAGTCCCAGCTTGGTAAGGATAGCGACCCGGTTTCTATCTATTATTTCCCCACTATCTAGTTACATGTTCATATGTAGCTAATGACATGAGTCTGGGGTCTTGGGGTCCTGGGGTCCAGGGGTCTGCCGATCCTATAAAGCCCCTTGCTCTCGCCCGTCCTCGAACCGTCTCTATGTGTCTGTCTGTGGCTTGACTCTCTTTACACTGCCATAATGTCTGAACGTCGCGCTTCTGCTGTTGAGGCGCGTTCTGATGCCGACCGCATTGAGGCACCTGTTACTTGGAAGGCATACCTGATCTGTGCCTTTGCCTCGTTCGGTGGTATCTTCTTCGGCTATGACTCTAGTTATATCAACGGCGTCAGCGGTTCGAGCATGTTTATTCAAATGGTGGAAGGCCCTGAAGCTACTGCTTTAAGTAGCTCGAACTCTTCTCTAGTCGTGTCCATTCTGTCTGCCGGTACTTTCTTTGGCGCCCTGCTTGGTGGAGATATGGCCGAGTGGATTGGCCGAAAGTGGACTGTCATTTTTGGCTGTCTGATCTACATGGTTGGTGTGGTCATTCAGATGTGCACTGGCCTCGGTGACGATGCTCTAGGCTTGATCGTGGCTGGTCGTCTGGTTGCCGGATTCGGTGTCGGATTTGAGTCTGCCATTGTCATTCTCTACATGAGTGAAATCGTAAGTTCAAAAACATTTCTGGCTCATGATAGGGATCAACCTGACGCGTCGTCCCTCTTTGTTTTAGTGCCCCAAGAAAATTCGTGGAGCCCTCGTCGCTGGATATCAGTTCTGCATTACCATTGGTATGTTGACTGCGTCCTGTGTAGTCTATGCCACCGAGAACCGGCCAGACACTGGATCCTACCGTATCCCTATCGCCATCCAGTTTGCTTGGGCTTTGGTCCTGGGCACCGGCCTATTCTTCCTTCCTGAGTCGCCACGTTACTATGTCAAGAAGGGTCGCATTGAAGATGCTGCCAATTCTCTCGCCCGGCTTCGTGGCCAGCCTCGTGACTCGGCCTTCGTCGACGCCGAATTGACGGAGATTGTTGCCAACGAGCAATACGAGCGCTCGATCATCCCTACCACTGGCTGGGTCTCTAGCTGGTACAGCTGCTTCACAGGCGGCCTTTGGGAACAGAAATCGAACTTGCGCCGCACTATTCTGGGTACCTCTCTACAGATGATGCAGCAGTGGTAAGTCCCGCAGAGGCCTGATCAGTTCGATGACAGACTCGATATCTGACTTTCTTCAGGACTGGAGTAAACTTCATCTTCTACTACTCCACCCCGTTCTTGCAGTCGACTGGTGCGATCGACAACGTCTTCCTCATCTCACTTATCTTCACCCTGATCAATGTCGGGTCCACACCCATCTCCTTTTACACTGTCGAGAGATTTGGCCGCCGCAAAATTCTACTCTACGGTGCGTTGGGTATGTTGATCTGCCAGTTCCTCGTCGCGATCATCGGTGTCACCATCGGATTTAACCACACCCACGCTCTCCCTGATGGCACATCCGTGGCAAACAACATTTCTGCTGTCAATGCTCAGATTGCCTTTATCGCCATCTTCATCTTCTTCTTCGCTTCCACTTGGGGTCCTGGAGCCTGGATCGTCATTGGCGAGATTTTCCCTCTCCCCATCCGTGCTCGTGGCGTTGCATTGTCGACTGCCTCGAACTGGCTGTGGAATACCGTACGTTCTGCTCTCCTTCCCTGCCCATGGTTCCTGCATTTGTGATTCTAACATCTCTCGCATAGATCATTGCTGTCATCACCCCCTACATGGTTAACAAAGACAAGGGCGACCTGAAATCCTCTGTCTTCTTTATCTGGGGTGGCCTTTGCTCTATTGCGTTTGTCTACTCCTACTTCATCATCCCGGAGACTAAGGGCCTGTCTCTGGAACAGGTTGACAGGATGATGGAGGAGACGACCCCACGTACCTCGGCCAAGTGGAAGCCCACTGTCACTTTCGCCGAGACCATGGGCGTTGGCGAGAAGGGCTTGGCCGTCCACGAGGAGGGTGTCTAGATTCTTGTTTTGCTCGATCCTTGGTATTGAGTTGAGCTTGCCACGTAGACCAAGTGTTTGGTTAGCCCGATCACTTCCACTTCATCGGAAGGGCTTCATCCTAAGTCATTTATAACGGAGGAGAATCTCTGAAGTGTCCCTCGAGCCACCTTTTTCAACAGCCCCATATGCCCTGTTTGTTTGGTATGGGTCTTTAGGAGAAATATAGCCGAAGCAAACATTTGTAATAACACGAAATTGACCATTGTAGACTCGTTAAACCGATCTTCAGCCAATGCTTCCTCAATAAACGGTCTGCATTTTATGGGATCTGGATCTAGAATCCCCCAATACATAATGCATTATACCGTGACAGAAATCAAGGTATGGCGAGCGTATTGGTAGAATTCACGTTGATAAGGTTCTCTAAAATAACAAAAGTCCGGAATTGACAATTATGGTCGGATACAATTAATAAGGAAAATACATCGTGACAACCGCATTCTCTCACCGAGCGAGCATGTCTATGGTTCATCCGCACCAAGTTGTCGAGGTAATTTGCGGTTCCGCTCGTGATTCCACGGTCTGTGTCAAACTTCAATTCTTCGTGACTTAGGCGTGGGCCGAAAACAAATCGCTCGCGTCACTCTATGCTTTCGACCATCGATCTAATCAAATCCAAACAGACGTATTACCTTGAGTCACCAAGAATCCAAATATTCACATTTTCCTAGAGCCCCTTGCTACCTTGTCCTATCTCCCTATAGGAACACTCATGGTATTATGAATCTTTATACGGCGTCCGCAGTACTTCCCGGGCTATATAAAAGTCCGATGGAATCCTCCTGGTCTTGTATAGTAAAGATAATAACGTGTAGGCGGGCCTATTCTAAGGGCACCACTATCGTGCTCAAATTATTAACTTTGAATTTGGGACTTCCTCTCTATTGTTGTTATTCCAAATAGAGTGCGCCAAAAACCGCAAAACCGCACTTGGTTCGGTTTTTGGGGCCCCAATGGGTTGTCAAACAAGGCAAACTTCAAGCGCTAAATCACGTGCTTAGTTTTTCATTGGTTTATATCGATTTCTAGACTACTTTGTAGAGCTATTTTCAAAATTTATGCAACTTTATGCAAATATGGTTTTTGTTGGGGCCCCATTGGGGAACTGCAATGGGTTGTGGTTGCGGTTTGGGTTTTGGGGGCAAGATTTGCCCCCAATTGCGGTTTTTGGCGCAGTCTAATTCCAAAGAAGGGCGATTGCTCCTTTCTATGCGGAATACATAGAACGATGTGCAACCTCGATTATAAATACTACGATGAGGCTTTATTGCTGATTACAGCCTTTATTATAATAGTATGTCCTAGGACTAGTGAATTGGGATATTGAGCCGCTATTCCTTGTACATCGTAATTTGGCGCTCTAGCCGATAGAATGCTATTAAAGTGCACGCTCTCTTCGCCAGTATCTTAGCTTCCTAACGGCATAGACACTATGCATATAGTCCCACCTCTAAGATAACGACCGTGTTCTTTTAGGCCGGCATAGAAGCGAGGCTAGCGTCACGCGGTCTGTGATAAAGGATCAGCTTGTCTAGTAATATGAAAAGAGTAAGTGATTCGTAAATAAAATAGGGCGTTTCGTCTAACTTGGTGTATTGCTATTGTCGGGCTAGTAAAAGTCGGCCTCTAGAACTATTTGAAACCCTTTGCCGATGTTCCTTTAGGCAGGGGTCTTGGCTAGAAGACTCGAGTATAAAGCGTTATCGACCACCGAGCGTCGCACGGCGCCTGATCGACTTTTTTATTGCCTAGATTTAGTGGGGATATAGCGCCGGTGCGACTCTGCTTCCATAGAATATAGTAAGTTTTTCCTCGCAATAACTCAACGCTTCCTTCTGCCTAGTATTCTTCATAATATGCGTTAGAGAAGGCTTTCCAAAACTACTCCTCATAGGTATCTAACCAGGGAGAAGATTTTTCTCCTCCTATTTCTGACCAGCCGTGTGCGCTACATAGGGACATAGTGATACTTCGGCAAGTTGCGGAAGTGACCGAAACGGGTGAACAAAATAGCAGAAAGTGATTTCGAAGGTGTAAGGTTGTTGAATTCTAGAGGTTATAGTGTGGTAGGTATAAGCCGACTACTGTATTTTCATGGGCTTTGGCTCAGCCTAGTGAGCTGGTATCAGACTCTCACGACTCACACTAGTTCAAGGTTCTAAAGATCAAAAATGCCTCAAGTTTCGATGCAATTTGCTTCGTTGAAAACCAAGAATGTTATACGGGCCACAAAAGTCCGTTCTTGTTGATAGTTTCTCATTTTTTCCCCAATTCGTTGAAATGTTTTGTCTGACCCGCCTCTTTGTGAGTCATTGTTCAAAATATGCAGTATTTGAAATAGATGTCTACGTGTAGAAGTTTGGGGTGAAAAATGCGTGCGCTTGCAATGCCCTTCTTAATTGCGAGCAAATAAACACTCAAATCTGGTCCCGCGATACAATATGCTATAAAGCCGGAGCGCCTCCTATCACAGAAAATCATAACTAGGATAACTTGGTACCCTAGCGTAGCTCGGACGCAAGTATAGGCGGGATTCGAAAATGCTCGCACGATCCTCGACGACAAAACTTTCGAAGCCAATTGTAACGTGCATTGTCCTTGTCGTCCTCTAAATCTCTGAGTCTTAGAATACTAGGATACTAGTTATCCAGATAAGTCCGCCATAAACGATACCACGGAGAACAAGTCAACCTTTTAGGAGGAACACGACTCTGGCGACCAGGAAAATAGCACCCTAGCCGACGAGAGCGAGCAAGAAGCCGCACAACAGTGAAAGACTATGTTTAGACACGAAACTAACTTGGAACCACGCGGGCAGACTCAGCTTTCCGGAGGCAGCAATACGGTTACTCTTGAACACCTGATGGAGTGAGGACAAAGGCTATCAAGGACATAATTTACGATGAGCCTGCTAACAACGTCAAGACTAGATAACTAGATACGGTCAGTTGTGGTCTATCTCAAGTGAGAATATAAAGCGCTGACCGTCTCCACAGTTCTATTGAACGCTTATCACATAACCAATCTACCTAGATTGAAACTATTCGCAACGATATAGCCGACGTCTTTGGTCGATTAGCAATTGTCAAAATTGAGATCCAGAATGTGACTAGGCAGGGTTCAAAAAGAGCTACAGAGAGCCAGAAAACAGGGCGATTCCTGCGTCGGTAGTAGTGATGCGGCTCAATCCTTATTTGCTTGGGTATCAAACCATGCATATCAGAGCAAGATATCAGTCTATGTTGGTCTTGAAGTATGAACACGAGCTTGACTAACAGAATATAAACACGCTAACCATCGATGCTAGATTGGACGGTCACTGGACAAGGCGAGATTGACTCAATACCAAGCTGATGCCAGGGTGAGCGATGTATGATTTGTTTTGCATTAGGTCTTCGTAATTTATCAGTGTTTCCCAAGGCTGCGCAGACGGAAAAGTATGGCTGGTATATGAAAATTGCCGAGATTGCTTTTTTGAACTGTCGGGCTATTGTCACGAGCCACTACAGTTTTCCGAGTAGATCAAACCTATGATTAGCTCCGTCATTGCAGCTGATTCGTATTTCAAGGCCCACTAAGCTTGTACCCGGTCTGTATAAGAGGAAATTCCCAAGAAAGCTAAAGCTTCAGTAATCATACCCCGTGAAACAGATGATCAAAGATTGGTTGCGACTATTTAGGTACTATCCTTAGCGGGTGATACTTGCGCAGTAGTTCAAAGTGCCACATCTATCGACTTGCGATATCCCACTTAACAAGCAATTGCTATTTGTGATTGAAATTAACCAGAATACTACGGCAAGCGTTGGCTAAACGCCTACAAGAGATAATGTCTATAGTACGCAAGAGAAGCGTGGGCTTCTCTACGAAGCGCATTGTATATATTTGAGCAATATTCGTATCGGACCATTAGAAGTGCGTTTCCTCTAAGACATAGGAGTACCGCGTAGGTAACAAATCCACATGCTAGTGTGGCAAGATTTTTTCTTTTATGTAAAGCGTATCTAAGCGTCTCGGCTACGTTGCAAAGGCCGTCTTCTACGGGAAAGTGAGGATATACTCAGACCAACGAACCGCAATTGTCATACAAAGTGTTTATCTTAGTCGGTCGTAGATAGTTTATATTAAATACTAAGCGGGAAATTGTCATTGTTCGATTCCGAGATACTAGGGAGTACATCGTGGCTAAGCATGCCCGCGCCGCCCTACTTAGGATATTCTACCTAGATCGTTCTGGAGCCTAGCAAATAGGATACTAGTCGCCTATTATAGAGGGCGTCGATCGCGCTCTAGAATCGAGTGGTCGCGGATACTAGCTCTGCATACGCCTAATCTAACACCAACTATATATTATTCCACGGGACCTAATCTTGCAGAGCGATGCTCGAGGACTCCAGCTGCTGCTGCAATTGGCAAATCCCATGCTAGAACTTCTGGCGCTCGGCTAATACAGTATGTTGAAATTGGATGTCTACTGAATTGGGACGCATCAATATCAAGGCCGACGAGATTGTTTAAGTCTGATCTTTCTCTTCATAAGAGGAAGACCCTATATAAATGAGAACTCTTCTCCTGATCCATACTCTACTTGGTAGGTCTAATGCTGATCACCAGATTCATGCCTTATATGTCAGGCATCTAGCCTGGATGCGCCATGAATCTCAACACAGTATTCCTTGTCGTGACGGCTATTTACATTCTGAACTGCTTTGCGCTTTCTCGGCTTTGAGCTAGTCCAGCAAATAAGAAAAATCGTAGTTCTCTCCGTCTGTTCATGAATAGTACGATCCGTCCACTTAAATCACTGCTTATCACCGTTTGAAGACTCCGAACTTTAATTCTTTTTCTCCACCTCGAGTCACATGTTACCTTCGTAGAATATGGATCATTCCACCACGGCTACCAGGCATTAGACACACGCCACTTGAATTAAGGCCGCTATAGACTTCAACCGTCGGATTTTCATCACGGCTGGATTTGAAACAAGCAGCGTAAGTCTGATACCGAATTTCGGCCATCTAGACTTAAATCTTCATCCTAAACGGGCCTTCGATCCCTCAGGATCGTTGCAATATCGGTTGTTCAAAGCTGGGCTACTCCGGAGCCAATGCAATAATATTATAACATCGGTACGTGGCACGCTGTTGTCGTCTGTAATACTAAACTAGACACCGTGACCCAATCACACTGTGCGGCATTGGCTAATCGGTTGCCCCTTCTGTTCGGTCGCATCCACTGTAGAGGGGGCTAGCCACTGCTTTGCGGGATCGACAAGGCTAGAGAACTCCGACGTGACGAGCCGGGTGATTCGCCAGCGTTGAGATTTAATTTCCGAATCTCCTTTCTTGGCTGAAATAATGGCACTATAGCTAGATAATACATACATTGTGGATTAACAGGATGCGCCCTAAAGCTGTAGCCTGACTAACCTTCTAAACATAAGGTGAGGCAAATCAGTAAATAAATAAAGAATAAATAAATAAATAAAGATAATAAAATACATATTGTAGTTTTGCTGTCAGAGAATTTGTTTAGCGTCCCGGTAGCAAATAAAGTGAAGTTAATGAAAAGGAAAGAAATGAAAGAAGCTTTTCACCAAGTCTTGGGCATTGCCTCTTTCGTTATGTCAAATATAAGATCCATGAACTAAAGCAACACTGCAGGAGTTAAAGCATGTGTCTTAACTGGGGCTGGCTTCGGGCTTGCTGTGACATCGGAACTTTGATCAATTTGTCTGCGTTCCGTGTATATGGATTCAGTGGATTGAAAAGAGACATAGTTATGGCGATCTAATTCCCATTCATAAAGCTATCGGTGTGTCGGTGGGTTAGACCTCTTAGTAGGAAAGTTACAGGCTCAAACACGACCAATGGTGTGACCAAGTGGGTGGGGGCGGGGGGCTGTGTGAGCAAATACGAACTGTGCTTATGAGGGGCAACATGTTCATCATTTCCTACAAAGATGCCATAATATTTCCGGTAATGTAGGCGATTACCAGATAAATACTTGGTGATAGACGCACTCGGAATTATGAGAATTGTGAAAGGACACAACCATAGACTAATCGACTTCGATAAATCCAACCTGGGACGCATAATTTCTATTACCCGATGGCACAAGAATTATTCCACTGACATATCAATAGTTTAAACTCATCCGTCAAACCTAAGACGGTCAGGCTGCACGACGGTCTCGGTTACAAACTGGACTAAACCTTGCGAATTCTTTTCGAAACACGTTTAGAGCTTTCATTTTCTAAGAAACTGAGCCAATCACGATCTTCTGCATACACGATCACTTCGGGCATGTCAGACTTTACTAAGCGTTTTTTTTTGTTTTTTTTTTTTTTAGATCCGTGATGATGAAATTTTACTCCTTCGCGGTTTAGAGCAAGAGAGTTACACACTGGGGCAATTAGCTGGGATGACCGTAGCGATGATTTTCGTCTTGGCAAGCGGCATAAACACTAGTCTTTAATAAGCACTAGTGGTACATTATGAACAAAGTCACCTATCCTTCCCCTATCTTGACGGCCGGGCAAGGTATTTACCCATGATTTATAGCGAAGAAAATACTTGGAGAGTTAATTGCAAATAAATTGGTCGTACTGTGATATGTGTTGTGATAGGATATTAGAATAATAGGTCAATTTGGTAACGGTTTCAAGGTCGGCGAGACCCTAAACCAAAAAAATTACGAGGATTCAAATGTGGGCCGTCCTTGATGCTCTTCTGCAACCAAAGGTACGACACATCTCATGGCGAATCTATGTCTTAGAATGTTCATCGTGGGCTCAAGAACTTCAGCTCAGAGTTGCAATCTATGCCAATCAGAGAGAATAATTCATCTATTTTCATCACGATGGGAATTTTCCCGTCCTGCCAGTTCCCCTCGACAATGATTCGACCCTCTGGTTCTCCTGGAGTCTCCTCCGTGGCTGAATGCTCATAATTCGAGGTTAAGCCATCAAATTGGCTTGAAATTACGTTATGCAAATTCCCAATAGAACCAAGCCAAGCGCGGTTGCCTTTCAGGGCCCATCATCTCATTGCCTCGAAAGTAGTTGTCAAGTTTCATCCCCCGCCTGCTTGCAGTAAGATCCCCAGACAGCGTTCGTCGCCGGTCTCAGCGGCGTAATGCAGCGGCAGCCAACCGGCCGCGTCAACCATGCTCGTATTGGCACTATACCGAAGGAGCTCACGTACGATGGTGTGATGACCACCCCGAACGGCTGCATGAAGCGCTGTGGACCCTGTTCCGTCGACTGCATTTGGATCAGCGCCGCGATCAAGGAGAAGTCTAACCGCCGCGAAATGACCTCGAGTAATAGCGATATGGAGGGGCATCGTCCAAGTTCTCGACCCTGCTCCACTATCGGGCATAACGTCGCGATTGCTCCTTCGTCCAACGGGAAGAGTTGGTGTATTTGCAGGCAATGTGATAGGGGTTCTGTGCTGCTGTTCTGCCATTAAAAGCTCTTCGGCATAAGTATAGCAGCTATCGCAGAAATTTGTAGTATGAAAGGCTGGTGAGCCTGGTGAGCTATGAGGTATGCATGAGTGTATTGGTGACCGGTCTCTTACGTTTGCTCAGGCTCGCGGAAGGATTTGAATCCATGATGCATGTACAGGGGCCAAATTGGAACCGATCCTCAAGTGGCCAACTAGATGATGCCAAGTAGAGGTCTCTGCATTCGGGGGTTTGCGCTAAAGACTGCTGATTGGAGAACCAAGTTTCCGTGGACAGGGCGTCGGCTCCGTTAGATGTATGGCTCGGTCCGAACAGAGCTGACGAAGCCAGATCCTCTTGGCCATGGCTCATAGGAAGCATACAGCTGTGTTGACTGGTTGATTTCGCTGGGTGAGGTTTCTCCGAGTATGGCTTCACACTCGATCTGCAATGGTCTTCTAGTAGTCGTGATCTCTTAGAATCTGTGTTCACATTCCTACCTACTTCTGTTAGTTATGATTCAATGTTGGTGGACGAGACAATATACGATGTTTGCGCTGTGCTATCCTGTTACGCTCCCTTCGCCTTTCGAGGGCCAAGCTATCTTGGTCCATCATGATGATTTAATTTGCGGGAATTCGTCAAAGAGATAACGCACTTGAAATAATTCGATGGTATGTGTTCATAGTATATTGAGCAGCCCAGACGCAGAGGAAGCTGGTACTTATATATCCAAGCTAATGTCGATGTGGTGACTAGCCTCCTGATCTACCGGGAAGGACAGCGAATTCGGGCCGGCAAGATGCAACTTTGTTCCATAGTTACATTATGGATATATTGGACTCTAGCTACGGCATATTGACCCACTTCCTTGGCTTCGTAATTTAGAATCCATAATACCAATTCTAAGACTGTTTCATTGATGCCTCAAGTCTTGGTGAAAGCTCTGAGGATCTCATGTGTAATGTCCCCAGCTGCTGACTTCTTAATTCAAGGTTCGAATATAGCTTTTCAGCACATGGTGCCCCATTCCATGCATAAAAGCCCGTTTGGCAAATCTGTAACATAGTATGTTCATGATGAAATTAGCTTGAGCTGGTATTTTGAAATGAGTTGTTACAAATGAAGGGAAGAATCCCCCTTTAAGGGAGCAAGCCCAGAGATGAAGATTGACTGGTTCATTAGCTTGACGGTCCACCGCGAGAATTTATTTGTTGACCTCTGTTTTCACATCCGTGGTTTCTGTATTATGTAGAAATTAAGCATTCTTTTGAACTTCCCGATTTAGATTAGCATGACCCTCGGTCCTTGCTTCCATTGACCTACACATCTACATAATAATTGTGTATTACTACATATTTAGGCCTCGGTTGTTGATATATTGAGGACAGACATTTGAGGTCCCGATCTATATTCCCAAAGAAGTAGGGCATTGTAATGGTGAAGCTAGCGACAGTAGCATAGAATACCTGGGACCGTATTCAGCTCAGTTCACTCTGCAAGATTACGTCATTCATGCACCACAATATGACTACTTTCTCTTCAAATTCTTGAATTCATGACGCAGTATCAGCTTAAGCAGTCTAAGCCATAAGAAGCCAGTATCTACGACTCCTGCCGATGAGGGGAGTGGTTGGTTGTATACTCATTTTTGATATCGACCCGTCTGCTATGATGGACTGCCATCGTGCCATCCCCATATTACCATGTAGTATTCTTGAAATCACGTTATCTCCTAGGAATCAAACATTCATTTTATGCTGCAAACACATAGAAACATGAAATCCAAAATTTGTGGCAATTTACATTCTCCCTTTCCATTCCAGCATATTCTTAATACCCTCAATTTCTTCATCCTTTTGACCAATATATCGCAATCTATCTTTCTTAGCACATGAAGACCTCACTCGTATTCTTTAAGCATGGACACGGAGCTTGGAAACTTCAACATAGGGAAATGTCTTCACATCAATCTGAGTCTGAGTGATCTTGGCCTCGATAGCTGCTGCGCTAAGAGCAGCGCGGGCAATGGCATCAGTGTCGCAAAGTGTGACTGAGTTCACACCTGGTCTGGCACCAGCAGCGGTCACCCAGTGAACTCCTTCAGTTGGAACACCGACAGCAAACCGCTTTGGGTGCACACGTCCGTGGGTGTCAATGAGATGGTATGGGCTTCCAGTCACATCAAGACCACCAGTCTCGTATCCTTCAATAGCGTGAGCGCGGCATTGACCCGTTTTGAACAAATGGGAAAGAAGCTCATCCCCCGTGTTGCGGAGTGTCGGCTCTGGCAAGCGGGCTTCGATCAATGTTGTAACCCGAATTGGCTCGCCTGGGACCTCTGGCGAGTGGACTAGCCAGGCCTCGTCCTGGGCCTTTACCTTGGGATGGGGACCCAGGACTTCCAAAACTCCTGCCTCCATCAGCGCAATCATTTGCTCGATACGTTTGCGGGGAGGTCCAATTGACACATAAGCGTTGATTGGTGTATACCAGCGATCGAGGTGCTTCCAATGAGAAGTACCGGTCAATCCATTGTGGTCCACGATGAGTCGCAATTCGTTTCGCAGATCGCGCATCACATCCAAAGCTGCCTTTAGTGGACCGTTTAGATTTCCAAGTGCGGCCTCCTTGGCATCTTCGCGAAGGTAGTCGATCAACCACTCACGCCACTGAGTGCTGGTATTGAAAACCCGGTCGCCCTGTGGACGCTGGATACGGTCCCAGGACCACCGCTTCTCTTCCGAAATGCCAAACTCGTGAAGAACTTGCGCTTCCTTGGGACTATTTGGCTCAGTTTCTAGGAACCTCTTCTGGAAGTCGCTTTGTTCCGACTTATCACGCTTGAGTAGAGCCAAGTAATAAACGGTTTCCACTTCTTTGGACACAAGAGGCCAGATATCTTGGAGGAAGTCATGCGCTCTTCCGGCATCAGAATGCTTGCGGAACGCATTGATGACTTCTTCAGTGAAGACGAGGGGCATGTGGCGGCCATATGCCCCCTTGCCGTTATCACCACGGGAGTGGTATGGAATGCCACGACGAGATCCCGCAATCATCCGAGGCTCATTGCCTGATGGGCGATATTTCAAGCCGTTAGGAGTCTCCGAGAAGCTACCACCCCGGGATATTGTTAACAAAGCCATGTAGTCGAAGAAGTTGAGACCAAGACCACGCAGAAAAATTTGCTCTCCAGGAGCAATAACAGAAAGATCAACATCCGCCGGATTCGAGGGCGGAATATGATGTAGACCATTCAGCTCTGCGTAAGCATTGAGCTTCAGTTGTTCAATGTCCGGGAGTAAGGGGACGTGACCCTGTGCAAGAATGACAGCTGCGAGGCTAGAAATGGTGCGGCCGTTCGACAGCTTGAGCGTTTGCTGGCCATAGGACGTATCGTCCAAACGGACAGCAAAAGAACGATGAACCTCAATCTGCACTTGCGGTGGTGCTTGTCGCACAATCTCTTGGAAGATCCATTCAAGATATTGTCCGTACTGAGCACGGGTTCCATAATCATCAGGCCCAAGGCCAGGGATCTTGTCGGCGGTCCAGTTGTAGAGACTTGGCCCCGGACGGATTGGGCCTGAGCAGATAACGCTATCATCAGTGAACAGGGTCACCTGGGATGTGACGGTGTTCATCAGAAGCTCATCAGACTGCTCTGTACGCCATACACGGCCTGCACCTGGAGGCGATGGATCAATCATATGAACCGTCAGTCGTGCTCCCGGGGCAATGAACTCCGGTGCTGAGGCACAAAGACGCTCCAGAGCGCTAGTTCCTCGAGGTCCAGCGCCGACAATGGCAACATGGGTGTGCACCTCGGTAGGTTGAATGGTGGAAGGCATTGTAATTTGGTTTGAGGGGAAATAAATATGATTTAGGAATGTTGTGCGCGGACAGCAGGAATTGTATTTCCAATCGTTGTGCTTATACTCTTCGTATAGTTGGGTCTTTTTAGAACAGGTATTTGGAAAATTGCTGGAAAGAATGCAGAGGAATACAAAGCCCTTTTTATATCTTGTCAGTACATCAGGCCATCAATTGAGCTTTTTCATGAGCTGAAATCGTTGGACTCGCCATTAGGACGCCACCCTGACGAACGGTGCCTTCCGTGATTCACACGTGCAGCATTACAGACCGATAATCCGCAATATGATCAGCAACTAGGCCCTTCTGATGATGAAACGCCTTAAATTCCCGCCCAAATTCGTGCAAATGTACGTGGTGAGCGTTAGAGAATTGAGGGTCTCGGTGCAGTGATCAGGATCCACATTCTTTCAATCTACCCTTGCGGTAACAGAGCCACGAAACACGATGCCGAATTTTGTTTTTCGGCCCGCATTATTCTGCACTAGGGCAAAAAGTGGATTCTGTCTCGCAAGAAGAATAATATATGAGGCTACTAAACGATGACCTTGCATGCAGATAGTGACTATGCATACGAGCTATGACGGTGCAGGCATCAGCAGGGCAGATCAAAGGTAAAATTCAAAGGGAACTATGAGATGCTGAGAAATTTCCGTTGGTCCGAATTGCATATGCAGCTCGGTATTTTACAAGGGTTTGAAGACAAATTGTTGGACAGAGCGTTGTTTAGGAATATTATTAGCATTCAAACAACGAGCTACAAGCGTATTGAGGATTCCAAATACCTTCCCCGGAAAAGGTAGGAACTAATTTCGATAGGCAAGTTGATAGAGTAAGTTGAATAGACATGGTTGGTTCATGGCAGCATACCTCCATAGGTTATAATTGCACAAGCCAAGACCACGCAGGCATGAGCAAAACTCTTGTTTCACAATGGATGCGGCTAGATCGGACTCTGAGTCGCATTGAGATTTGGCTGTTCTTGTTCTTCTTTTTGTAGGAGTGGGATCAAATGGATGGTATTTTCTTTTTATGGAAGCATTAATCAGAACCAAGCACAGGCACGATATGAAGATTCCAAGCTACTCATCATTTCCATCTGAAAACAATAAAATGCGATTTCTGCATCCATACCAAATCAGGCCTCTGGACGTTTATATTCGCCTTTCTCTATCATCTCATTTATGGTTTTCTCAGTCACCATCATTGCCTCGACGCCAGCAGGGGTGCCACAGTAGACTGTTGCCTGCAGAACAGCCTCTCTGATTTCTATTTCTGAAAGACCGTTGATTATAGCACCACGGGTGTGTAGAGCGAGCTCAAGCCATGCTTTCTGAGCAATGATGATTCCAATATCTGCAGAATATCCCCAGTAGATATTAGCAACCTCGGGCTCTTGCGCTCAATATCTCACGGAACCATGCTGAAAGTTGACTTACTCAGGAGGCTGCGCTGCTTTCGGTCTAGCCCCGGGCGTTGCCAGACAGTACCCCATGCCCATTCCGTGATGAGCTGCTGTCCGGGCATCGTGAAGGGTGTGGCATTTTGCAACGCGTTGTTGACATACTCATCTCCAAGGACTTCTCTCCGCACTTTGACTCCCTCTTCAAAGAGGTGCTTGTGCAGCTCCTCAAAATTCGAGATGTCGGACATGTTTGCAGAAGTTATGAATTATGAATACGATATGACTTGGGATGCAGGTCGCAATGGCGATTTCGATTCTCAGGGAAGTAAACAGCGGTGATTTTTCACTGTTTATGGCAACACTTCTCTATTCGACATAGGGAATTATTATAAGACAAACAGGATGGGTTTAAGTGAGGGATTTCTTCACTCAGGGTCCCTTTGATCGGATTACAGTTCGTGTGTGTGGGTCAACTTTCGGTCATCAGGCCCACTCAAGATCTCCTGTCAGCGGTATGAAACATCTGTGGAGTCGAATCACCCATTGACAGGGAGCGTGCAAGGCTTGACGCTTCCCGCGTGCTTTTTTGAGCTTAGCGGTAATTATAGTCGTCAGAAACATGCAGAAATCAAATTTAGCCTGTGGGGCTTGACTCTTACCCGCAATATCCGCTCAACCCGGTGAACTTGGTCTTCTCCATACAGGAGCGACCCCATAAAAACCTTCACGACGAAGAACATTATCCTAACTGAGAGCCTGCCCCAACAAGATCGCTGGAAACGTAATGAGCTCACTGCAGCTAAACCCACTGATGTGTCATAACCACGGTCTAGATCCAAGAATTGCGACTTGTATGCCCCATGACACAGACGCCATACTACATGCCGGAAAGTATAAGGTCAAGATCTATTTTATCACTGAAAGCTGGGTCTCATATTTACATAGCTATAGTCGAAGTATCGTTGATCAGGAATGCAATTACCCACGTAGCTGATCTAGTACAACAATGCATCGAAAAAGCAATTTGCACCTTATGCCAAGACACTTGGCATTTATGACTAGTTCTTTTTTTTTCTTGCGGGTCGGCTCAAAGTTGCGCCATGTCTGCTCCATGGGAAGCTTCATGGAAAAGCCTTGTTGTCTGCAAAACATCACCTGGAGCTGTGAATGTCTTCACGAACGATCTGAAGGACTTTGAAAGAGAATGGCTCTAACTTAATTCACGAGTGAGCTGCGCACCCCACCAAAAACGCGTCAATTAATTAGACCTCTCTTCTTCAACTACCCACTATGCCACCAATTCGTACTGAATCCTCTCAAAAACGTACGGAGCAAGAGGATAGGATCTTATTAGCTATTGTAGTGGTGAATCCCGTGACAGTAACATGTTGTTGGAACTTGCTGTCTTCCGTAACTTGCTCAGCCAATGAGGGCATTCAAATCTCTGTCATTTATTACTTGCTATTTGCTATTTCTGCTTATGCTCATCATTAGTAATCCGCTCATTCGGAGTTACTATAATTCCGGTTCTCAATCCGTATTCATGAATGCCGCCCTGACAGCATGTGTCGAATCCGTGGTAATCCTGTATTGTACCTAACCAATTGGAGGTGATGAAGACTCTGCATTGTATTACCTCATACGAAGCTATTTATGGCTAGTCTAATTACTAATCCTTCGGCATCGATCATAATATCTCCGGTTTCTATACAGTATTCGTATGATAGCTCCGACAGCATGGCTTGGTACCCTGCCAAGCCCCAGGGATCACATCTGGTGTCCCCAGGTATTCAGGGAAAAGAGAAACCATGATCATGCTCAGTGAGCAAGAGCATGATCCACCCTGAGCAGACCCACCTGGCAGACTCTATCCTGTGCATATGCTTCTCCGGTCAGGACCTCAGACGGTGCCTGTAGACTACCGGGGGGTGGAGGTGAGATCGTGGTAGAAGCGGAACACATTATCCGGGTCCCATCTCTTCTTCAGCCGCTGCAGATGCAGCACATTGTTCCCAAACATCTGTCCCAGAGTCTCGTCACCATGGCCGTAGCTCACGTAGACGGCGAGGTCATCGTAGCCGGAGGTGGCCACGTAGGCAGCTCGGACGGCCCTCGCCATGGCTTGCCCCGCCTGTGCAGTGGTCGCGGAGGTGCCTCCAAACGAAATCCCGCTATGACGCGTGAATGTCAGTCACATTTTCTTCCATTCAGGGGATGTGAAGACTCACGAATAGCCCAGTGTGTCGCGCCAGGGATACGCCGTGGCGTCATCTGCAACGGCTTCCACTGCCTGGGGCGCGAAGACCTCCATCTCGACACTGCTGCCGCGCCCATCCGGGTACTGGACGTAGAAGTCGCCCAGCATCTGGAACACTTGCTGGTATGTCGTCGAAGACAGGTTGCGATAGTTCACGCCGTACCCGGAGACGGACACGGGGGCACAAATCGCCCGCCCGAGGCCCCATGCGGCCTTGTCGATGAGCGTGTTGTAGTTTACCATGCTGATGGAGGATGCAGTGGGGTTGAGGTCCAGCAGAGGCGCAATGAGCTCCCGTCCCTCACTCTCCGGGCCCAGATAGACCCAATTCGCAAGAATCTGAGCCTGTTCGACCGGTCAGCAAGTGTTAGTCTGTTCCGACAGAGCGGCATGGACCAAAGACGCACCTCCCCGACAGTGTCATTGTACCCCAGAATGGAAATGGTGGAGAGCTCGGCGGGAATCGTGCCCTGAAGGGACTGGATGATGTCAAAATAGGATGCGTTTGCAGCGGCCGGGAAGATGAAGTCGGCATTGAAGATTTGGCCGTTATTGTTCTGGGGATGCAGCTTGTACGTGGCCGACGTAATGATGCCGAAGTTGGGGGCAGCACCACGAAGCGCCCAGAACAAGTCCGGATGGGATGTCTCCGAGACCGTGAGCAGCTTGCCATCCGCCGTCACCAGGCGGACGGACAGGATACTGTCAATGATCAGGCCGTTGACGCCCTGAAACCGGCCAACACCACCTCCAACCGTTGCACCAACCATTCCCGGGCATGCGCAGGATCCAATTGCTGGAAGGATTGTCATAAGTTCAAGTGGCAATCAAGATATCTCGGAGAGGAGTGGATTACTGACGCATTTGATACCCGGCTTCATATACAGGGCCAACAATATCACCGAATACAACACCGCCGCCAATTGTCAGAGTACCTGCTTGCGCATCGACGTGAACGCTGTTGAGCCTGCTCAAGTCAATGGCGAGGCCGTTCTTCATAGCACTCAGGGTCGTGCTGGACGAATGTCGGCCGCCGGTGGCAAGGAACGGGAGATCAATGGATCGTGCGATCCTCACCTAGCATGCTGTCAGTCAGAATACATGGCCTTCAAGACAGTTCCTGCATCCGAGTTGATGAGTGTAGGCCTACCGCTCTCGCAACATCATCTCCCGTGGCCGGGGATATCGCGACGGAGTACGAGGGCGCGCCCAAGCTATTCCAACGCTCCGTCGCGTTCTCGAATGCGGTGGTGTTGGGGAAGATGATTGTGGTTTGAGCGTTCTAGCGGTTGGTAGAACTGGTAAATGCTGGGTAGGGGTCAACAGCAGGGAGCGCTATAGCTGTCCCTAGGACGAGGCAGAAGCTGGACGCTGCTGATACGATTCGCATGATGCCTGTATGTGTGGCCGACGACAAGACGACAGGGATATTGAAGTAAGTGTAGGGGACTTTCAAGGAGACTATATCAATTTATATGATCTCGATTGTTCCAGCTGGTACTACAGGTGTCGGCGTTGGCTCAGAAGCTTAGGGCTTACCACATACTGTACATCCCCGAATGCCCGACAGCTGACCTCGTATGGAATCCACCAGATTGGAAATTAGACAGCCGGTAATTAGCATTGCTCTAGGCTCTATACCCCGGCAATGGTGCCTGATCTGCTTAGTTGACTTTGTGCCAGCTCGAACTCCGTGTTGCTCCCTATATGCCTTCCTCGGTGACTATCACACTTCACATACACCAGTGCACACTGCAATCCGAGCCATATTCTATGCGATGGATATTATGGAAAATAGATGGATGCGGCCTCTCGGCTCCCTGTTGATCATCCTTCTAATCAGACGGGTCCAATTCGGCATCGCGCAAGGTCTCATCATCTACACACCGCGGAACAGCCTTCTACGCCCGGCGTCTATACCGATCCAAATCGCCCTGGGGGCCGTTGCATTTCCCCATGTGCAACATGTTGTCGTGGAACCGATTTCGATTCACTATCGTTGCCTGCTGGGAGGCACGGTGGTGCTCCAGACGATTCTGAGCATTTCGATCTCCTGTATGATCCGCCTAGATGACACCGACGCCTGCGCCCTTGCCCAAACACCGACCCTCAAGGGCAAGCTTCGGGCGCTGACAAGCCTAATGAACAACCAACGGTGCATTGGAACCCCCTACGAAATCAAGTGGATTCCTCCCTTTGATGAAAGTCGCCCGGGGTACATCCCGTCGCGGGCCGAAGCTCTTCGGTCAGTCGCCACACAGATCGTCACCGGCTATCTCTCTCGCCAGGTCCTGGTGAGCTTCCTGTGGGATATTCTTCCGCTGGGGCTATTCTGGTGCTTGTATATCGCCTCCTGGCTCAACTCGCTCTACATGGCAGGTGACTTGATCGCCTTGATATCCGGCGATCCGGTCGAGGCCCATCCTCCGGCCTTTGGCTCAATTCGGTACATGCGGACGATCCGAGGATTCTGGGGGAAATACTGGCACCAGTCCAACAGTTTTCCTTTCCAGGGCGCATCCAATTACATCTGCAAGGAGCTGTTGGGACTCCGCTCGCTGGTTCAGCGGTATACCAACATTCTCTGTGTGTTCGCGATTTCAGGGGTATTCCATGTATTGACCGATCGAGCGGAGCGGATCCCGTACGAGCAGAGCAGGGCAATGAGGTTCTTCTGCGCGCAGGCAGTCGGCATCATGGTCGAAGATGGGGTCCAGGAGCTTTGGAGACGATGGCATGGCTATCGTCGGGACGCTGGGGACGATGTGAAAAAGGCAATCCCTACGTGGGCAAAGCTGGTGGGTTACATCTGGACGTGGACGTTTTTGTCGATTACAGCGGAATGGTTCTTCGAACCTCATACTGCGATGTTTCTACAGAAACATGGCACGCCTTTTGGGATTGTCAAGAAGGCGCTCTCTATCCTGGGAGCGGATACGTCGGTATATTTTCTGGAGACAGGGGACTGGATGCGAGATTGGCACCATTGGAAACTAGGCCGAGCTTAGTACTCGGGAATTACTACTATATCCGATGGACAGAAGAGCCGATGGCGTTGTCTATCGGAGATGGTCTCGGACATTCAACATGAGACTAGTAACTTAGTCGACGAGGATATCACAGAGGGGGTGGCGCTGTCTCTCAAAACATAGACAACTTCTTAAAAGTACCGTACGTGTATCAGAAAAAGACAAACGAACAGTTAGACTTCCGCAAAGCCCATTTTGGGCCCAAGGTTCCGGCCCAGAACCCAACCCAGCCTGGGCCCGGGTTGAACTTCATTAACCCGGGCCCAACCCGGGCCCAGCACTGGGCCCCTAGTAAACCCAGTTTGGACCTAACTCGGCCCAACTTTTGCATTATTTCAATCATAAAACTGCTTAGTCATCAAGATAACTCACTGTTTTTTATATCGGTTTTGATCTATACCTTGAACCACCATACTTTTCTAGTATAACTAGAGTGTGTTCAAAGCTATAAACGCGTAGAATCAACCTTAAATAAGTAGTTATGGTTCTTTAGGCTTAGAAAGGTCAGACTTTGCTATGGTTTTCACAGTGTTTGACTTATAACCTTTTTATTGACCTTATATTAGATATACGTAGATAAGTTCTATAGGCGACACTATAGGTTTTCTGACGGCCGTCAGAAATCATGGTGTAAATATATATAGTGTGCGGATATATATTTCACAATATATAGTGTTTGCATACCTATAAATGCTTGAAAAAACCACTATAGAATTCGGGTATTGTTACTTTAAATCTTATATATTATATATACTAATTATATTCTTTATTATTCCACTATATTCGACTAGTAGCTAGTAAGATTATATAGATTGTAGGTCTTTTTAAGTACTTATATAAACCCGGATAGGTGTGAGAGGGCAAACCAAGAGGAACAAGGGTCCATTCACTAAGACACTAAACTGGAGAGAAAAGAAAGAAAGAAGAGGGGAGATCCGTCGAGGATCTCAATACTATCTAACCACCTGACCAATCACAATCCTCCCCTCACGTGATCGGTCACAACAAGAGAAGTCACCTCGTCACAATAGGTAAGGTAGGATAAAACTTTTTGACGATCTTAGGTGGAAGCTAGGGTGGGAATTAGGCTTTCTAGGTTTTTGCTAGGTTTTTACTAGGGGTTTGCTAGGTTTTCTAGGTTTTGGCTAGGCTTTCTAGGGTTTTGCTAGGTTCTTGCTAGGCTTTCTAGGTTCTTACTAGGTTATTAGGCTAGATAGATACGGAGGTAGAGTAATATAACCAATAAACCACGCGGATACGTTTTAAGGTCCTTTTCTAAATTGATCTATCGCGTTTGCTTTATTTACACACCGTCATTAGATATTATTGCTCCGTAAGTCCTCTATTCCCCCTCTATCACTTACTTTATACTTATTCAATTTATTATATCACAAAGCTAGTAGTCTAATTTCGCGTCCTCTCTTTATAATGGCGATATAGATAATATTAGCTATCTTGCGCTATCAAACCACCTAGCGACTCCCTCTAGTAGCTAGTATACGATCGATCCCTTTGACACTAACTTCCTCCGACCGACAATTCCGCCAATACTCCTATCCTCCTTATAACGCGTTAGACCCGACCGAAAGAAGGCGTTTATTCTCTACGATAAAATAACCTATAACGAATAGGTAGAATAGTGGCTACAAACCGATTTTGGGAGGAAGAGCAAGATTGTCTAGGACTTAACGCGCCATTCGGAGATTTGGAGCCACTACAATCAGGTTGCTTATAGTATAGATAGTGCACCAAAGGTTATATACCAACGTTGTGGAAATATTCTTAAGCACCCTAATATAGTTAATACGAAGGCCATAGGTAAAATACAATATTATAGTATATCGACAATATAGAGATATCTTAAGATAGCGGCTTATTTAAAGAGCGGATATACAAAGAAATCATAGATTACCAAATTTCTAAAGCAAGTAGTACGTTCGGAGTAACCCTTTTATTCGATTTTATTTACTAATAGTAATACTAAACTTAGGAAGATATCGAAATACTATTCTCGCAAGTAGCCTAGGAAGAAGATATCCTACAATTTATCATACTCAATCGGCTTCTACTTTATCTTATTAAGTATTTAGTATTTTAGCGTCTTATTTCTCGGGCTCGTACCGCTCCGTTACCTCCGATTATCCTATCTACTAATATAATTCGTCGCCGACTAGGGAGCATTGTTAAAGATCGGTAAGAGCGGATGCTCCGAACACTGCCTATTAGTTCGAAAATCTTAATTGCACTTGATTGCTAGATATCTCTATTCTTATAGGCGTTTATAGCAATCATAGGCTACTTTGTAGATATTGATTGGGTATATCGTAAGGTACTACTTGGGTTTAAACCTCTCTACGGTGCGTATATAGGCGCGAATCTAAGCAATGTTCTTCTTTAAACTCTGATCGAGCATAACCTTAAAACCCGAGTGTTTAGGTTAACAATAGACAATGTTTTAAACAATAAGACATTATTTGATTCCCTCTAATAGGGTCTATTAGATAGTATTATCATTGTTCGAATCCTATGCCTTGCTTACGTTATCTAACTTAGTCTAAACTAACTCCTTAATCGCATTAAAATAGTTCCACTAAATAACTTAACTAAGACAAAATAGATAGAGAAGCAATCAAGATTAGCTTATTTGAATGCGCAGCATCGGAATCGTGAGATATCCTTTATATTAAATAAGGTCCGCTATCTTGCTATCTATATAAATATAAGCCCTTAGCGCCGGGAGATATTTTACAATCTCTAGACAAGCACCGTGAAGCTAGTACCGATCTAAGATATAAGGACTCGGTAGAATTCAACCTTTCTAATACTATATCGGGCAAAACGTCTACGTCCGATCTTTGCGCTATTTTGTGTAGAGTATGATTGCGAAGAGATACTACTAGACCTCGGCAAGGACCGCAAGGGACCGGACCAGACCGCGGACCGGACCGGACCATGCAGGGCTTGGTCCTTACTATCAGGACCGCTGGGCGGTCCCAACTTTTATAGGACCGCACCACTGCGGTCCGGTCCGGTCTTGCGGTCCTACAAACGGGACAAACATGTAGAACCCCGTGATTTACATAATTTATGAAGAATCTATTGGTATTTTTTAGTATTTTACTGTTATACTTTGTTATATGTAGCCTAAACGTATTCTTTCCAGAAATTTTGAGTACTTTTCTAGAAATTACTTATGTGCATGATTCATGTTGAAAGGATCAATTGTCCTTTATATCTATTAATTATATACAAAATCCGTATTATGTCTCAGTCTCTTTGGAATACGCCCTAACGAACGCCTCTGAATGTCAAAATCAGGTAGAGGGATCTCATCATTATCAATAGCCCTTCTCTTCCCTAGCGCTCGTAGGCTAGGCTGCTCAATAGATACTTCTGCAGAAGTTTCTATTGTAAGATCTTCCTCGTCATCGCTAATAGGATCAAACTCTTTATCCTCTTGCTTAGTATCATCCTGCTCCTTCTTCGAATGCTTCTCTTAGGTAGAGAGGAACTTATCCACTAGCGCAAGCTACTTAGACTATATATTAAATCTAGTTGTACATATAAACATCATTAGGTCCTAAATAGTCTGTGGTCTTAATAAGCCCCGGCGATAGTGGCATATATCCCGAGCAGAGTTAAAAAGTCTCTCTACCCTAGAGCCGCTAGCTAGAGTTGTAAGGATATCTCGGGCAAGGCTTGCTAAGATAGGATACTCTGCCTTATAAGCCTTCTAGAAGACTAGGGGTGTTGATTAGACAGTACCTAGAGAGATATAAAGTTAGCAAAAACAAAGATTTGATATACAATAGGAGAGAGGGATATTAAACTTACTACTTCTAAGATACCTTATGAGTTTATCTAGAGTAGTCGGTCTTGACTAGACAGAGGTAGTAGGTCTTAGAAGTATATCAATATCAGAGATATCGTTACTTATTGACTAGGAACTTGATATTGTCTGTGCCTCTATATGGCGCTTCTGGTAAGGCTAGATATAAGTCTCGAGGGACTCCTTATACCGCGGTGCCTAGTGTTTCTCCTATTCTGGTGTTAAGAAGAACTCAAGCTTATTTCGTGGGCCTAAGATAGTCCTAATTGCATAGAGATTATTCGGAATATTATTAGTCTTGCTATAATACTCCGTAAGCTTATCGCGCCTATACTCGAGCGCTAGTTTCATTACTTTCTTCTACCCGACTTTCTTTTGTGCTAGCTGCGCCTTTGCCTTATTAATATAGGTAAACAAGGCATTATAGATTCTAAATATATTATGGATAGTCACATTAGTTGTAGCTAATAAAGATAAAGTAAACTTAAAGAAGGGATAGGTGATTGATAGTAGATAATCAACCTATCGCTATTTATCCTTATCTATCTTTATATTAGTCAGATTAAATTGTGCACAAAATCTATCAAATATAGTCTGTAGCCGACGTACGCGTTAAAACATAAGAAACGTGGAATTCTAGCGTGTTCGGACATCTTGTATTGGCATAAGTTTCGGTTCTTTTGTCTGAAGTCTAATAAAGCTCTCGCGGCGCTAGAGGCTTTTATTGATATAGACTACAATTTTACGAACCTAAAGGATATTATATAGTTAGTATCAAATAGAGATACGATAGTAGAAAAAGGAGGGGGTAGTATACTTTGTTAAGGGTTTGCACAATCCTTCTGTTCTCTTGACGGGCGGTATGTCTCTGATCGGCCCACTCTATTTCTTCCCTATTATTCTATGGGTTTATATCTATCTGACCAAGAAGCTCCTTTAGACTGAGCTATATAATATATGCAATACATAGTATACGAATGATCGGTATATAACTTAGAAGCTTAAGAGACGAAACAGCCTCTTCGAGAGTAGTTAGTAATATACCGTTATTCGATACATTATCGGTAGTAATCGTAAGCACACGATTAGTAATTTGATGCTTCTTAAGTAGCTTAAGTAGGATACTACTAAGATAGGCGCTAGTATAGGAGCCACGAAGAGGTTCAAAGCCGAGTAAGATCTCACGGTAGTTCCACTAAAGGTCGATAAAGTAGCCTATAACTACCATAAACGCCTAACGAAATAGGGAGGTCTAGCAATCCAATGCTATAGAAAGCTTAGCGCCCTCTGGGAGGGTTTGAAGCAGAGAATCCTGACGTTCCTTGACTATCTCCTAAAGATACCGACGGATAGTCCTAGCACTAGGTATTTCAGGGATAGATAGGGCAGAGGAAGCTATTTCGATAAGGGCGCGAAATTCAGGGTGCTCAATAAGCTGGAATAGTAGGCGTAGAGCAACAATAAAGGTGGTTAACCTATCTATCCAAGCTCCCGGTGAAAACCCCTATTTGCGGGAGGGAAGATTTGTCTATAGAGAACTATATAAGTTAGTATAAAGTAAGCCTTATAGATAGTATTTATACCCTATTCGAGATCATCTCTCTGATATCTTGTGTCTTACTCCTTCCCTTTTGATAGGTAGCGGCTTGTGAGAAATGCCTATTCATAGTAGATATTCCCCGGTACCGGTCTACAGGATAAGCAAGGATATAATCACACTGCTTATATATCACCTTAGGGGATCCATCAGAGATTGCAGCAACCTAGTAGAAGTGTTCCCAAGAGCCTACTAGCCGTTTACTATCAAAGATATTCCGTTTTGTTGCACTTCTATACTCGGTTTTTAGCCACCAAGCGACAAAATCCTCGTTAAATATCTCTGTCCAAAGGATATAGTTCTTCTTGCTAAATAGACCAACACGCTCAAGAGTTTGTGGAATCGGGATAGGTACTACCGGTCGTGTGAAGGCCATACTAGGAGTAGATGTTGGTGTTACGCCTCCGTCTAGGTTAAATAGCTTATTAGATGTAAGGAAAGAGAGTGTATCAACTAGGTTGTCCTCAAAGATAGATAAGGGATAATTATCCGAGAATTGGGATACGTGGCTCTGTGATATATTGATGAATAATTAATAGATGTTGGGCAGTGTGGCTTTAGAGTGATGGTCAAGACATACTATTATCTTTTATCTAGGCAAAAGAATCCTGAGGGGTATTTATATTCAAGAAAATGATTTTAGATAGAATAGGCTAGATTATAGACCGTAATTGGCTGATAAGACCTACTCTACTTAGATCTATGCGGTCTTAGACCGCGGGGACCGCATAAAGACCGCAAAGACCGCATAAAGACCGCAAGGACCGCATAAGGACCGCCAATAGATCGCCAAAAGACCGCAAGGACCACTAAAAGACCACGAGGACCGCATAGAGACCGTATAAGGACCGCTAACGGACCGCCAAAAGACCGCAAGAACCGGTAGAGCTTATTAGATCCTGCAAATAATCTATATCTAACGCGTATAAATCGGCCTAAATGATGACAGCTATTAGATATCTAGTAGGAATATCAACAGTTTCCAGGCAATAGATAGGCTCAAATTCTGACGGCCGTCAGAAATCTAGTGGGGATATCAACAGTTTCCAGGCAATAGATAGGCTTAAATTCTGACGGCCGTCAGAAATCTAGGCTAGGGATATTAATGGTCATGACTCTTCCTAAGCGTACAAGTGCTCCGGTGTAGAAAATATATATATCTTTGCATGATCAGAAGTAAATTCTAAAATGTCAACCACAACAGTCCGAAATCGAAAGTTCATTCGTAATTAACTTAATACCAAGCTTCATGAAATCAGATACAAGGTAGTTTCAACTGTTTTATTGATTGTTAGACCTGATTCATTATCAAAATTTGTGTAGATACCAGAACAGTGTTAAATAACGGTAAAAAACGTGGCTGAATAATCAGTTTATACGACCAAACAAGGAAGGTCTTGGCATAATTATGAAATTGCGGGGGACCGCATGGGGGACCGCAAAGGACCACGGGGGACCGTGGTGCGGTCCTGACTACTTTGAAAAAAGACCAAAGACCGCATGGTCCGGTCCCGGTCCTCAAAGTTGGGACCGGACCCGGTCCTTGCCGAGGTCTAGATACTACTCTATAAGGACGAGTAGCGTTAAGTTAACTATCTTCTTTGTATCACTAAGCTATTTTTCGCCTACACAACTTAGCTATCGAAGACTCGAGATATTACTACGTATTACGTCTTCAAGATCTACAATAAACTCTTTGAGCATCTTAAGTGTTCAATAAAGTAGCTACGACGTAAGCGTGTGCTATAGAAGAAATAGATACTTCACGCACTTAAAGCTAGTCGGTTAAAGCTTAATAAGTACTACTCCTAAACCGATAATATTCGAGGATATATCTATGCAATCAGCATAATACTAGCGCCCGTAAACAAGTTTAAGTTCTTTCTTACCAATGACTAGGATTAGAAATAGCGTGACACATACTACTTATCCTTCTAGGAAGCTCTAATTCTATATCAAGAATAGCTTTTAGCCCTTGATTAGTTACTAGATAGCTCTCAAATAATAGCTCGGCTAGGATCGAAGCTTAATACAATGCTAGATAGGAGTAATGCCTAGGGAAGTATAGCTACTAATAAAATAACTTGTTATCTTAATAGTGGTACGTTTAAGCTAAGCCTTTTAGAATTCTAACTAACTTCGGATTAGATCCTATTTAAATTGCTCCTCTTACGTTCTAGCGAGAGAACTAAACGCGATTCCTAGCAATTGCTGCTCTTACGCGTGATATCCTCTCTTTCCCTATAACCGGGGTAGGCGTTAAACGGCTATTTAATACTACTCGGGATATCTGCTATTACTGTCGAGGAAGAATAAAGTCTTATACAATCGAGGATTTAATGATATTTTTTTGCACCTTAAGGTTTGATATAGAAGAACAAGAGGCGAGACTTCTTGAGAAGTTCTTCTCTTATAATAAGCTAGAAGTAGCAAAGGAAGAGAAGGATAATAACCTCGACGACATTGAGATCGAGCCAATCAGTGATACCGAGGAATAGGAGACTTTAATTGATAAGGAGATAGAGCTAGATAAAGCTTTATTGACTACATTTGAAGGGCCGACTATACGTGAACCCTAGGTGCTATTGCTAGTGAATAACACCTAAGTACGTGCGTTAGGACGGAAGCGAAAGAATTGCGATAATGATATATTCGAGTACTATTAGTTAGTTAATCTATTGAAGCTCTCCAATTCATAGATCTTTAAAAAAGCCTCGAAATAACCCTATATTCTGACGGCCGTCAAAAAAACTAGCAATATAGCTTAATAACCCTATTTTCTGACGGCCGTCAGAATTGTAGCCCTGTAGCCTTAGGAATCTATTAAACGTACAATTAAATTAAACAGTGATTATAGAAAGAGGCCTTGCTTACAAGTCAAATACCCAAAAATACAGCCAAAAACTACACAAGTTATGTAGTCACGAGTCTTGACATGTTTGCATTGTTTATGAACCCAGCTGGGGGCCCGGGCCCAGCACTGGGCCAGAAATCCCGACCCGGGCCCAGTACTGGGTTGGAGAACCCGGCCCAGAACCCAACCCAGCCCGGGTTGGGCCCGGGTTGGGCCCGGGTTGAGCTGGGTTCTGCGGAAGTCTACGAACAGTACACCCTCTTCATATGCAGCCTACCATGTCTTACGAATACGATCCGGACCTAGAGGACCTGTACAGCACTCTGAGGGGCATGAAAGCGGCCGCGCCCTCAATAGGAGCTCACGATATCGCAAGCGTGCGCCAGAGAAGTAGCGGTATCGTCGACATATACAACGCTATTCCACTCGCCCCAGGCGTTGAACGGAAATCATTCACGACCAAGACTCCCGACGGCCACGATCTGGAGCTCGTATGGTACGCCCCCGAGAGGGCCACAACGACGCCAGGGCCCGCTCTCTTACAAATCCACGGAGGGGGATTTATAGCCTTCGGCGTGCACGATTTCCATCCAGCACTTAACAATCTCGTCGCGGCCAGCGGCGTGCCGATGCTGTGCGTGGATTACCGTCTGGCCCCCGAGAATCCATATCCCGTCCCGTTGGAGGACTGTTATACCGCGCTCACCTGGTTACGCGACCATGCTACGGAGCTCCAGATTGACCCCGCCCGCATTGGAGTGATTGGCGATAGTGCCGGGGGAGGACTCGCGGCCGGGTTAGCGCTGCTAGCCAGGGATCGGAAATTCAGCCCGCCGCTGGCGAAACAGGTCCTCATGGCTCCGATGCTAGATGACCGCATCGCGGAGTATGATGAACGGCTGCTGCCGCTGCTTACTTTCACGTACGCGGACAAGACGTCTAGCTGGACTGCCTATGTCGGCCGGGATGCGGCTGGGACCGAGCTGGTGCCGCCATACGCTGCACCAGGGCGCGAGTCTGACTTGGCGAACCTGCCTTCGACATGTATAGATGGGGGCCAGTTGGATGTGTTCATGGTTGAGGGCATGGTTTATGCAAAACGGCTTGCAGTTGTTGGCGTGAGCACGGAGTACCATCTGTATCCAGGCGTTCCACACTCTTTTAATGTTTTTGCGCCAGCCGCAGAGGTCACCAAAAGAGCAATGGAGAACCGAATTAAGGCGATTCAGAGCTTTTGACGGACCGGAAAGAGGTACTGCTCTGGTTGAGAGGCGTGTTGCGAGCTGGGGCCTAGCTGGTAGAACACATTATACTAGATATGCAGAAATGGAATAAAACATGCCAAATACTCCTAGACAATGCTTTTCTGCCACCTGGATACTCACCAGGCCCTAAACCCGACCCGGTCCCCGACTCCCCGATAAGCAGCGCCTTCGGGGTTGTCGGGAACTCATATAGTTTGCTACCTCTCTACTGCGATACGGCACGATGCGCAACTGTACGTAAAGACAGCGAGGAGGGTGCTTTACTTCTTATACATATCATGCTGAAATCGCATATTAACTCGAGTCCGCTGAACATACGCGCAGGAGTGTGAACACAGCCATCATGATAGACTCATTCATCTTGGACCGTCCGGCAGTATTATTTGCGGGCCTGGTCTTTGTTGGTATTATCTTTCTTCGGATCTTTTTCTCTAGTTCAGTGCCAAACCTCCCTATTGCTGGCGCGAAGACTGGCGAGTGGTTCCCCTTGCTCAGAGCGAGATGGAGGAATGCAGTCGACCCCAAAGCGGCCTCTGAGATTGCCTACAATCGCTATCGTGATTCCGCCTGCATCTTCCCAATGGCAGGTGCACAGAACTTTGTGCAGCTTCCGCTCAAAGAAGCCCAATGGCTGATTGAGCGGCCGGATAAAGATGTTTGTGTACGGACGGGGATCATCAATTCTCTGCAATTTGAACACACCCTGATGGATCCAAACTTGGCTCATTTTCCTTCTCACATGAGTGTCATATCCGGCCCCTTGACACGGGAAGTGGCCAACCTGATCCCCGATCTCCTGGATGAGATTCAGTATGGCGTGGACCATCTCTGGGGCATGGAGACGGGGAATTACAAGAGCATCTGCGTGTACGACTTGATGAGCCGTCTTGTAGGCCAAGCGACCAACAAAGTCTTCGTTGGCCTTCCCCTGTGTCGGGACCCTAAGCTACTCGATACGGCCATGGCATTCTCGCTTGATATCCCCATTGGCGCAACATTGCTTCATTTCACCTGGAAGCCTCTCCGACCCGTGCTAGCGCCATTCATCACTCTGCCGAATCGCATTCACACCAACCGGGCCTACAAAATCCTTCGCCCCGAGATTCGTCGACGACTGGGGGAATCGACCGACAAGGACTCCTTCAAACGCCCGAATGATTTCCTACAGTGGTCGATCGAGCAGGCCAAGACGCTCGGCGACCCGTACTACGGAAAGGTCGACACATTGGCCGGTCGAGTGTTACTGAACAACTTCACCTCCATCCACACGTCGTCCTTTGCAATCACCCACGCGATCCTCGATCTGGTCTCAACCAAGCAGGAAATCATCGACGAGTTACGCAGCGAAATCTCCTCCGTCCTCGCGGCACACGGCGGAGAGTGGAGCAAGCGGTCGCTTTCCGCAATGCCCAAACTGGACAGCGTGATGCGCGAGTCCCAGCGACTGAACTCCTTCGTCGTGACCGCCACGAATCGCATGGTCGTAAATCCCAACGGGGTCACGACGCCCTCGGGGATTCATATCCCGAAGGGCACCATGGTCTGCGCGCCGTCGTATCCCGTCATGCACGATCCGGACATCTATCCGGACCCGGAGAGCTTCAAGCCGTTTCGGTTTGCGGACAAGCGCACTGCGTTGGGAGAGGAAGGACAGTCGTATGTCCAGCGTGCGCGGCAGGCGTGGACGACTACCAGCCCAGAGTATCCGGCATTTGGCCATGGGCGTCACGCGTGTCTAGGCCGTTTCTTTGCTTCAACTCTTCTGAAGCTGATGTTGGCGTATATCCTGATGAATTACGACTTTCAGTTCCTGGAGAGACGGCCAGAGAACATGTGGATCGGTTCGAATAGGACGCCTCCAATGAAAGCTACCATCATGATAAAGAGGAGGGTTGAGTCTGAGAAGTAATTAGTTGGAGGAACCTTGGATTCGGTCTCCCGGTTTTGTATCTACCTATAGAAATAAGGATCTAGAGCTTCTTCTACACAGACCACAGGCATAAAGAACATATCAAGCTTGTAGATGTCTATACTTCGCGCGTTATGATGCTGTCAATGCAAAAATGACCGCTAGACCACCAAAAGTGTGAACACGGTAATCGAGGCCCCTGTATGTTCTATATCTGGTTTGACAGATGCCAAGATCAAAATCCCTCGTTCGAGATCAGACAAGGCTATACGCAATACACATCTATGGAGTCGAGCAATCCGCACAGTTCAGATTGATAGCTAAGTTGATGCAGTCTAGATACAATACTCTAGGTGTTGACCTGGAAGATCTCGGGGTACCGACCACCTACTGGGGTGAACTTGGTCAGGATATCGTCAATCTCGGCCATCTCCGCATTCGTGATGTCAATCAGCTTGCCGTTCTCCTCAACCCGTTCCGCAGTGGTGGCGCCAGGAATGGGAATGATTGTGGGCATCCCGGGACGTCGAGAGAGCGCTCTAGTCCAATTGATCGCGAGCTGCGCGGGAGTACAGCCCTTCTTCTTGGCGATCTCCTCGATCTTCTCTACCAGCTGCACGTTTTTCTCAAAGTTCTCCCGCCGGAAGCGTGGGAAGTTGAAAGAGAGCAGCAATGAGTCTTGCGGGAGGTCGTCGAATTTCTTGAATTGACCGGTCAACATGCCTCTGCCGATGGGAGAATAGGCGATGATTGGAATCCCGTACTGGGCGCAGGCCGCTGCGACGCCATTTTCCAGGATGTCGGTGGAGAACCTGTTTCAGTTAACACCCGTGATGATTTCAAACGGCGAGGATAATGTACAAGGAGAGCTCAGCCTCCACCGCGACGACCTTGGTGTGTTTGACAGCTTCGTGGATGGTCTCCGCCCGCACCTCGGAGAGCGCAATGCCTCCGATCTTGCCGGTTTGGATATACTCCTTCTCAATGAGCCCAAACGTCACGTCCAGAGGGACCGCCGGGTCCCGACGGCCGAATTCAAACATGTCGATCTTCTTGCGGCCCTTCAGCTGCGCAACGCAGTCATCCAGGCTGCGGCGCGTATTCTCCGGCGAGGCGTCGGTCTGGTGGGTTTGAGGGTTGGCTCCGCCCTTGATATTCAGGACGATCTTGTCAGCATCTTCGGGGTACTTTTCCAGATACCGCTCGAGGAGAACGAGGCTGTTGTAATCGGGCGAGCCATAGAATTCACCGCCGTTCCAACAGGTGCCTGTAGATGTTAGCGGAGAAGGGACACGGCAGAACTGGCAGCTAGGAAAACTCGTTACATACATCCATTCTTGATTGCAGCGCTCATGGCCGCAAAGGCCTGTTCTTGCGTTGGCGGCGTTGCTCGCCAGGTTAATCCCATAAGGCCAAAGCCAATGGGGCCGACTTCCTTTCCGCCAATTTCGGGCATATTGTCTCTGGGCGTAGGCTGTGTGATGGTAGAACTGTGCAACTTAGAGTAGTAGTGTACGTGCCCCCTTTCGACGGCCATGCCCGCTTTTTGAACCCTGCCCAAGGCTGTCCCCGACGGGCTTCATGGAACACAGGCGAGATATGACCGACGTCTTATCGGCGTTGAACGTAAGTCCGGGGCCTAACTCCGCCAAGTAACGGCTTCGGGGATGGCGCCAACAGGGGTAGAAAGAGTGGCGTCGCCGACCGAATCCGAGACGGTATATCGGCAACCCTTAGCGATTCCATCGTAGATCGCCAATGGGATCCGTCAAATATGCAGCTGGCTCGTGCTTTACGACTCCCTGCGCAGACGGTCAGACATTGCTGTGGAGTATATAGTGGCTGGGATCTCACCCAACTGCATCTTCTGCTTTGTCATCAGCGCTACAGACTGAATCAGACTCAATCAATCAAAATTACTTGATTGCTGCTTTCAGGATGGTAGAAGTTTCAAGTCATTATGTTGTCTATGCAGATGACAAAAGAATCCACTATCTGGCGGCCGGCCCTGTGAACGGCCCGCTCATTTTCTTCATTCATGGATGGCCCGGAACCGCCATTACCTGGAAGACACAGTTGGACGCCTTCGCCGCTGTGGGGTTCCGTGCGATCGCCCCTGATATGCCCGGGTATGGGAAGTCGACTGCTCGCCGCGTCATTGCCGACTACTCCCAGGAGGCTATTGTCGAGGGTATGATGGCCCTTCTAGCCGATACGCGCCGCGACGCTGCCATATGGGTTGGCCATGACTGGGGCGCGGGCGTAGTCTCTTCCGTCGCGACGCAATATCCCCAATGTGTGAAGGCTCTCGTCAACCTCTGTGTGCCGTTTCACACCATCGAACGTGGTTGGCAAGGGTTCTTGCCTCTGGTGGCGCGGGAGATCTATCCCCCCGACGAATTCGAGCTTGGGCAGTGGGAGTACATGAGTAGATATGAGGAGGCCTTTGAGGAGACCGTGGAATGGATCGAAAAGGACATCGCGGGATTCTGCAAGGCCGGATTACAGCCAACAACGCCCCCGTCGAGCCGTCAGTTTACGCCGATGTGGATGAGCGGACACCCTCATCCTCCCAGCGTGGACATGACGTGAGCGCCGGCGCTTCCGGCAGAGATCTTTGACTCCTTCATTCGAGATATGCAGCAGACGGGGTTTTGGGCGGGGTCGGCATATTATCTTCACCACGCGCGGAATGCCGAGTATAATGGAAAGGAAGTGACGCTCCACCAGCCGGCCCTGTTCATCCACGCCACGTGGGATTTGGTGTGTGATACGAAGACTTCTCGCCTTATCGAGCCTATGAGAAATGCATGTGAGAATCTCACCGAGGTGATAGTTGATGCGGGTCATTTTGTTCATTACGAGAAACCAGAGGAGGTACAGGCGGCTATATTCAGATTCATTGTGGAAGAGCTGCCCAGTGAGTGGCCGGGGTTCTGGACAGCTGGGTACACTAAGAGAAGTCGTCCGTGTGAGAATATCTAGTTTTAATTACATGAATCATGTCTGAATGGTAGTATACTGGCATTTAATACATGCAGCTTATTGAAGCTTCCCGTAGATCTACGCACCTTGAAAACATAAAGGGCGAGCAAATGGTGTAATATTTCTAGCCACTCCGTACATGAGACGCATAGCCGACTCCAGCTTCAATTCCAGCTAACAGGTCTGAACCTGAAGGGTGGTACCTCCATCCACGATCCAACCGGCGCCAGTGACATAGCTGGCCCGCGGGCTCGTCATAAAGACAATCACGTCTGCGATTTCCTCCACCTCAGCAATTCGCTCCATGGGGATGATTGTCTTCATCATCGTTGGCAGATTCGGATTGCCTTCGACCGCGGCGTCGACCATGGGCGTGTTGACCCAGCCAGGGCAAATGGCATTCACTCGGATTTTATGGGGAGCATTATCCAGCGCTGGAGTGCAACAGAATCAGTATATGCATCCAGAGCCAAGGTTATCCCATTCTCACGTACCTGCGGTTTTGGTAAGACCCAACAGGGCATGCTTGGTGGTTGTATATGGAACAATCTGGGGCGTTGCAATGTACGAGTTACAAGATCCCACATTAAGGATGACGCCGCGGCCGACCTCGCGAGTCCGACCTCTTAGACCCACCGTGGCGATGCTCTGCGTCTTCATGACCTTTGTTATGGCTTGAATGCAGTTTAACGTCCCCATCACGTTGACCTGCCAGAACCGGTTCATCTCTAGTGAATCTACCTCATCTACAGCCCGGTGCTGCTGCACTCCAATCCCAGCGCTATTGACGTTATAGTCAATTCGTCCAAATGTTTCCACCACGTTCTGCACCATGCTATCCACGCTGGAGATATCGGTCACGTCCACCGCTATGGCCAGGGCCTGATAGGCGGGGTTTGTGGCAATCGGTTTGCTCCGTCGAGCAGTCTCCATGGCAGCCTCATAGTTCAAATCAACCACGACAACTCCGCGGGCACCTTCGGCAGCGTACGCAAGGGCAACCGCTCTGCCAATTCCGCTGCCTGGCGAAGTCAGTGCTTTGAACTTAACAAGGGCCGGAAGTGGTACCTGCGCCTGTGACGACCGCCACGCCATCAATCGTGGACGCCATGTTTTCGTACGCGCTATCAATATTCCTGGGCTACAGTGAAGCTGATGGCCATTACGGTCTAATTTTCTATCCAACGCCCACAGGCACTATACCATGAATGGCTCACGGGTGATCGGTCTGATGGCCGACTCTAGTTACGAAGTTCCCGACATTCCCGAATGCCCGAATGCCCGAGATGCCCGAGATGCCCGACGGGAATTCATTTACCGAGAGAGTCGACCAAGTTTCCGAATAGCTCTCGATTTGACAAGCTTGACCGGAGCAAGAATGGTAAAGAAGCAAGGGCTATCTGTGTCTTCGCGGTGTTCACCCGACTCCAGCTTCCAGTCCCTGTAATGCAGCCGTTGGAAAGATGCACTGCCCTATACCGTTCCTTGGTCATAACCCGGGTTAAACACGTTATCAGCCTGTGGTATTTTTTGTGTGCACCCTTGACACTTCAATAATTGTAGACATGGCACATGGCCGAGTACAGGAGCTTACCGGGGGCTTTGGGATCGTTATCCCGGATCTAGGCGATGTCCAGGAGAAAGGATATCAGCGTCACTCGTCGTTCTAGACCCTAGACCCTAGTAGACCTTGACATTTCCCATGGGACGCCTCCCATGGGACTGTCCATGGGAATTCCCGTGGGACTAATTTTGGTCCCATGGGAGTGGGTCCATGGGACTAAACATCTATGGGAAATTCCCATGGCGGGACTAGACCCCCGTGGGAACTCCCATGGGAGTTATGGGAATTCCCATGGGACTGTAAACAATGCAAACATTAGCTATCTCGTGACTTGTATAAATAATGCATTTCTTGGCGGTTCCGAACGGTATTTTATTTACAATAGCTTTTTTCTAAATTAAAGATATACTAAATAATCACAAAACTATGGTCAAAATATATCAAAAGTAATAAATATTTGTTAGTCTCAATACTCGCTAAAACACCTTTAAATTACCGTATTTTATTATAATAACTCAGCAATTTATCCATTATTATTATGAAAATAATGTATAGATGGGAAATTTTGTTAGTCCCATGGGAGTCCCACGGGAATTCCCATGGCGGGACCAATTTTTTTTTTACTCCCATGGGAGTGGGTCCACGGGACTAGACCTCTGTAGGAACTCCCATGGGACTAAGTCTCATGGGAAATGTCAAGCTCTAGACCCTAGACCCTAGACCCTAGACCCTAGACCCTATCCCACGGGGGTGCCTGGAGTACGGCATACTCCAGGTGTTGGGGTTAAGCTTCACTATGGCAGGAAAAGTGGGTCGCACACACGACTTCAGTCGACCTACTCTAGGTTCTATTTCATGACCGATCAGTCTATAAATTTAGGGCGTTATAATAGACTATCTAATTTATGTCCCATTTCAATTTCAGAGCCAGGAGTCATTCATGTGGCGAGAAATTCGCGTTTGAAAATCGAAGATGTTTTGATGGGGTGCGCCCGATTAACGTACAATCGGTGCCTTAGGCATCATCAGTAGGGTTTTGGACCATATTCGTAAAGCGGGGTTCGACTAATTCAGGGGTTTTTTTCATGTTTGCTATAGAACTTGACGTTTCTTTGGTATAGAACTTGACGTTTCTTTGGTATAGAACTTGACGTTTCTTGGTATAGAACTCGACGTTTCTTTGGTATAAAACTTGACGTTTTATAACAACGTTAATAGATATCGCACTTGCAGCCGTCAGAATGGAACTTGAACTTTTTCACCAGCCATCAACAGACCTAGTTATTGTCTGTAAGCGATGCCAGTACGCAGTTCGGCCAAGAGAGGTTTTTCGACACCTTCAAGGCCCCAATCACCGAATTGGGAAGCCAATTGCTCGGCAGATCAGCGAAGCTATTCAGACCTGGCAGCGGGCCCAAGAGTGTGACGAATAGCAAACTCCGACCGTGGTAACAGACCCAATCCCCAATTTACCGCTTTATTCGGACGGTATATTATGCGGGAAGGGCCAGTCCTGCGAATTTACTGCTCGGTCAATTGGCACGATGCGATACCACTAGCGTGAGTATCATGATTGGGTCGCACTAATAAACCGTGGCGGCTATAAGAAGCAGCCAGGTCTCTCAGCCGCCGAGCAACAGATTTAGCAGTTTACGAGTATAGTATTCTGCCAGCGCGTGTTTCGCCAGGGGGTCGGATCTCATTATACCCGCGTACGTACAGTCGGAGCAGAGGCAGTCCCCGAAGCCGAATCGGCACCGACCGTACGCAGTGATCAGGTTTTGGACTAGATCGAACAAGCATTCCTCGAGAGACAAGAACAGCCCCAGTTGATCGAGGCTAGTCAGCGTGACGACGCGAATCCATGGCTTCGACGGACCCAGTGGGCCGTGTATCTACGTGGAATCAACCCGCAAGACCTACGAGACAGCGTCATGGCACCCGATGCCGAATCGGCCGATCCGACCGAATTAGCTGCTTCCGCTATTTGGGATTCGATGGCTACAGTGGCCCGAATCAGCCAGTTGATTTGTACAAAAACTAGCCATTCTATTCGCACCGAGGCCGTCCGTACGGAGCGGGACCGATTGCCGCATCAGCCATTGCAAGCGTACATGGATACCGAGAACATCGAAAGACATACGATTCCGTGGCAGCAAATCTTGATATTTTTCGTACGTACGCAGGCGTCGCATAAATGGGCCAGTCCGTATTACCGGTTTTCGAAACGCCAGCGTTTAGCGTGGAATACGCTTTGGAAACTGGCCTAGCCAGGATTCAGCGCGCCAGCTAGTCCAGCCAGTCCAGCCAGTCCAGCCAGCCTAGCCAGTGCTAGTTCCGACAGGGCCAGTCCCAATAGAGCTAGTTTCGACAGGGCCAGTTTAGATAATAGTAGTCAGCGAATCGCCAGCGAATCAATAGCGAATCGACGTATCAATAGCAATTCGCTATTTCAACTGGCGCCTATTGACACTGCGTGTCTAGAATTTTGTATTGAGCTTCTGAACCATCGGACCAAGGTGGAAGACTACGAAAGTGCGCTGATTTGTGCCACGGCAGTGCTTGGTCAGGGCGAGGCTGGCTGGCGTACCGCGCAGAGCTATCCACCCATTTTATCGAAGCTTATTAAGATCGCACGGTTCATGGTGGTCCACAAGGCGTTGAAGCTAGATCCGACAGCGGAGATAATGCTGTCTCAGCTTACAGAGCATCAAATGGCGGGCGAATGGGATACCGAAAGTCCACTATCTCACGGGGGGTGGTGGAGTCTGGCAGACTCCAGGTTGTGGTTATTCCTTAACTATGGCAGGAAAAGTGGGTCGCACGCCTGACTTCAATCGCCTGACTCCAGGTTCTGTTTCATGGCCGATCGGTCTATAAATTTAGGACGTTATAATAGACTATCTAATTTATATCCCATTTCAATTTTAGAGCCAGGAGTTATTCATGTGGCGAGAAATTCGCGGTTGAAAATCGAAGATGTTTTGATGGGGTGCGCCCGGTTAACGTACGATCGGTGCCTTAGGCATCATTAGTAGGGTTTTGGACCATATTCGTAAAGCGGGGTTCGACTGATTCAGGGGTTTATTTCATGTTTGCTATAGAACTTGACGTTTCTTGGTATAGAACTTGACGTTTTATAACAACATTAATAGATATCGCACTTGCAGCCGTCAGAATGGAACTTGAACTTTTTCACCAGCCATCAACAGACCTAGTTATTGTCTGTAAGCGATGCCAGTACGCAGTTCGGCCAAGAGAGGTTTTTCGACACCTTCAAGGCCCCAATCACCGAATTGGGAAGCCAATTGCTCGGCAGATCAGCGAAGCTATTCAGACCTGGCAGCGGGCCCAAGAGTGTGACGAATGGCAAACTCCGACCGTGGTAACAGACCCAATCCCCAATTTACCGCTTTATTCGGACGGTATATTATGCGGGAAGGGCCAGTCCTGCGAATTTACTGCTCGGTCAATTGGCACGATGCGATACCACTGGCGTGAGTATCATGATTGGGTCGCACCAATAAACCGTGGCGGCTATAAGAAGCAGCCAGGTCTCTCAGCCGCCGAGCAACAGATTCAGCAGTTTACGAGTATAGTATTCTGCCAGCGCGTGTTTCGCCAGGGGGTCGGATCTCATTATACCCGCGTACGTACGGTCGGAGCAGAGGTAGACCCCGAAGCCGAATTAGCACCGACCGTACGTAGTGATCAGGTTTTGGACCAGATCGAACAAGCATTCCTCGAGAAACAAGAACAGCCCCAGTTGATCGAGGCTAGTCAGCGTGACGACGCGAATCCATGGCTTCGACGGACCCAGTGGGCCGTGTATCTACGTGGAATCGACCCCCAAGACTTACGAGACAGCGTCATGGCACCCGATACCGAATCGGCCGATCCGACCGAATTAGCTGCTTCCGCTATTTGGGATTCGATGGCTACAGTAGCCCGAATCAGCCAGTTAATTTGTACAAAAACTAGCCATTCCATTCGCACCGAGGCCGTCCGTACGGAGCGGGACCGATTGCCGCATCAGCCATTGCAAGCGTACATGGATGCCGAGAATATCGAGAGACATACGATCCCATGGCAGCAAATCTTGATGTTTTTCGTGCGCACGCAGGCATCGCATGAATGGGCCAGTCCATATTACCGGTTTTCGAAACGCCAGCGTTTAGCGTGGAATACGCTTTGGAAACTAGCCCAGCCGGGATTCAGCGCGCCAGCCAGTCCAGCCAGTCCAGCCAGCCCAGCCAGTGATAGTTCCGACAGGGCCAGTCCCAATAGAGCTAGTTTCGATAGGGCCAGTTTAGATGACAGTAGTCAGCGAATCGCCAGCGAATCAATAGCGAATCGACGCATCAATAGCAATTCGCCGTTTCAACTAGCGCCCATTGACACTGCGTGTCTAGACTTTTGTATTGAGCTTCTGAACCATCGGACCAAGGTGGAAGACTACGAAAGTGCGCTGATTTGTGCCACGGCAGTGCTTGGTCAGGGGGAGGCTGGCTGGCGTACCGCGCAGAGCTATCCACCCATTTTATCGA